TCAAGGTGCCTTCGTGGTGCAAACATTTGGCGCCCACTTCACTGCTATCAACGGCGCTCGCAAGATACATGGACTACTAGACAAGCCGGAAGAAGACTTGAATCCTGCTGGGGGTCTAGCACTGTCATGTGCTGCGGTAATATATTTTTATTTTATTTTCTAATCACACCTCGCTGATCACTCATTGCTACTACTAGGTTGAACGAGCATTGACGCTTATCGCTACTCGTACCATAACCATCGAAATGGTTCTCGCTGCCAAGGGCAAATCTATACCCTTGCCGAAGACGCTCAATCACTCAACCGGCAAAGTCTCCAATCGCCAAACGGGCTTCAATGACGTCACCTGGGGTTCTTCCACGCGCTCATATGTGAAGTCGATCGTGAAAAGCCTCCGAGAGGAGAAGTTCCAAGCCATCATCACTTCTGCGAAGGAATTTTCCAAGAAGAGCCATCGTTCTGGCAACGATAGAGCCGTCGATGACGCTGTGGATGATGAAGACTTCGACGAACGCGCCCAGCTCGTGGACATCTCGGAGTCCGAGTCTGGGTCCGAAGACTCGGATGGCTCTGACGTGGAGTAGTAACATTTGTTCTTGTCATTCTGCCGGTGGTTTGCTTGCCAGCGCTGTATTCACTTACTGACCTGATTCAACTCTGGCAGTTCTTATGATCACGCTTATTTCCTTCGCTTGGCCGTCTTCATTCGCATTTTGTCTTAGTCACCACTTGAATTGATGCTTTTCCTGACCGCTTTGTCTTGATCACGATCTTAATGGTATACATCCGACTTGAACAGTTTTGTGAGTGCTTGAATTGTTCACTTACCTATCAACTGTGTAGAACTTGGGAGTCTTAACTTGAAAGATATGCTTGGATGTTTTTTGCATGGTATGAATACACATGATTCTCACCGCTTTATTGTCTGAATTCTACACTTACCGTTGATTTTGTAACCTTGGGAGCCTTAAAGACAAAATATAAATATATACTTGGACCTATGTGGCTGCTTAGAGCTGAATCCCTCTACTTCTGGTCTGCTTATTTTGATTTAGCTTACAATGTGTCTTTGAGAGAATCTGACATGATGAGTCACACTTAATGTCATTGCTTAACTGTGTACTTATGTCAAGCGCTGATAAGTGTAACAATAAGTCATATTCATCGGAAGACCCTACTTGTTTTAAGCAATGACGTACTTAGCAGAATTCTACTGAATCTTACTTAGAATCACCTTCAAGTCACCATAAGTGTTGTTAAGAAAAATTCCCTTTTTCCTGATGGAAGATCTCAGGTGGAGGGACATCAAGCTTGTTGCACCGAGTCTTGAGACCATCGAGAAGTTCGGTGATCTCAGCATTGGACTGACCGTGACAAAAACGCTGATCCTCGTCTGTCAGATATATATGTCAATAATCTATGACAAGACCCAGACTCACCCAGCCAATGATCTCGCCATTCTCGTTCATAAGGCTGATGATCCCGCCCTTCAAGACCTTTACCTTCTGCTTGTCTCGATTAGTCACTGAAGCTTTGCCAGCCGCACGGAAAGTATTGTCGAAGGAAACACTGATACCTGATCTGCTAGTGAGTTCACAGTTGAACTTTTGTGTGAGCGAGGCTCACCTGATAATGTCCGTAGATAATCCTCTGATTCCCTCTCCCGTGTCCCCGAGACAAATTCCTGGAAGACCTCGGTAATGACATCGTTCGATATTGGCTTATCATTGTAGTTTTTCTTGTCGTGAGGATCGGAGAATGCCTGCAGGGGGTTGGGGCTAAAGTAGTCCATGCCGTGTCGTGCAATGCAGCGGGACCTAAAAGCTTGCAGGTAAGCTAGTTTACGTCGGTTGTATTCAAGTAAGTGAAGCTCTGTATGGTTAAACTACAATCAGGTGGCTGGTCTAAATTTAGAACTGATGCTGCTCACGTCTGATGTTCTCCGCGAGACCACCTGCGGTCGATGACAGCCGCAGCTCAATCAACAAGTCGAAGAGCTCACGTGTCACAGCGCATCTCCGAAAAAATACAGGTATGCCCGCTTCATAGTATAAATTAATAATCAATTTGCTTGACGAAGGCCTGCAATGGTGCTCTCACCTGGAATGGACCAATGTGGCCAGGTGTGCCAGAACTCCGGATTCGTCGTGGCGAAGCAGTGACCCTTGAGCTGAGTCCTAGAATCGTGCCCTTGCTCCTGTTGCTCTGAGTCACCACAGTCACTCTGCTGCTGTCCTTTCTTGCTTGTCGGGTCCTTCTTGCAATTCTCACAGCGGATTTGGGTGCCAATTGCTCCTTCGTCAACAAACAGGCCATGGACATCTCGTGGACCTGTGCCGGTCCACCCATCCCACTGGACACTGTCCGTACAGTCGCATCGTGGACATCGTGCGAGTTCAGGATGGTAGAATGGGTGAATCACCCGAAGTGGCTTCAGGTACAAGGTCTCTGGATTGACCGCGGGCTCGGACTGATTTCGTCGAAGGGCGTGCAGGTACAATGGTGGCACAAAATGTGGGCCAAGAATGGGAGTCTTGAGATTGAGGCACGGTCGTGTAAGTGCCTTTGCAGACCGTATTCGAGTCTTGTCTGAAATGTAGTTGATATACTCGACAATTTCGGCCTCCCACTCATATTGACGCTTTGGCCGTGAATTTTTCATGCGCTCGTCATGGCCAGTCCATGACTCAACACGTTTTTTGACCTGCGTCGAAGTTGATCATTGCAAGGTCAGTCCTCGTCTTAATAGATGCCTGCACCTGCTTACTGCGTTTTTCCAGTTTGATTCGAACTTATTTTGCGAGTCTTTCGGCTCGAGAGCTGACAGTAGCTTGCGCATCACGTCTGGTTCATACACGGACATTCTTGCGCAAAGTAAAGGTAGAACTGTAGAAGAAGGTGGCAGGGAGGAACGCACTGATGCTGTGTAGCAAGTGTGTACAGGGCAGGCAAGGACCCGAGGCTTTTGTGGCAATTAGGGGTGGAGACTCTTTGACCTTAACGACTCTCACCACACTACGTGTCTAGCAATTTATACTACTCGACTACTTATTCATTCAGATACTGTGAGACTGCTGTGCCAAGTCGCCGTCAAAAGAATTTCGTTCTCGCTTCTCTGATTGGTGGGGATGGAACAAATTGAATTAAAATCTTCTAGTTCAAAACTAACCTAGCGCTACAGTCTACTACTCAATCTCAACCATGGCTCCACACATCCATCATGTCTCTTCATCGAAGTCTGCGGGAGGGAAAAAGGCTATCAAGAACGAAAACACAGAGCAAGCTATCCAGGTATTCAGTGGCAGCAGCGGCACAGATGTCAGCTCTGTCAGAATCAACGTGGATTCGCAGATTCACCTCGAGGATGTTGCACAGTTCGTGCAGTTTGGATTTGATGAACAAGTCAAGCAACTCGCAATTCAGTCGGGTTTTTAGGCAGCGGTTGTCTATGAAGTGTATGGACGTGTCACCACCTTCAAACGGACAAAGAGAACCATGCGAGTCATGCGCACCGCTGCCTTCGAACGGGCCAAAACAGATATCGAAGAGCAAGAGGCGGAGGACCTTTATGTCAGTGGCAATGAGTCTGAGGATGACGGAGTCAGAGATCAGAAGTAAACACGTACACGTATCAAATTGTATCTGTGATGACTACACCTTGAATCAATGAACGCTTGCAATTCGCTGGAGGAACGGGACATGAGAGCGAGCTATGTAATTATGTGGTAAGACTCGAGATATCAAATAACTTCAAGGGACGGCCGAACAGGACTCACAGCAAGGCCACGCCAAAGCAAATTATCTTCTCAAGCGAGAAACAGCAAAACACGTACTTGATTCATATCCGAAATTTGGAGACACACGGTGGAGAGGATAATCGCGTAATGACGAAACTGTGATCACGGTGTCTTACCACAGAGTCTACTAAAAAAATTCAGCGGTCAATATAAATGCTGGCGCCGCATCATGAATCAATGAACGCTTGCAATTCTCTGGTCGCTTGACATGTTCCAGAGAGTTGCAAGCGTTCATTGACATGTTCCAGAGAATTGCAAGCGTTCATTGATTTATGATGCAGCGCCGGCCCATCAATGAACGCTTGCAATTCTCTTGTCGCTTGTGACACGAGAGTTGGTCATTTAATTTACATATCAGTCACTTCGAGAAACGACAAAGAGACGACGAGACAGGACTCACATAGAAGGCACCAGCAAAATGAACGCTTGCAATTCTCTGTTCGCTTGATACGAGAGTTGAGTCATTTAATTTGAATATCAGTCACTTCGAGAGACGACAGGACTCACATAAGAAGGCACCAGAAAAATGAACGCTTGCAATTCTCTGTTCGCTTGAGACACGAGAGTGAGTCATTTAATTTAAATATCAGTCAGTTCTTCAAGAGACGACAGAGAGACGACGACAGGACTCACATAGAAGGCACCAGCAATGTGGAACATCTTATCGCACGATAGACAGCGCTGGTAAGGCGCTGGTATACTGATGGACCACTGGCAGATTCGGAGATTTGGTTAGCAACAAGCCAGATCGTGGCAACTCACTGGTTTGATTTGAGTTTGATCACTCCTGGATCTAGGGTGCGGCTTTCATAAGTGGATCTGAGTTGATGAGTCAATAGGACAGCAGGTACAGACCTGGTACAAACGCGATACTGATTGTGCTCTCGAATGAGCCCTTCGCGACATCTCCGAGTTCCGACAGAACGACCCCTTCGCAAATTTCCCGCCGCCTGCGGCGTGCTGGACCCCTTCGTATGACCATATTTTCTTCTCCACCGAGGACCACAAGTCACGTGGCACTTAAAGTCAGACCAATTTGGGCCGAGTCCACTTTGCTCCTTAACTAGCAACAAGTCCTACAAATCCTCCATTTTAATAGTCGCGTCAAGATGCCTGCTACACGCTCGTCCAGTCAACAACGCACTCGTCCTCGCGAAAATGAACCATACGCGTCAGCTTCACGAGCCCTACCCAGCCGATCGAAGCCAAAGTCAAGTGTGGCTACTATACCTGAAGTCATCGTTCTGTCTTCGGATGATGATGATGACCGACCGACCATAATTGGCTCATCATCAAGATCTAAAAGGAAGCTTTCAAAGAAGCCGTTTTCGACGGGTGAGGTCTTGGAGATATCGTCTTCGTCGGATGAAGGACCAATACTTTCCAAAGCTCCGGGAAATGGATCCGAAAGCTCGTCTTGGCAGCGGGAGAATTCGAAATTGAAACATGTACGTCTCTACGATTATCATAATTCCAATTTCGCCACTGACAGGGATGGGTTAGACAAACGAGAAACTAGAGCAGCAACTCGCCGACCAGCGCACACAACTTGACGCTTCAAGGAAGCGTCTCAAGGAGCAAAGTGAAGAACTTGCCGCGCGATTACAAGAGATCAATGCTGGACGCAAGGAGATCGAATTGCAGCAGGAGAAGCTTGATGCTTTGCAAGCAAAAGTACGTATTCATGTCCATCTTTCCTTACGTTCTCTCAGTCGTTTATATAGGAGGCTACCAAGTTGGAGGAGTTGCTGTCTTGTGACATATGCGCACATTTGATGTATTCTCCGTACATGTAAGTTCTCATCTTCTGTTGCTTTCTGTCCACCTCACCATTTGGCCTAGACTTCTTGACTGCGGTCATTGTTATTGCGAGGGATGCCTCAAGGGCTGGTTCGACGAAACGCTCACCAAACATATCCGCGAACATCCCGCATACAATATGGACCGCGAACCCATGCCTCGAAATTTCCCCCAACTTCTTCAGACCCTTGGTCCATACGTCTCGCGTCCAATTCAGACGCAACTTCAAGCCATGTATAATACTTCTCGACAACAGCAGCCGGTGTATACTTGTCCGGGATGTCGGAAGGAGGTCACCGGAAAACCAGTCATCAACTATGTAGTCAAGGACATGGTTTCCAACGTCGGAAACGTTCTTGGGCAACCCGACACTCGCCGGGAGAATATTGGTCGTGGCCAGCGGACGGGTCCCTTTGACGGATTTTTCCCTCATAATTAGTGTAATTGACACGCATACTCCAGCATTCTACGTTATTTGCTTATTCTATGAGACATGATATATGATACACAGGCTAAACTAGGGTACAGTACCTGCACTGTAGAGCACCATTATACCACAATGTAACAAGACAACCACGACGAGTCAGTAACAAACGCAGCTACTTTTTCTTTGGTTTTTGCTTTACTTTGGGTTTCTTCGGATTTGCTGGCACGGGCCCCTCAACTATTTCGACCTCATCGTCATCACCCACAGAAGCCGAAGCCGAAGCCTTTCGTTTGCGCCCTGCTGCGGGACCAGAACCAATACCACTATCCCCAGTGCCTTCCCTTGTAGAAACAGCTGACCGATTGCCCGAGTGTGACCCGGGACTACGACGTACTGAGCTGCCTGATCCGCGAGAACGCACGGATGAGGTAGGCGACACCCTTCTCGACCCAGGCTTCTGCAATCCGAAAGTAGGCAGGCTGCCCAGTTCATCAACTCCCTCTCCTACCCCACGCTCCCCAGCACGGACGTCGGAGTGCGCTGGAAGACGTGTTTCACGCCAATCTCGACGGAAGATGCTCTCGGCCGTTAGTTTGTCCTCGAAGACACTTTCCAGTCTCGATGGTATGCAACGCTCTTCATCATGTACATAGCCGATCAAACGGTCGCCTGTGGCCTTTGTCCCGAATAGTTCGAGCGACAGTGAGGCAGTGTTTCGTATCGTGCCATCATCTTTGTCGAGGTTCTCGATCCATTCCCATGGTCGGTTCTGAATGGGTGCGCCATAGACGAGGTGGCCTGTGCTGTCTCGATGAGCGAGAGCGAGGTCTTGAACAACTGCATTCGGCCGGATATGCGGGAAGAGACTCAGGAGTCGCTCGCGATGTGAACTAGGGAGGGAATGAAGATGGGGTGACTGAAGTTTTGTGGGATGATACTTGAATGGGTCTGGCGATGACGTTTTGGAGTACAAGGAAAGATCTATGAGAACTGGATTTTAACGAGGTAGAAACACTGCGATTGGAGGTCAGCATACCGTCGATGAGAAAGTACAAAGTATCAAGAAGAAGCGCAAACGCAACGGCGTCGTGTGCAGGACCGCATGCATGAATCTGGGATCGTGTCATCTCAGAGCTCGCATACTGAATGTGTTATATACACACCACGACAAGGTCAAAGAGAACTGGCGCCATCTTCTCACATGTTGCTCGAAACTGTGTCGTCCATATCCCCGGGAAACCGAGATCAAATTGAAGGAGCCGAGCTAGAAAGATAACAGCTTCGGTGAGGACGTGCAGGGAATGATCCGGTGCTTTGGAGAATGACGAGTTTGCGAATTGAAACGACTCCAGAATTGTTTTCGCAAGCCGCTCCTGTGTTGAGACGTCAAGATCCAATCCAGTCCCTTCCTCTCGCAAGGGCTCTGAGACATGTGATAGTACGCGAAGCACCTCACTTGCACGACCAACCCGCGCCAGTAATGATTCGGGAGTCGTAGGGGCAGGGGCTTGATTAAGAATATCAACGATACTCTTGAAACCGTTATTTATAAACTACTCGTCGCTTTCAGTGTGTGTCAGATCCGAGCGTAGAATCACTCACTTTAATCGCCACTGGTCCATCAACGCCCCTCGCCATTTCTGCGATGAAGTATGCTTCTTCCGAGGCCATCGAGTGGTGGAAGATCAAAGACGTCATTTTGTCGAGCGATGCACTTGCACCCTGTTTCGTCGACTCACAAGCAAGCGCCCTTCCGAGTTGCCTCAGCCCAAACTGCAGCTGAACTGCAGTTGCCGCGAGCCTGCATGGACTCAGAACGGATGATATCTTAGTGCTTAAGAACGAGTTAACATCTGTATCTACGGTTAAACGTGAATCTCGGGGCGCATTTTATACTGTGTCTTCCACGCACCTTCGTTTGGTTCACTTAAAATCATTTTGAGTGCGTTGACAAGCGGTTCGCAGAGCGTTTCTGCAACCATTCCCGACTGAATCGGATGCTCAAAACCCCTGCGGACAGCGTCAAGATTGCGGTAGCATGATTGCCTGATGTCGCGACTCTCGCATGTCCGCAGGCGAAGGTCTCGCGCAATTCCGCGAAGTCCATCTGAAACGACATTATTGTGTTCCAGGAGCACTAAATTTGGTATATTACAGGCCAGAAGAGTGAAATGAGGTTCCCGGAAGGCGTCCTGTCTCCAAGTGTGGATCCGTTGCGCATCAAGGAGCTCTTGTGGGACAATCGGACTGATAAAACACTCCTCCTGGAGCACGAGCGCGTCAAAAAGCTCACTGGCTGCCTGAATAAAAGTCTCCATATTCTGTGGCTGGTAGAGCGGACCTGCATCGGCTCCCAGTTGCCATGCGGGGTAAACTAGTCCTTGAAGCAGCGTAGTTGTAGATAGCGCTCCGTGAACGCATAGGAATAGAAGGACGACTCTAAGTACATCCCAGGTTTCGAGCGTCAATCCTAACACTTCACTTTTGCCAGTACCAAGGAACCATTGGAGCACGTCATTATCGATACCACCAGGAAGGTGGTGGTCGACGTTGAGTAGAAATTGACCATAGCGAAGTGCGTACGTGTGACGTCGCTGTTGGTCCTCGCTCATGACGGGGACTTGGCGTAACGAAGCGACAATATTGTCCCAGACTTTCCATGCCCAGTCTCCGGACGTACGATACCTGTACCAGAGGCTATTTGCGAGAATCGTGGGAGCGTCCGGCTTGGAATCTTCAGCTAGAAGTAAAATTTCGGGCATGACGGCCGGTACGACCTCTGGGTGGTCTGTCTTGGGAGCCAGTGCTTGTGTGAACGACGCAATGTCATTTTCCACCTGAGTTCTGGCCGTCGCATCTAGCTGTCGCCCATCATCCATTTCAATAAGCAAGGTCAGGAGGGATCTGGTTTTCCCCCCTTGCGTTCGCAAAAGCAAATGAGTAGAATAAAGTGCGGAAGTGATCATGCCAGTGGCGTTCATTGCCGTCCATGTAGTTGCGAAGCGGTGGAAAACTTCCCCGACGGCGGTCAGTAATTCTGCGTGGGATGTCTGGGACAAGACCGAGAGACTCAGCTGCATAAGAGCCGTCAACAATCCAAACGTTGAAGGGAGCAGAATACACACCTCCAGCAAGGAGCCGTAGTTATGAGTGTACTTGAGGAGTTCGACTGCTGTACTATATGTCTTCAGAGCGCTGATCTCGTCTAGTGATCCCGATCTGTGCGCTCCGTCAATGCAGTCGATTCAAGGGGTTGAATTTGCGCACCTTGAGGCAAATTTAAGGAAATTCGGAAGCAACCACTGTTTGAAGGTTCGTACTTGCTCAAAACATGGTGCGTCGAGCACAGTAGGACAACTAGTTCGGAGAGATGACATGGAAACCGAAAGCGGAAGGGCGTTGCCTATGACTCATTAGTAATACGAAACCACATGAAATTGTTGGCCCTACCACCAAACACAAGTGGCAAAATTGCACGAATTTCCCTTCGCATCTCACGTTCACAGACATCTTCAGGGGTCTGTCGTGCACGCGTCCCGTATACAATAACTTTGCGCTGGTTTAAAAGAGATGATGTCGGGTTGTGTAACGGTATCCAGCGAAGGATCTTGCGATGAAAGGAAGCCGTTTCGTCAGGCTGAAGAATAACGTGAGTCAGAGAACAAACGTTGATATGGCACCCAAACCTCGCTCATCGAGAGTCCCCTCTCGCCTCTCGCGACGAGTCTTTGCACATAAGCTGCGTAATCAAAGAGCCCACCCTTGATCAATTTCCCGAACAGACCCGCTACTGCCCTGAGATTGCCAGCCTCCCGGACAACATGTTTGGAGTCCAGCCAATCGAAGAGATGGTCGTGAAGGGTGGCTGAAGATAGTTCGCGGCGTGCGTTGCGTTCGTGATGTGCTTGGAGTAAGGTCACAGCTGCGTACGGTCGATGTGAGCCATACTGCAGTGGCGTCACAGCCCAAGTTAACAAAGTGTCGAGTTTGTCGACAAAACTTGAACTTGATGTGCAATCAGGAATTTGAGAAGAGAAAAACAATATACTGGACATGTCCGTGCTACTGCAGATCGAATTTAGAATTTGAATATCAACCACCAAGGACCCAAGACGTTCGAGTTTTCGTGGTGGGAGATTGCGAAATAGCATAGCGTCGTTGCGACGCTGGATATCCATCAGATTATCCGAAATCAACTGCTGAAAATCGCGTCGTCGACAGTCACTAGGACCGCTATCAGCGGGGCCCGCAAGTACAGAACACAAGAGCGATGAATGCGCTAGCCATGTGCTGGGAGAAACGAATGTGTCTGGAAGGGCTACACAAGTGCGCTGATGTTGGATGTTCAATTACGTGATAGTGTGGCAGAGGTTAACGGATACCTGAATCAGAGATTTCAAAATCTCTTCGAGCTTGTTCAGGTGACCCTGAGCGGAAGTCGTCTTGACCTAGAATAGTTAGTGATAGACAGATAAATACGGCCATAAAACTTACTTCGTTTAATTTCGCGATACACGCGTCTAGAAGGAGCTTCGCGAGTGGGCGCTTTTCAAGAACTCCATCCAGATACTCATCAGCCAAATGCGCTACAAATCCTGATTGAGCAAGGTTGCAGGCCGCCATCTGATGGACGAGCCATGTAAGGAAAGTGCGATGATCTACGAGACCTTCGTCATAGAACGGTCGCAATAGTTTCAGACTGATTTTGTTAGAGAACATTCGAATAGTATGATCAAACACTGTACCAGTATGTGAAACGGGAAACCCATCGGTCGCGACTTTCTGCGTCAGAAAGGACGCCTTTGAATGTCTGTTTGATATTCATTCCGGGTCTAGGTGCACTCGGTAGAGCAATGTCGGCAAGCTGTTTCTTGATATAGCTTGTTACTACTATCGCCCAATCTACGCTGTACTGGGTGGGATTGTATGACGGTTTGTTTCTCAGGCCAGCCTTTTATCATATAAATCATGCAGTTGAGATATTCCACATCAGCACTTACAGTCTCGTTGGCGCCGAATACTCGAAGAAACCAGACCGCACGAGGTATGGCAACGTTGTTGGTATGAAGAAGGTCAAGTAAATCGTGACCTTTGGCGCCATGTGGAACGCTTTTCCCGAGTTTACTCAAGGGGACATCGGGATTTGCGAGTTCGGCGAACCAGGTCTGTCGTTTGGTATCACTCATGGTAACTCGAGAAGGAATCTTGAATGCTGATGACCTACGAAAACGTTGGATAAAGTACAGCACCAAGATAGTCAGCTTACTGTATAGGTACCGCACTGTCAGCCTTTCGAGTAAAGATATCATTCATGAGGTGCTCGAGGTCTGTGAGCACGCTCTGGTCGAACATGCGACCTCCCCTCTCGTCCTGCTGTAGGAATGTAACTGCAGCGCTTTGATGCTCATCCTGATCATCGTCAGCCGTTAAACTCGACTCAATGAACCTCAGACTTACAGGCACAGGAAGTGGTAACATGAAGCCCTCCTTTATATGTTTGTCGGACAAGACATCCTCATCCTGTCCCGGGCGGGGCGGATGGAAACCAGGGTATCCTAGAGATTAATTAGAATGATTCAGTAGGATGCCTTACATAGGGTGAAGGTACTCACCGACATCAGCAGTCCTGTGAGACTTGGGTAGCCAGGGCGGAGGTTGAGACTCGTATATGGGTGATGGTGGTTCTTGTCCGAGTTTGTCCTGCTTCATATCCAGGGTATCTCAGCGATTGGTAGAAGGTAAAATTATTGACAATGTATGGACATGCTGGACGAGTGAAAGGTTGCAGGTCACCGTGCACGGCTGCAAATATTGATGAGCTCGGTGCGGCATTAGGACTGCCACTCCAGCGCTTCCATGTTGGCGACACGTGATCACAACACGTTGACAATTTTTCTTAATTACCCGAGTCCCTTTGTTTCGCTACCATCACATCGAGGAACCTTGTTAGCCAGAGTCTGCAAGGTCCGACCTCATATTCGCGGACGTTTGGCGTCATTACGTTGAAGCACGGACGTATACTAAAATCTTTTTCAGCTTATTCTTTCGTCTTCACTTTCAAGTTCTCGAGGACCAGGAAACCTAACAATTCAAATGATACGATGTGTCGACTCGCCAATGATGGATAGGCAATAGAGAACGACTTGAAGTATCCATTCCGTCCATCCCGCACCGAGAACAATCGCTATGTGATCCGCTCCAATGCTTCTATATCCCCACAAAGTCCAGGTTGTATCGAGCAGCAAGGTTCGAGCACCGTCAAAATGATTATATTTCCACCCGACTGCCAGTATTGATTTTGCACCCACCCCTGTTGTGTACCCGCCGATTTTTCTGCGCCTCACAGCTATCATTTCCTGTCGGGTCATTGTCATGTTATTTTGTTGTGTGTTTATTGGCGCAGTTCTCTACTTTGAATACCTCAGAGCCTCCACTCAATGAAGTTGGCAGCTTATTTAGACGTTATCCTTGGGAGCTGATGATAGTTGTCACGTTGATAGTAACTGTGTTTCCAGTCATTAACGCTACGTCTGTCACTCTTTTGCTCTCTCCAACTCACCAGAATTTCAGCGAGATGTGGAATTTTTCTCTAGTCTTAAACGATATCGGTCAATGGAGCACTAAGACATTGAATATGGAAGCATATATTTCTAATTAAGCTGAAAATTGGTGTCGCCTTGTCTCAGCTCGTATTTTGAAAGCTTACTTCGGACCGACCATCTTGATGGTCGGATACATCGTCTCTGAGAGCATATAGTAAGTTAATTGGGTCTGATCGTTCTTGGCTCACGTTTTTGTATAACTTGCTGCGCAAGTCTCTTGGCTAAGCACCCATAAAACCATCGTTCTAGGAACGCCCGCATGTACGTTGGTAAATATTCTTTATTTCCTGACATACTGACATACCTGCTTACTTATGGTGTATACTGCAGATCACTGCGCGGACACGATCAAGTAACAATGATCACATGGGACTCGGTGGAGAGCTACATGACCCCCTACCCTAACTTGGTGGGTTTGATAGCTGACTCCACTTCAAAAGCCAGAAGTCACGGATTGTCGTTTGTTTGACGTTGATGATAATGTTAATACACGCGCCTGACGAGTCGCCTTGGAATTTTCGGACGTCAACTGTTACATATAATTCCTCGTGGAAGCAGCTGGACACAAGTGTCCGTTTCGAGCTGAATGCAGTCGAGATGTGAACTCGTGTGTGGCGTCTCGGTCAAACTCTAATGAAGGATGTGACACAGGATGAGTCTCTTGTTCTTTTTTTGAGGGTTTGCCCTTCATGGTGCCGATATCATAGCTATGACCTGTCTGGCCTATTTATTCTTCATATGTTGTTGTTCTATTTTGCTGTCCAATAGCTAACGGCTTGGATTAGAGCTCACCTCGTGCGTACATACTGCAACAATAAACCAGCTTATCTGTGGGTTCTACATAGTAATGATTTTCTATGCCAGCCATATAAGTAAGAGCTACTTCATTCTCGACTCTCGACATACGTTCTCAAGGAATAGGGATTTGCGGAAGTTAACAAAAAAGGAACGTCGTCAGAGACTTACTTATGTTACAACATTGGAAGTTCCATTGCGGAAGATGAGAGCGGGGGAAGATGTGGAGGTAAGATGAAAACTTGAAGGTGCCACGATGGTGCTTATTGTTCTATTGTTCGAGGGTGTGGTTCCTATGTAATAATGATAAGCACACCCGGGCCCACACTGAAACCATGACCAAGTTGAGAAGCCATTGTGGGGCCCGCATTGGCGTCTCAGCTTAGTCCGCCTTCCACATCCACATCTCGAATTGTTTGTGAACCTGAGCCATAGTATATAAAGGGTAGACATTTCCTCTGCATCATTATCGCCTTTCCTCTCTCTCTCTTACTACTATCATCTCCTCATGCGATCTATTCAGACTAAGTAACAAAGTGTCAGGCAGGACGTTATAGGTGTGAAGTAGTTTACTACTACTGCATACCGGTAAAATATGTCCTGGTGGGGATCATGCTCCAGGATACGACACACCAAGGTTCAAAGGCTTGTCGATCTATCTCCACGGCATGCCATTGGATCATCCGATGTCTTTTTTTGCCATGCCCGATACTCGACTAACCACTCGATTCACCAACACCTTCCGCGGCCACTAGAACACTGCAACCCGCCAATACTACTCTGAAGTCCCTAGAAGCCCATGCTTGTTCGATGACCTAGTGATACGTCGTCTTATAAGGTTGTCTGCCAGTGGCATACATGGGTGTCGAGGGATGTTGGAGTAGTACTGGTGGGTGACAGAGTTCCAGTGCAGCCGAAGTTGCTGGTAAATTGAGAGTATGATCGAGTGTCGGGCATGGTAAAGAAAGGCGTCGGATGATACATTGGCATGCTACGCAGATCGATGAGCCTTTGGGCCTTCGTGGATCGTATTCGGGATGATGCTTTCCACCTTGACATATTTTATTGTGTTAACACTGCCGTCACGAATCTTGTCGCCTCTGCATTGCTTACTATGTTTATGGTTGCACCCTCATTAGTGCGCATGTGTATTGACTGACCCAGCATAAATATTTGCAACATATTTCCTCAGACGTTTCCCGATGTACGGTACAGCCTGGGGGACACACCCGTGTCTGACATGGCTTGTGCACGGATTTTTTGAAATACGGCTGCCAGCTAATGCAGGCTTGCTGTTCAAAGGCACATGTTACCAGCTCAGAGGCGCTCAGGCGCCAAGCCAACTCACTGACGGCGAAATAAATGGCACGACACAGAGAAAAGATATGACTGATAAATAACTGTCAAGTAGCGAGCATTACTCGAGTTCAAGCTGCAATCATTATCTTCGTTTCCTCCCTGTTCCGCAGTCCACGTCCCCCAGCTCCGGAAATATCACCCAGTGGGTAATCCTCGTATGTATCCAATGTCCTGGCAACATTAACTTGTAAGGGACTCGGGAAGGCAGAAAGGGTAGCCGCTGCCGAAATCGTCTTTCTCTTGGACATAGCGAATCCCACCCGCGCAATGATTAGTAACGGTGAGATAGTCTATGGAGAAAAAAAATATTTAACGATACGTCATGGATAGCCTACTCTGCACCCACCGCGATTTGAGTAGCTGCTCCGACCCCAACGAGTCCCTCTGGTTTGCCTGCTGCATAGAGGGCGAACATGACTGCGGTACATGTGGTGATCAGGGCCCCACATTCAATGACGATGAGGAAGCTAGCCTTATAGTTGAGTCGTCCAGTGAGAATGGCCGTGCGGCGTCCCGCGTGCCATAAACGATAGGCTATGCCGCCTGATGCAAGAAAATTGACACAAGTCTCAAGACCCCACCCGGCGAGCCCGTACGAATGGACATTGCGTGAGAGTGCTGTGGCTGTGGCGGGTATAAAGCCAGAAACGGCGATCGACGCTATACCTGACAGAGTGTCACTACAGATAGCTCATTGACTTACACATCTAGCTTACTGCAGTGAAGCATCCATAGAATGAGCTATGGATTGAAGGTTATCAACAATGTCACATTAATGGTGAATACAACAAAGACAGCGTACAGGTATAATACAAATCTTGAAGTTGCGCTCCCAGATCACGTATAATCTCCAAATCTGAAATACAAACATTTATCTCTGTGTTGCGATTTGGATCATGAAACTCACTAAGAGTAGTTCTTGAGCGAACGTCTAGGAAAGATTGGTATCAGTCAAACAACATTGGAGATGCAGATGCTTCGCCACCGACATTGACGATATATACAAAGAAGCCGCCAACGAACAGTTCGTTGCCACCAGGGTTGGTGAAGTAGTCATTAGCAGCGCTGGCTGAAGTTGCGAATGCAGCCATCAGCTCCAGCAAGCTTACGATGACATGTGCTGTAGCTAGTGAAAATTGAATAACGCTCGAAAACAGGAGCGTTCTAGAAATTATATCATAATCGCGCTTTTGCTTGAAAAGATGTAGGCTTCCGCTCACTTTCGAGATGCTCCGTCGTGGCCTTGAAGGATGAAAAGACAAATGCTGAATAAGACGCAGCTACAACCTCCATCAGAAATGACCCCGGATGTTATGGCAAAGCGCACTTTATACCTGAATGAGAAGGGAGTGTGTCGGCGACCCAACATAAATTCGTCAGGTACGTACCATACAAGATCGCCTCCAGCCAGATACCTGTGATATACATCTGTGCCAGAGACTCGATCATGGTTGATAGAAAAAATGGAGGGACGGAGGCGTGTTCAAAGGGTACCCTAAATGCATTATTAGGTGGGTCATGTGTTTCACTTGGCTTGGGTGAATTCAGGAGTGCCAACGTCTCATACCAACCAATCCATCAGCGAATGGTTGCGACCGGAGATCATCAGCTTTTGTGGCGCTTCGTTGATATTTGGGAGATCATGGGCGCGGCAACGGTAAAAATGGGAACATGGTACGTGAAACCATGCGATAGTTGTGACAGCGTGAACACCTGCTGCCGACACCCCATGACACCCCATGGGAAGTCCGAAAGCCAACCGAAAGCGCCGCGGTCTGTGCCATACAGGAAGTTGTACATGTCTGTGCGGGTCCTTTGATTGCCCAAGTGTTCCCAAGCCAAGGAAGTTCGAAGCGGAATGATCCCAAAGAAGACAGGGAGTGTCTCTGTGTGCGACGCAATTCAGAATGAGCTCTGCACCATCAATGTATTGAGACACGCAGCAGTTACGACCCCCGAATTCCAGGGCAACTTGAACTCAACGGCAACTTGAAGATGTGGAAATTCTTGATTCGCGACATGAACTCAACACCAATTGCAAGATTTGAAAAGGGACATGATATGCGAGTAATAAAACAAGCGACGGTGAAACTTCTTGTCCTGCAATCCTGATAGCAAAAAGCATGTGCATCAGGGACGGTTAGGCTTCAGCTCAAGGAACTGCTCACAATGGGTATGACGGCCGTCGGCCATGGCGAGCGAGTGAGTAGTATGTACTTAGGAAAATGCTGCCGCAACTGCCGCAACATCATGGACAACCATCGTCGACGAGGGTCAGTCGTGCTGGCAGCAGCAGGCTTGACCAAACATTTGGACTCTTGAAGGCATCCGCGTCATTCTTGTTGGCATCAATTTTCCCCTATAGTGACTCGCAAATCTGCCCTACTAGCCTGAGATTCTGACTATACCACACTGCCACGTGTAGACACTAGACACTAAAGACAGCTGGCGCGCCGCGAGGATGTTCTCGATGCGACTGGTGACAAGATGCCCAGACAAGATGTCATTGATCTCCATGTCGTTATGGGCGAAGAAGATTCCGCTCCAAGCACGGCAAGATCAAAAGCAGCGCAGCAAAGTCAAGTGGTGCACTTGCGTGCGCAATATTGTGCGAAAGGCTGCCCGAATCCGGCTGACAACGGTCACGGCATATCAACGATTACACGTCAGCAGCCCGTCGTGGAGAAAGAAGGGATGTGATCGTTGAGGCCTAGGCCTGGGGACTGAGGATTGATCTGCTGAGGAACATACACCAGCAAAGGCCGATGAACGTTAACGACTACTTCATAATGATATGCCAGCTAGAACCTGTGCCAGCATCATTCCCAAGTTGCCGTTTGGCGGGACACCGTGACGGAAACAAAAAGGAAGTGATAAACAAGTCGCATGTGTTGGAGCTGCGGCTAGTTATGTCCTGAAAATACTGATATCAAGTATAGTTGTTAGCGGAATTACTCAATGGTTGCCTCGAGTGTGAAGCAGCGTGTTGAAAGCTGTAATGCATGTCATGCATATGATCAGTTTGAAGTTTGCTCGAAGTTGTAATTACTAATTAGGACGTCACATGATCCATTTATATTTATGTATCTCACAAATATCAAAATAATAGTTTAAATCCGTTAGGAGCGACTTCTGTTCGTCAACGACGATGAGCAGTGAAAACGAACCCTTAATTTCGAGCGCCGAAGATGAGACAGTGCGGCGGGACTCTCGCACACTTCGTGACCGCGCACTCGTCTGGTCCGGCCTGGCTATTGTATTCATCGTTGTTGCGGTCGTTGCTCTGGTCAACCCAGGCTTTGTAAGCGACACTGGACTTTCGGGAAAGCTGCCCCGGGATCCTAAGCTTGCAGCACAGCGTCTGCTCGACACTGCTCCTGTAATCGTACGCCTCTTGACCCGTTTCCTCCGCTCATCCCTCGCTGACGGAACACACAGGATGGGCACATTGGTATGTTCCCTCTCAAATATTTCCTGCCCACCCTCTTACAATTCGCTTTGGAGATCTTCCTATGGTTGCTCGCTTCGGCTGGCGTAACAACGTCACCGATGTTCCTCTTGACGGTCAAATGCCCATGCATGTGGATATTCCGCGTCTGAGGGAAGGGAAAGTTGGAGGATTCTTTTGGTACACAACAGCATCCACACATTGCACCACAAACTGACTTGGCTCAGGTCTGTATATGTAGGTTGCGCAAGCCCTGAAGATGAGGGTGCCGATTTCTTGAAAGCTACCTGGCGCGTCCGGTCTGGGTATTCCTTGTTAAGCTTAGTATATTGCTGACCGCACGTAACGATAGAGACACCCTCGAGCAAATTGACGTAGCAAAGGGCTTGATATCGAAGTATCCTGGCGTGAGTCTTACATACCTTCATGTTAGTAACGATAAATAATGTCTGGCGCAGGACTTTGCATACGCTGTCAGCACAAGTGACATTAAATCAGCAATCAGAAACCGCAAAATTGCGAGCATCCTAGGCGTTGAGGGGTGAGCGCGACCTTGCTGGCTCCTTCCACCCCCCTAAAGTTATTGCTATTTTAGTGCCCATCAACTCGGGAACTCTATTGCTGTCCTCCGCCAATACTACGAACTTGGGGTTCGCTACGTCACTCTGACCCATACTTGTCACAATGCTTTCGCTGATTCTTGCGGTTTCTTGGCTCCGAGTGTCCCACGGCACTACGGCCTCAGCCCTCTTGGCTTCAGGCTCGTGGAGGAGATGAACAGACTTGGAATGCTTGTCGATCTTTCTCATACTTCTGACATGACTGCAACCCAGGCCCTCCTGCACTCTAAGGCCCCAGTCATCTGGTCTCATTCGTCTGCCAGGGCCATCCATGATGTTGCCCGCAATGTGCCTGACGAAGTACTTGGTCTCGTCGGTTTCGGCGAAGGGCAAAGAGATGCTGTTGTCATGGTCTGTCTGGAAAATAATCAATCTACTACCTTTTTAATGATTGTGCAGGTCAACTTCAATGGTCCGTTTGTTGCTGACGATGGCGAGGCTGACATTGAAGCCGTCGCCGATCACGTTGAACATATCGCAAAAGTTGCTGGAGTGCAACAGTGAGTGATGACCAATACTCTCTCGCCTGCAGCCTACCGATCTAATGGCTATTACAGCGTCGGTATCGGGAGCGACTATGATGGCATTTCTGTTACTCCGAAGGGACTCGAGGACGTTTCAAAGTATCCTGCTCTGGTACGCGACATCTTACCACCTATATTTAAGCGACGACTGACTGCTCTAACTTCTAAGATAGCTGAATTGCACCAACGCGGATGGAGCAAGCGCGATCTGGCTGGGCTCACTGGGGGCAATTTCCTTCGGGTATTCGAAGGTGCAGAGAAAGTGGCCAAAGAATTGCAAGCTGCAGGAACCTTGCCAAAATACGACATTTACGATAAGAGAGAAGACTTGCCCATTTACAAGCCTTGATGCGTTCCGAGAGGTGTGGTACGTCTATTTACATAACTATCTGGGAATTGTTGCAGTTGCGAATGTAATTTGCTATGTTGATTTATGCGTTATTGATATAAAATTATTTGAAGAAGTTATTTATTCGTTGCTCACACGTCCAGCTCTTCGCGCGTCATGGACGATCATCTCAATAACTCCGTCTGGCCGCATTACAAATACATTGGGCTGCGTAGCTTCGACGTGGTAAGCGGGATATGCATGGCCTTGCTGATTAACAAGAACGAAGTCAGCGGGGTATGCGATGGGCGTCGCTGACGGCGGGATGACGACGGTCGCACAACGCCTTGTTGCATGCTTCGCCCAAGACCAGGGTAGCATCTCCGGAACTCGGCGCGAACACAAGCGCTGTGTGATGACAGGGTCTACACACTAAAAAAACGTTTTAACGCTAGATTCTCCAGGCTGGACATAGTGCACTCTTGATGCATTAGGCGCATGTCAGCCTCGAGGTGTCCATCATTAAGCACCTCGTAGTGATGGGTTTCCCCTCGACTTCCGATGGCTCTGATGGTTCTCACTTTGAAGAGCACGGCGCTCAGGCTTCATACCTCTGCTCCTAGGAATAGGCAGATGTACTCTTGAATTGGCCTTCAAAATACCTTTATCCGTGCCATCGTTCCAGTAATCGAGGACCTCTAAGCGTACACTCGTCTACAACAGTTAGCCTATCCGGGTCACTGGATAGCCGCTGTCTCGTCGTATACTCGCTCTCCTACGAGATCAGCGGGAGACAGGACGTGAACAAGCAACAACTCTACACTCCTTAGTAACCACGTTGATTGGGGTATATGGATGAGTTGTGATATCGAAGCCATGTAGAAAGAACAGACCGCTACACATCCAAAATTATTCTCGAGAAATACTTCTTCACGCCCTCTGCACCGTGTACAATTGCTCCGATTACTCCGTCCGGTCGTATCACAAACACCTTCGTCTGGTCAGATTCCACAAGGTAAGCCGAATAAGCATGACCCTCCTGATCAATAAGAACGAGGTCAGCAGGGGATGCAACGGGTGTCGCTGGTGCGGATGAAGGCAAAACGACTGCCAGTCGCACAACGCTTTTGTCGTAAGCCTCCAGCTCGCCCAAGATCGGGATAGCATTTGCATGACTTGGAGCGAACACAAGCACAGTGTGGTACCAAGGTCGGTACAGACCAAAAAGCGTCTTTGGGTCTAAATCAGACTCTCCAAGCGCCACCTGTAACATATCTGGTGCATCAGGCGCCCTGTCTCCAGCTTCCAGGTGCCCCTCGTCGAGTACTCCGTAGGCATTGATAGGTCTCCCCTCGACTGGAGTTACAAATTCATCAAGGACAATAGTGCTGAACCGGCAGTTGATACCGAGCATGAACATGATGGGGCTTCGTTGGACCGACACGCGTCCCAAAGTTTTTATTTGGTTGAGAATCGAGGTGGTCATCGCGAGCATCTCGGAGATGACAGGTAGACGCTCAGCGCTGTATGTTTCGAGAAGAGACTTATCGGCAAGTCCTTTCTCAACAAGCGCGAGTTTCCATCCTAGGTTGAACTGGTGTACAACCCAGTCAGTCATCATGTCGTATGGCTACATTTACGAAACTCACAGCATCTTGTACACCTGAGTTGAGTCCCTGTTCGGAGATAAATGAGGAAGCTGTGTCATTTGACGAGAGCACACATACCTGACCACCGGTTGGAGGGTGGACGCTGGACATGTGTCAGCAGCTGTTTGAACGTCACAGAGATAGACCTACTGAGCAGCATCTACGACAGCATCCATCAGCACAGCTAGATACGCCTCAAATGGAGCCACATACCGCCTGCAACAAACACTCGACCCTCACTAAACTTATTCACCATCCGAACATTAGCCCTGAACCAAACCGATGAAAATGCATCGATCGTTCACAAAAAAAAACACAAAACGAACCGGAACTCGCTCACCCACACCAGCTTATTGAAAGTAATTTCGGTAGGTATCAACGATGCAATCATCTCAAAGATAAGCTCCTCGCTCTGAGCGACCTTTGTCAGGTCTAAGGCACCATCAGATATGGAAAATTGCCAGCCATCCTCTCCAACTTCGTCTGTTGGACGCAATGAGACGCTGTGAGCCGTGAATACATCTCCGATCATCAGTGACATCATTGGTACATACCGTCGTTCTTGGAATTTTCCAACTTGAAATTGATGCCAATACTTTCGAGACAGGATTAGGAGCGCTCGTTCATCAAATAAGTAGAAATCGAACACACCGATCTGTTAAGACCAACGGCCTTTAAACAAATATCTCCGGTGATAACTCGGAAATCGTCTCTGGTCTCGCCCAAAAATGTAAGCCCGAGTTGCTTGCGAACGACACCTGCAAACTGAAATTCAGTCTCATTCTGCTTCATCTGACCGCGTCTTACTTTTAGCACCATCAGTGCCTATCAGCCACTTTGCATCAAACGTTTCTAATATGCCGTTCCTTGCTAGAACAGCGGTAACGCCCACATCGGACTGCTCGAACGAACGTAGTTCGGTGCCCATCTCAACAGAACAAGAGAACTTCTCTAGGTGTCGTCGCAGAATCACATCTAGGAGCTGTTGACCTATCGCCTTCGGAAGCTAGAAATCAAAATAAACCAAAATTTTAGCATGACTGCTTGAGAAGACAATGTCTCTGCGCACGAATGGTATCGCGGGCGTAGTTTCCATATGCGGGGCCACAAAAGATTCCCCTAGAGGTTCCAACGTCCCTGGCTTGTACGAACGGACCTTAAGGATGGATTTCCCCAGATCTTTAACTTCTGGGACATTCAAGAAGTTGAAAAGTTCGATGGTGCGTGGCTAGATCATTCATTAATTGAGACTACGAGGCATCAGAGAAGTAGTGTTGTGACACACCCAGATGCCGGGACCGCGCTGTCCGATGCGAGGGTTGGGGTCTTTATCGATGATGCGGACTGGGATGCCGTTCTGAAGGAGTGTCAACGCTGCTACCAGACCCGCTGGCCCAGCACCTACCTAAGAAAGAGAATTCAGCTCAGGAGGTGCGATCTTCTATCATAAGCAGGCCACTTACAACTAGTACAGGAGGACGAGTGGAAGTCATGGTATGTAGAGGTAGATGAGTTTACAGTTTTTTGAATGATAGTAGCAGACAATCACGTCTCATACCATATATAAGACACAGCAGATCGAAGCGAAAAGGCCGGGGGCAGGTAGCAATGTGCCGTACAATCGTGTCCTGTAAATGCTATATCCTTACAGAAACAGATTGCCGACGTTACACGATCCATCGGATGATCTGCCAATAAGGCTCACCAGATACTTCAAGACGCCGACCGGACGGCTGCGGACGCACCCCAATACATTTGATGCCAACGAGACGTGAGTATGATATTGATTTTGTTCCAACTTTGAAGACACTTGCACATGCTGTGCAGGGCTGCTTCTCCTTGGGAAAATATTTCTGATTCCCCCACGTAGGCTGCGCTGGCAAATTGATATTCGGACCTGTAATGGAAATTCGACGAGAACCAGCAGCACCCTGGCCTGCCTCTGGACTTGAGGGGTGAAATCGATCTCCTGACAAGCGAAATCTCCTTGTACACTCTCTGAAGTGCATGATCGAGGAGTAAATAGTCCATCTTGAAGCTTGCCATTAAACAATCAATCATCAGTTCACGCCAACGAGGTGTACTATGCATATAAACGTGATGGAGTTCCATTTGAACATGAAGCGAATGGCTTCGTCTAGTTCTGCAGTACTAGCTCTCGTCAATGCGGCAAGTGTCGGACCAAGCAAAAACACAATCGTACTCTCTCGCAGAACCCAACGAGTTTTCAAAACTAGGCCCCGTGCTGGTTACGGGGGTCTGCGTGCTTTCACGTCTGCCAATGTGGCTCTCCCTCACGCAGCCAGCGGTGAGAAGCATCCGTAGCCAAAGAACATATTGGAATTGATGGACGAGACGCAGAGATCGATGCTGCTTAGAGCAGGAGAAATCGGCAATAGACAATGTCATTGCACGCAGACAACGCGAGACAAATGGTCCGGACGACACTCCCTCAGATGTTCCAACGTCCCCGGCTTGTACGAACAGATCACAGCTGCGCATTTCCCCAGATCATTGACTTCTGGAACATTCAAGAAGTTGAAGAGTTCAAGGAAGCGTGACTAGAATGTGCGTTCAATGAGACCGCGGGTGATATGATAAGTGGATGTATGACAAACCCATATTCTGGCACCACGCTGTCCGATGCGAGGGTTGGGTTCTTCATCCATGATGCGAACTGGGATGCTGTTCGGGATGAGTGCCAACGCTGCTTCCAGACCAATTCAGCTGAGGAGCGATCTTCTATCATAAACTAGTCACTTACGATTAGCACAGGAGGATGAGTCGTGTGTAGAAGTTGACGAGTTCAGAGCATAGAGGAAGATTGGGTCGTTGAAACATATGGGCAAAATGGATCACAACGGCAAGGCAAGGTCGCACGTAACCAACGGTGTGCTGTTGAGTGTTTGGGTGCGGATCGTTATCGAAACAACTTGCCGACATTACACGTCCCTGCAGCACGTTCCACCGGATATTGTGTCAAGTAACTTGTAATGGCAGGGCCATTAATAAAAGGAAGAGCTAAGCGCCGAGATTGGGCGCACAGTGCCAGGTGCACACGTGACTGCTCAACGTCATACAGTCTGTCGTCATTAGGAGCCGGCGTTGGATATAAAGTCCAACGTCGACACCGACACCAACTACACACCACACTTGTACATGCACTTGATTTATACTGCTTCCTTCACAATGTACCGAGCACCCACTTTGCGTTCTATCCTTGCTACCCGTCACGGTCGTGTCCCAGCCAACATCCCTCCTGTCGTAAGTCGATTGGTGTTCCATAATTCTCAAAACTAATTGCCGACTGTAGGCCCGTAGGACATTCGCAACCCAGACCCCTCCAGGGCAAGCGTCGCCCAATCCCAAGGCCAGTCCTTCCACCAATGGTGGCGGACACAACAATGGCCTCATCATCGCGTCTGCTGTTGCGGCACTTGCAGGAATGTACTATTTCTACAACCGCGACCGAAGCATCAGTCTTCAGGAGAAGAAGCGCAGAGATGAGGAGGATATAAAACGGGCAGTGCGCGCAGTAGAGGGCGATTTAAGGCAAGCTGGGGAGGCAGGGAAGGCAAGGGCCGAGGATGCCCTTAGAGAAGGCCAGGAGAGCTATGATGCTGTGAAGGTCGGTCATTTGAGCGTCCCAGTTGATCGATTCGTCTGACCTACTACATGTAGGCCTCAGCTAAAGAGAAAGCGGCTGCATCCCGCCAAAAGGTGGACGAATCTCGCTACGATCTGACAGAACAGGCACGGCAGACGGCACACGAAGCGCAGGCAAAACTGAACCAGTACAAGAACGCAGCTGAGAAATCTCTGGCGGATGCCAAGAGGACATCCGAACAAAAGTACGAGGAGACAAAGGATGCTGTCGCACAACGCGCGGATGAAGCCAAGGACGCTGGCCAAAGCTGGTTTGGTTGGGGGCAGTCAAAGACAGACGAGGCGAAACGCGAAGGTGCTCAGAAAGTTGCTGAGGGCGCAGAAGATGTTAAGAAGAAAGCCGAGAGACAGGTATGAGATATGCGGTAAACTTGAATGAATATTGTACGTCTGAATTAGTATAGTATTGTAATACATCACCTATATTCCCTATACTGTTACATCGCATACGATTCTCCCTAAGCTTCACCAGTAACATGCTGGGAGATGATGAGAACATAGTCGTGTGCCACAAGGAGTTCCGCACCCTGGTGACAAGAAAAGGGTTGTTAACTTTGCGTTGACTTTTGACTTTTGCATTACCGGTCCAGGTACCGGACCCCGGTATTAGCCGGGTGCGTTTTATCTTAAGGGTATCTTTCTCCCGCACTAGTCTGTTAGTTTGACGAAGCCTATCAGTGACAATCCTGAGTAAGTTGACTCGGCTGACTCGGCCGGCGAAATCGCTGATAGCTGATCTGCACTTGTGTAGTGCACATCCACCACTGTCTTTGTGTTGTCGGGCGTTGTAGCTGAGATGACCGAACTTCAGACCAAGGTTATCCTTGTAGGCTTGGGGTATGTGAACGCTTCACATTTGCATAGGAACTACCGATTGATTTGCTCTATAAAAAGTGGTGCCACTTGCTCAGGAAAGACGACGCTCGCAAAGCATCTAAAGAATATACTGCCCAACAGTGTCATCGTGCACCAGGATGTCAGTGAATTTCTCAAATGTTATCAGCATTAACTTACCTATGTCAGGATTTTGCTCCAGTAAGACAGGGTACTCGATCAGATCGTACTTTTTCGCTGAGCGGTCGCGCAGCCTGAGGAATTGCTTCCCATAAATCATGGCTACCAGGACTGGGATGCTCCAGATAGCGCAATCGATTACCCACGACTATCCAAGTTTTTGAAGCACGTGAAAGACACGGGAAGCATACCGGATGATCATAGAAGCCATGAACATTTGAACAAGCAGACGGATTTGCCTATTGAAGCAGAGTGTCAAAACCGTCTGGCTGAGCGCTTCAGAGTTTTGCAAGATCAAATCAAGGAGAGTGACAACATCAATATAGTGTGGGGATTGGTCGACGGGTTTCTGTTGTATTGGGATCAGGTGCGTCATCGGCATTGACGCCTCGATGAATTGAATCAATGTGATTCGGTCGCAGGAAGTCATAGAGCAACTAGATATTCGCTTCTTCCTCCGTGTTCCACTCAAGACATTGGAGGGTCGGAGGAAAGCGCGGCAGGTTTACATCACAGCAAGTATGTCCTTCAGTGTTTCCGCTCTATCTTCGTTCCTATTCCGCTCCGATGATTATTGACTTTTGCTCCTCATTCATCACCTCCACTCTAATTTCCCCCTAACTCCGCGTGCCTCCGTTCTTTGTCCACGACATCCACGATATGTGCGGCTACTATCATGGAGTGCAATTTAATGAAGAGGGGGACGCCTGGGTAGACCCCCCTGACTACTGGGAGAAGATCGTGCTCCCTGCATACCTGGACGCACACCGCGGAATATTCGAGGGTGGTGATGTTGAGAATGGGGACCTGACGAGTAAGGTGAAAGGGCTTGTTTTAATTGAGCAGAAAGAGGACAAATCAATGAGCATGACGGATATCGTTGAAAAGTGCTGCCAGGGGTTATATCAGCTTGTCAGGGCGGAAGGGTCGAGCAAGTGAGGGGGTTAAATCTTGATGTCCGGTGCACGATTGATGTATACCATGATCACGTAAATAGAATTTTTAAATGATTCCCCTGCACGGCTGGTGTAACTGATAATTGTTTTTTGCTCGTGAAAATGGGACAAGTCACACCGGGAATAGCTCCCCCGCAGGAGAATCAACGGAGGGTTGGCGGAGGGCGTTGTTCCTTGTCATGCCGCGATTTGGCCGACCGTGATTTTCAATACCCGAAGCTGACATAATGCGACAATCACATGTTGGTTTTAATTTATACCTTGCGCCTTGTGATTGGCTAGCAATTAAAGGTACTTGACCGGATCCCGCTACCCCGACGTGGCTACCCATCCTTACTCTCTCTCCACTACCATCGTTTCCTCACACTCCTAACAATTATCGTAATGTCTCAGGTCATCGTTGTTGGAGGTGGCCTCGCTGGTCTCTCCGCAGCTCATACCCTTCTTGAGCGTGGCGCTAACGTATTGTTGCTTGACAAGCAAGGGTACGAGGATTCACATTGGGAGTGAAGCAATTATTGATGGAGTTCCGCAGATTCATGGGTGGAAACTCCACCAAGGCCACTTCTGGTATCAATGGTGCTGGTACCCAGACGCAGCAGGAGGCTGGTATTCCAGATAACGCAAAGATTTTCTTCGAGGACACGAAGAAATCTGTGAGTGGAGCTATATTTCTGCCTGGACCTTATACTAATACATTCCAGGCTCGTGAACTTGCGCGCGATGACCTCATCCGTGTGTTGACTGGCCGCTCAGGCGATGCTGTCAACTGGTTGCAGGACAAATTCGCCCTTGACCTTTCAAAGGTCGCGCGGTTAGGAGGCCACAGCCAGCCCCGCACACACAGAGGAAATGCACAATTCCCTGGTATGGTATGTAGCTGCAATCTCCGTGTCGGGCTCTGTTAACTCCGCATTTCTCCACTGATAGGTTATTACTTACGCACAAATGGAGCGCCTGGAAGACTTGGCAGTAAGCCAGCCTGACCGCGTGAAGATTTACAAGAAGGCCCGTGTCACAAAGCTCGTCAAAGACGAGTCTGGCGCAGTTACGGGCGTTGAGTTTGTCCGGAACGGCAAGACAGAAACTGAATATGGCCCCGTCGTCCTTGCTACTGGTGGTTATGCTGCTGATTTCACTGGCGGTGACTCTCTGCTGAAGAAGCACCGTCCTGAATACTACGATCTCCCGACGACGAATGGTGACCACTGCACTGGTGATGGTCAGAAAATCGCCATGGCTATTGGTGCGAGTGCGATTGACCTTGAGAAGGTGCAAGTGCACCCGACGGGTCTTGTTGACCCTAACGAGCCCGACGCGAAAGTGAAATTCTTGGCTGCAGAGGCTCTTCGTGGTGTTGGTGGTTTACTTCTTGACAAGAACGGCGACCGTTTCGTCGATGAACTTCAACATCGTGACTACGTTACTGGAAAGATGTGGGAGAACGGCAAGGTATGAGAATATGCTTGTTTCTGTTTGCCATTTACCCAATGACCCTCACTAGTACCCCATTCGCTTGATCCTTAACGGACAGGCTTCAAGTGAGATCGAATGGCACTGCAAGCACTACGTCGGCCGTGGTCTCATGAAGCGTTTCGAATCTGGCGAGGCTCTTGCTAAAGAGATGGGTGTCAAGCCTGAATATCTCAAGAAGACTTTCGACACGTACAACACCGGTGTCAAGGCCAAGAAGGATCCATTTGGCAAGAAGGTAATGCCCATTTTCAACAAGATATATTGTGCTGTTGCTCAACTCCAGCAGTACTTCTCAACAGGAGAGTGGAGCATGAACGACTTCTTCAATGTCGCAATCATGACCCCTGTATTGCACTACACCATGGGCGGTTTGGAAATCGACCCCGAGTCACGCGTCATTGGCAAGGACGGCAAGCCGATCCCCGGTCTCTTCGCTGCTGGTGAGGTTGCTGGTGGTGTACACGGTGCCAATCGCCTTGGTGGTTCGTCACTGCTTGGATGTGTTGTTTTCGGACGCGTTTCTGGCGACTCAGCTGCTGCCTATCTCCTCCAGACGACTAGCGCCATCGTACAGAAGGCGGGCGGGCGTCTTGGCGCATTTGTTGGACAACTTGAGTCGAGTCCTGCTTCTTCGTCTGCACCTACACAGCCCGTTGCCACGAGTGGTCCCGCACAGTCGTCATCACTATCAAAGGAATTCACTTCCGCGGATGTAGCTAAGCACAACAAGAAGGACGACATCTGGGTCATTGTCAATGGCCAGGTGCTGGACGTCACATCCGTAAGTGCATCCCTTCCAATCCTGTGACTTTTTTGTTGATTGTTTCGCGACATAGTTCTTGCCTGATCACCCAGGAGGCGAGAAAGCTATTATTCTCTACGCTGGTCGTGACGCAACAGAGGAGTTTAACATGCTCCACGACCCGAAGGTATGAAAAACTGTCGTGACTCCTTGTTCTAGGCTAATTCGCGATGTAGGTTATTCCAAGATATGCGCCAGACGCTGTCATTGGTACACTGAAGAAGTAGGGGGTAAAATGGCGCTACTAAACTCAGCAAAAGCAGAGCAACTATATCTGTCATCTTTTCATAGCATCGCATATCTCTCCTCTGTGTCTTTACTTGGTTGTTGTGATCCAGTGTATTCTAATGTTGTCTTCATACCATCTCTGACTGTCTGATCCACGAGGCCAACGATGCTGAACGTTGAATTGAATCTTAATACGCCTCCGCCCATAACATGATCGTGGCCCTGGGAAGTTGTTTTTCTCATAAGCCCGTGGCGCCTTTCCCATGCGCCTCCGCCCGCCCTGGCGCCGCGGGCGCCACTTCATTTCGAACTTTGTCGCCGCCGGATTTCACATTTCATACACCTGGCAGATGGGGGCTGCTGCGCCAGGCCACAGCTGTAGATATAGCTGTGCCGTCACCTAGGTTCAGTCGGGAGGAATCGGATGGACACGAGTACGTTCAAAGGTTGGCCAAGCTGCCAACGACACCGATAGCCATTTGCCATGCACTGCATGAACATGTTGGCGCATAAGCATATACGCCCTCTGGCGTCCTCTGTGGCGTCGGCCGAGCCATCCCAATTATGTACGTTCTTATTTCCGATCTCAAAGTAGATAACACGAACCGACACGTCACACAGGGGGCGGGTATGCTATCCTGCGCGTCCACATACAGTCTCAGACTTTCGGTTAAGGGCTCCGTCTGTCTCGTTATATGTGCTGAGATGGTGGCGTACTCCGCCGACTGTACAAAATAACGTCGTACCACCACCACCACCACCACCAACACCACTGCCATCCTACCACACCAATATATGTGTGTGCGCACCGCATCATTGTTACCAACATTCTGGAAAGAGTTGTTCTGAACGCCGCACGCTGCGGCCTCACACCCACGCCATCTGGCTGCCGTGATAGTCGTGTTGCCCGCCGATTCCACTGAATTCCTAATATGCGGTTTGGCCTGAGGAAACCACTTAGGTGGAAACTTATCGGTACTGTTTCTCTCCGTTCATCAATGTACCCGCTAGTGGACCCCCTCGCCTCCGTTATGACTCGAATGCTGTCTTGGCAGTTACTGGCATTGGCGCACATGCAACACCTAATGGCATTGAATGTCTCAATAAGTCCGTATCTAATCACGTTCTTCAGATCTCAGCCAGCCATTAAAGCTGTATTTGACAGGTCCAGAGGTTGGTGGATTGTGCAAGCAGAGGGTCATTCCGGAACGGCAAAGGTATAAAGTACTACCTCTGGCCTGGTGGAAGGTAGATGACTTTCCCGACCCTCCATCTTCAATCCAACTTGATAACACACATGCAGTCGTCTAATCTAATCGCCGGCAAGACTGCATTCCGAACAAATGGCACTACGAGGTGTGACCTGAAAATTCATCGTGCAAAGATTAAGGGGTCTAACGTTATCGTGTGTGCAGCAGCCTAAATCACGCCCCTGGAACTTTGAGCGCTCCGACCGCGTTGTCGCCTGATTACAATATTGATGGTCTAGACCAGCGTTTCTCGGGTGGCCCCTTTTATCCAGAGAGCATGACAGTGCAGTACGTTGCTATCCGCGAGAAAAGATATTACGCTGGTTCCTCATTGTGAAACCACAGGAACTCTGGACACCAGCGCTCAACGGATCGCACAGCCTTTCACAGCTTTCCTGAGAACCCTATATTACACTCAGAGACAGCAGATGATACAACCGTTTACTATCCTCAAGATTCATGGTATCCTCCGCCTGTGGACAACAACCTAGCACAAGCATATGTTTGGTAGATATATGGAACTTAGTTACTTGCGCAAGTGATTGACTCAATTACTAGGAGCCAAGTTCCTTGGTACGGCCCTGGCGAATTATCATCTCCGTCCTTGCAAGTTATGACATCGCAGCCGCCGGTGGAACCGTTGCCAGTTGCGACTCCGCCTCAAGCACAATGTCAGTCTTTCTTTCCGTTTTTCAGTTATACATCTCACATCGTCCTTGCTCCAGCGGCTCTATCTCCCTGCGAGTGGATTGAAGATGGTGTACGATGCGGTCAACCGATTTCGGGTGACATGCGCAAACTCGGCACTCATCTTGGTGACGCTCACAATATACACGGACATGAAAGGAAACCGATTGTGTGCTTCTGGCCGGGTTGCGGCCGGAAGATGCAAAGAGGCGGTATCAGGCGGCACATAGCCAGCTGCCACTTGTTCATTAAATCATCTTGCACGCGCTGCTCCAAGGAGTATTCTCGCCGAGATGCCATGAGGAAGCACGCCAAGCAGTGCCGTGCATAGGCTCAACCAGTGTTACAAATTTTCGTTCGTTCTCGTTCTCTTTCTTTCCGTGACTGACACCAATGAATCATGATGCATCTGATACCCTATCGATACCCTATTGTAATATTTCGTTCTGCACGCCTTGTCCACTGTTGTATTAATTTCGGGACACGGCCTGAGTCAAACTTATATGGGTATGAAACTGTTTATACGTATATCTTGCTATTGTACACTCCTTCAATGTGATGTATTTAGTATACACATTTAGCCTTAACACTTTTGTAACAATACTGGCTCCTCGCTTCTGGTCAAAGTAAAGTGATGACGGGCAAAAAGTTTGATGATGGCTGCAGAACGTGCTTTCAGGTGCCTCTCTCGAGTCCCAGGATCGTGATTACCTTAGTCGCGATTGCGCATATTGCACATGAGTCAACTTGCTTCAGCGGCTGCGGAAGAGATTGGTTCGAATACTTTTATGAGGATCGGGCTTATAAAGCAGATCACCGCGACCTTGAGTCTGAGTATGTTCTCATACTCACAGTTGAAGTAACTCAGAGGACCTTGAATGAGATATACGACGTACGTACATACTTCATGACGAGAGTGAAAGGATACTGCCAGATTGTCACAGACATACGTTTTTGGCCTGCAGTTGCCATTTTCGGCCACTAACGCCTGCTATGAGCTGACATAAGCTTCTGAACTTCGGGAAGTTCCGTCCACTTGCACACGAACTTCCAAAACTTGCTTTTGAACGTCCTTTTATTTCTATCAACCGTCGACACGGTACGATACAGTACTTCCTTGGGAGCGTCGAAACGATGATATGGATATTGTCATGCATGCTCCGAGTCTGCTCATGAACCAGCATCGACACGCGACTTCTGAATCACAATCGACATCTCTCCGCAAGCTGTAATCAAGACCATCAATCATCGATGATCATCAATGTCTTGATATTCAGGAATTGAGACTGAATCCGAACTGATATGCTCACGGTGTTGGATACTACATCACTTGCCTATTCTCCATTTCAAATTATACAACCATTTCTATTTTCAGCTAGCATTAGTCGTCCAGCATCATGGTCAGGAGGCCTACCAATTGGCAAGCCAGGTTCTCAGCGCTCAGCGCTTAACTCAACATGATCTCCACGGCCGTGCTGAAAATTAATTTTCTTCCAGGATAATGGGTCAACTGCTCCTAGATACGATTCTGCGATGACACCTAGAGATTCTCTTGTTCTGTCGAGATGGGCACCGAACTGCATTTTTCGATCAGTCCAACGCACAGTTATCGCTGGAGATATTCTTTTAAAGGGCGTAGGGTCCTCATAGATTGGTGCGTCTGATTTCTACTTATTCGATGAAAGCGCACTCTTGATCTGGTCTCGAAACGTATTGGCATCACTTTGGAAAATATTGCAAGAACAGAGGTATGCAGAGTCCGAACACCCTCATGGAATTTACAATGAAAAGACCCCAGATTCTACTCAACATGTTCGCTATGCCAATATGTTACAAATGCGATATCATTACTCCTTCATCCTGTGGTGTTACTCGGGAGGGAATTTGGGAGTTCATAGTAGCCGACGCGGCTGTTATCCACGCAGACTGCGCTAGCTCTACATCAATTAGCGTTACGCGCCTGAATTTCTTTGCCAGCTTATCTGGCAGCAAGCTCCCTGGACTGGCCCATCCGATTACCGGCAATAGTGATCCAACTCTACCATTCCTTTTAGCTTGTACTTGACCGCCTTACGATGTACGTCCAACCCACAACCCACTCCTCGCCAGCCTTGCAGGCTTCTAAAAACTTGTGAGAGAGGCTAGCACTTGATCAATTATTATCGACCATGTACATCAAGACCAATACGAAATGGCGGCGTAATAAACCCACACACCATCAGGGTCCAGAGGAATCTTTAGAACTCCTGGTGGCTGAATGGCACTCGAAGCGAAGATTTCTCAGTATGAGGTCAATGTGCCATTCAATTACTGACGTGGAAAAACAGTTATGGTCGGCGATATCGTTCTTCTCGGAGCTTGAGAGCCGAAGTACAGGTGTGAGAGAACTTCATCACCATCACCATCTGTTTTGTTTGTAATGAATGTCCGGCGAAGCTCGGGAGTAGCATCCTTGTAGTGGCGAATGATATGTCTAGGCAGATTATTGTCGCGCGAGGAAGCGTTTATGACCGCATGGCCATTTCATCAGAAGAAGGAATCGAGTAAGGTACGGGTCCAAGTTATAACAGGAGGGCACCGTGAATTCTCTGCTAACCCAGCAACCTCTGAACTCAATAACCTCGACATATGAATTTCACTCATCCTCCCGTGCTAATCGCAAGTGATCTGCTTATGATAGAAGTCAGCACCTTTGCTGAAGTTCTCTTTCTTAGGTAGGGGCCGGGCCAGTGGGCCTGGTAGCAGCGTTGACGCTCCTCCAGAACGGCATCCCAGTTCGCATCATCGACAAAGACCCTAACCCTCGCATCGGACAGCGTGGTACCGCATACTGGGTTCGTCATATTATATATATCTTCTTGTCATATCACCCTATGGACTCATCAACCGCACGGACAGCCACGGACCCTCGAACTCCTCAACTTCCTGAATGTCCCAGAAGTCAACGATCTGGGGGAATCGGTCCTTCCCGTTCAGTGGTACAAGTACGGGTCGTTAACGCCTCTGATAAATCCCCCGGCGCCCCCGACTATGGAACCTAACCCTGCGGTACCATTTGTGCGCAACACTGTCGTCTGCTCAGTGTTCAAGTCTTCATGTTGATTGTTGGGTTTTGTTTTAGCACAACCTGAGGATAATGGGTCAACAACGCCTAGATGTAATTCTGAAAGGCCATCTTGCGAAGTTCTCTTGCTCTGTCGAGATGGGCACAGAACTGTGCTCATTTGAGCAGTCCGACGAGGGCATTACAACTGTTCTCGCGAAGAACGGCATATTAGAGAGGTTCAATGCAAAGTGGATGATCGGTGCTGATGGCGCTAAAGGCAAGATACGGTCAAATACAACAGGATGAGACTGAATTTGGCTCTCAGGTGTCGTTCGCAAGCAACTTGGGCTCACGTTTTTGGGTGAGACTAGACCCGATGACCAACTTCTGACCGGAGATATCCGTTTCAAGAGTGATGGTATTGATAGAATGGTGTGTCCATGCTGTACGTTTTTGACTGAAAACTGTTCTGATCCGGTCTCGAAGCATGTTCACCAGTTTGGAAACTTTAGTGAACGAGGGTATGTTTCTGCTCTTGAGGCTTAGATACGTGTATTGACGGTGCATCGACGACCTACAGCGTGGCGTTACAGCCATCGAACGAAGTTGGAGAGGACGGATGGCAATTTTTTATCTTCGGCCCTGAACTAGACAAGACGAAGATCGCTCAGAGCGAGGATCTTGTCTTCGAGACCATCACGTCGTTAATACCAGCAGAAATCACGTTCGACAGGGTGATTTGGATGAGCGCATTCCAGTGCGTTTCGTATTCCTGTAGGTGTCGACGCGCATTCACGAGTTTGCTTTAGAGCCAATATCCGGATGGTGAATAAGTTTAGCGAGGGTCGGGTCTTTGTTGTGGGCGGTATGTGGTTCGATTTTAGATGCGTGTAGCTGTGTTGATAGAAGTGGTGGTAGATGCTGCTCAGTATGTCTCTTTTTGAATGTCTTCCGAGGCTTTTCATAAGCTGCTTCAAGTGTCCATAGTCCAATGGGTGGCCAGGTATAGTGCTTTGATTGGTGCAAATAATTACTCATTTGTCTATGAACAGGGACTCAATTCAGGTATGCAAGATGCTGTGAGTCAGGTAGATCCAGCATGTACGACACAGCTAACCGTGCTCTACACCAGTTCAATCTAGGATGGAAACTTGCGCTCGTCGAAAAAGGACTCGCCGACAAGTCTCTTCTCGAGACATACACCGCCGAGCGTTTGCCTGTCATTTCCGAGTTGCTCGAGATAACCACCGCGATTCTCAACAAGGCAATCGTAGGAGAAGTGTCGCTCGCACAAAGCCCGAAGCTCTTCATGCTCGGGATCAATTACCGATTCAGCAACATCGTCCTGGATGAGTTTGTGCCTCCAGTCGAGGGCAGGCCTATCAACGCCTACGGGGAGTATGACGAGAGGTATCTGGAGGCTGGAGACAGGGCGCCTGATGCGCCCAATATGCTCCAGGTGGGGCGCGGAGAGTCCAATGTGAAGACGCTTTTTGGTCTGTACAGACCCTGGTACCATACGGTGCTTGTGTTCGCGCCCAGTCTCGCTGATGCTAGCCCGATCTTGGGAGCACTGGAGGCATGGGACAAAAGCGTCGTGCGATCGGCAGTCGTTCTGCCCTCATTTACATCAGTACCAGATGTCGCATCTCTTGCGGACCTCGTTCTTGTTGACCAGGATGGATATGCTTATTCGGCTTACCTCATGGAAGCTGGCAAGACGACGGTGTCTGTGATACGGCCAGACGGAGTGGTTGGGGCGATCGTTCATGGTGCAAAGGGCGTGAAGAAGTATTTCTCGAAAATATTTTTTGACGCGTCAATAGTATCACGTTTGTAACTGAGTTACGACATCAAATTACACCAATTTGTTCGAAAACAATTCGCTGCTCGAGCTGGACTCACGCAATACGCAGCCCAATTGTTCACTGCCGAGGCCGCTTTCATTGTCAGACGTCTCAGAATCTAGGCGCGACTCAAACACAACCAACAATGACCTGAATGCTGAGAAACATGATCTTTGTGAGTATTGATACATCATTTATGCTAGAGAGCACCTGAGAGAAAAGACCAGCACGACTTGAGCACGACGTGAGGAAAAAGTCTTAGAAGCAGTCAGAGTCTCAGAGTTTGACATTTGAATGACTAAGCTAGTACCGATGAGCAAGCTGTAACAGTGGCAATGCACCACATCGCCCCTTTAGATATTGTTTCGAAACATGACCACTTATTTGTTACCTTTCACCAGGAGTACCTTACCACCCGTTTGCTATCTCATTTATTCTAGTTCCCGAGTCTCTCCGACGTCTATCGTATTGACTACCTTAAATACCGTTCCTAGTCGTAGAGATAGGGCAGTGTGTTTTGAACCCCCGGAATTATAGACTTTGATACTGTCATTCTGGTCCGAACGCATTCTTCCCTTGTACCGTTGCCTTCGAGCTTCACACGCTAAATAGCCAACGTTACATCTTTTTTGACATCCGAAAGTCTACTACATCGTTTTAACTTTATAACCCTTCATCGTCGACTCTGGAACCTACGGTTAGGCCCACCGAAACGTCCCACTCGACATCTATAATGCCCTCTCGTTACCAATTGCGTTCTCAACGCTCTGCGCTCACAGCCAGCGTTGAGAACATCTCGGATACCCGAAGTGAGTCTTCGTTGACCTCGGTCCCTGCTAATTACAACACTGCAACGGTGGAGAGGTCGAACGACCCTCATGTTGACAGTCCCGTCCTTAGACCCGTCCGCTCGTATAGCGACGTGGTACGGACGAGAACGGACACGCCTCAGCCTGGCGCTGAGAACGTGTCCGTTAGTGCATTAAGCACCGGAGATACTCCAAGTAGTTACAAGACCTCGGTAGCCCCGAGCTCTGCGACTGCAATAAAAGTGTTGGATAACCCTTTCGTTAGCTCGAGTGAATCGTCAGACGACGACCAGGTGGACGCACCTTGGAGGACAGTAGAGCGCCAACATCGGAGATCTAAGAAGGTGTCTAAACTAGCGCCAGAAAGTAAGAAACCTACCTCAAAGGTAGACCTGGTCAAGGAGGCTGAAAGCCACCTTACCCAGGAGGAAAGACAGCGCATCCTTGAAAGGAAGCGAGCTGAGAATGAAGCCCGAGCGGACGAGCACACCAACACGTCCCGCGAAGAAGGGCCCTCCAAAGGAAAAGGCGTTGATCCCCGTAACTGGGGTGATGCGAACCTGGACGAGTCTGAGGTGGACCTGGAAGCCCAGAGGGAGGCGTTGCGAACCTGGAAGAACACTCGCGACTGGTCGAAGTCCGTGCCCAGGGTAGAACCTGAGAGGGTGAATGAGTCCGAAACGGACGAGATCCCTGAACCGACTGATCCAGTCCAGGCAGCGGTTAGAGCCGCTGAGGAGCGACTAGCTAGACAATACAAGTCGCAGATTCAGAAGCTGCAAGACGAGCTGAATCAGAAGGACTTAGCGTTGGAAAAGAAGACTAAGTCCTCGGGGAAGAAACAACCCATCAAGAGGGTGGTTGTCCTGCCCGCTGGAGATCCAGTAAAGGACATGGTGCGAAAGGCGACAAGGAAGCCGTCTAAGAAACCCGGGAGTCGTTCGACTCCCCCTGCTATGGACGCCACGGCCCAAATAGCGCCAAAGAGCTATTTGGGGCGCGCATTTACGAAATTGAAGCCTAAGGAAAAGGGCACTAAGAACCATAAGAAACGCAACGCTGAGGATTCACCTGACGGTAGCTCATCGAGCAGTTCATCCAGTAGTGATACTGGGTCGGACTCGTCTGAATCGTCGAGCTCATCGTCGAGCGACACCACTGAAACAACGTCGTCCAGCGAGACGACCGACAGCTCGGACTCCGATGTGAAGAAGCGGCGGAAACGTTCTGCAAAGAAACGCAGACATAAGAGCAATAAGGTTTTAAAAAGGAAGAATACCTTAAAGCCCATCCCGCCAACCGAGTATGACGGGGCAGAAGACTCTCGGGCCTTCCATCGATTCATTACCGAGGGCACAGCCTACCTCGAGGATGGGAACGTTTCGCGAAAACGTCGAGTGTTCACGCTATCGCGGTTCCTCAAAGGAAAGGCACACGAGTTCTATCTAAGACAGGTGTCAGATAGTCCAGGGACCTGGAGATTAGATGATTTCTTTACCGAGTTATTTAATTACTGTTTCCCTCTGGACTACAGCACTAAGCAGCGAAAGAAGCTATACCGGTGCTATCAAGGGGATAAGCGAGTGCGGGACTATATGTCTGAACTTAATGAATTATGGATGATGATTGGGAACATACCTGAGAGAGATAAGGTGGTGAAATTTTGGTTCGGGTTGAACCCGACTATACAGAACGAGCTGTACAAAATGAGGTTGAACCCTGAGGTATCCTCGTTGTCTAAAGTACAGAAGACCGCAGAGATCATAGAATTGGCGAACTCCGCGTCAACGTCCAGGACTCGCGATGACGGCGCTAAAAAATCTGGGAAGGACAAACCAGATAAGCATGCTAAGGGTGCCGAGGGTGCTACTCGCCAGAATAATCAGTCTGGGCAGTCCAAAGACCGAAACGGCGGACGAAGATCGAATAACGATCACCGCTCGAATAAGGACCAGGGACGCCAAGAGCGGATTGGTCAAAAACCTAGACAATCTGATCAGCGCCACGAAAATAAGCTGAGTAAAGAGGAACACGACAAATTAATGTCGGAAGGGCGATGCTTTGTATGTAAGGAAACAGGACACATGTCCCGTCAGTGTCCGAAGAAACGCACCGTGTACTCGTCAGGTCAGAATCGACCTCCAGGTGTTCCCAGCTACGCTATTCACGTCGACCTAGACGAGACAGAGCATCTGCGAGCCTTGGCTGAAAGCACCGAGGTGCTCAATGAAATATCTGTGGGAAGTATGAGTCTCAGCTACGAGGAAACGGGAAACAACGAACCTCGTACCGATGAGATCGGGGACGTACCGTTGGGAGATCCTCTCGCAGAAAGAGCAGAACATCTGCTGGCGTCACACGCGCCCTATCCAGGAGATGACCTGGAGAAGGAAGAGTCCTTTTCGGGTCAACGATTCATCGTCTACCGGACATCGGACACTCACCACGTTATATTGGATGGCGCTCGGAGATCGGAGGAAGATCTACTAGTCCCTAGTGATCTGTTAGCAAACCCGAAGTTTCTAATAGGTAATTGGTATACCACTCACCTCGCAAAGCGTCTCCTTATGCCAAAGCACCTGGTACGTCTAATGCACAATGGCGACCCAATGGGCGACCCTATATCCAGCAGGGTTGGTGATATCTTGAATAGTGAGCGCAACTTTCCAGGAGTGAACTCACCTAAGCGTTTCAAATGCGAACGAACTGTCTTCCGTGAAGAAGTAACGTTCGAGATCCACGATAGGGACTTGAACTTCCGGCTGTGGGCCAACGATGTCTACCTTAGCAATCCTAAGTTAAACGTTAACCCGCTGGTACCATCAGAGACTAATGCGCGCTTACCAAAAGCTGGATACCCTAATGCGAGATAAGGAGCTGGAAGGGGAGTACTTCCAGTTGCGACTGCTGGAGAAGGACCCGTTAAGTCCTCTTGACTGTGCTCTGGAGGAGGTGGCTGCACCAGTTGTTCGCCGTGCCTGACATCCGATTCGCTGAAACAAGGAATCAGTTTCGGTTGGTCGAACTGAATGGCCAGCAAGTGGCCCAGGGTGCGTACCCTGCGATCCAACGGAATTCGGCAACCACGAGGGACTTCAAACGGCTAATCCCCAAGCCAATGGTAATTGTCGTCCATATTAATGGACGTCCCGCGCGAGCCTTGGTGGACACCGGATCCCTAGCAGACTTCATGTCTAGCTCACTGGCGGATCAGCTGCGCGTGAAGAAGGTCGCGTTGGAGAAACCGCTTACCATCCAATTGGCTGTCCAAGGGTCCCGGTCTAAGGTGAATTTCGGGACCAGTGTGAGTTTTGCCTATCAAAAGATCAGCGAGACACGGTTCTTCGATATAATAAACTTACAGAACTATGACTTGGTGCTTGGAACACCTTTCCTGTTCCAGCACCAAGCGCTGGTTGGACTAAACCCTCCAAGGATGGTGATTGGGAGTGAGGCAGCCCTACCTATTAAAGGGGAACAAGTATCAGTGTTGGAATCCCGCATGGCGGAGGCATATGAGGAGAGCCTCGAACGTGCCCGTCGGGAACTACATCGCCTCGCACAACCATTGTGCGCCAAGGCGAGTGAAACGGGATTGCCGCCGCTAAGGGTGATAAACCACACGATCCCGTTAATCGATCCTGAAAAGGTGTATAAGTGGAGGCCTTCTAGGTGCCCCGAACCTCTGCGCCCTCAATGGGGGGAAAAGAGAAAAGCTTACTTAGCTTCGGGGCGCTGGAGAATGACCAGCGCCGGCAATACGGTACCAATGCTGTTTATTCGTAAGCCTGGGTCCGATAAGCTGAGGACGGTCGTGGACCTACGAGAGCGCAATGCCAACACGAAGAAGCTATCTTCCCCGTTGCCAGACATCGATGGTATACTAAGGCGGGTCGCCCGTAAACGTTACCGTTCTATAATAGACGGTCAGGACGCTTACGAGCAGATCAGGATCATACCTGAACACGTCGATCGATCGGCCGTAACGACGCCCGACGGTAATATGGTCAGCGAGGTACTGCAACAGGGAGATTGTAATGCTCCCGCAACCTACCAGGCGCTGATGAACTACCTATTTGGGGAGTATATTGGTAACTGGTTAGACGTGTATCTCGACGATCTAATAATCTATTCAGACTCACTAGAAGAACACGTGCAGCATGTGAAGACGGTGCTGGGAATCCTTGAGCGGGAGAAGCTGTACCTCAGCGAGGGTAAACTGCAGTTTTTGTGCAGCACGCTGAAGGTACTGGGTCGCGTTGTCGACGACGAGGGCATCCGAATGGATCCCGACAAGGTGGACCGTATCCTGAACTGGAAGCCCCCCGTTAATCGGGATGCCCTGCGCAGCTTCCTGGGGGCCGTGGGGTTCCTCGCCGACGATATCCACAGGGTGCGGGTACCGATGGGTATCCTGGCAGAGATCACCGGGGATACTGTCCCGTTCCGCTGGGAATACACCCATCAGCGTGCGTTTGACGACGTCAAACGATATGTGGATCACTGTAAGGACCATCATCGAGTGCCCTTGGAGTACGGGGATGACTCACCTACCATTTGGCTCATGACGGACGCTAGCGCTAAAGGCGTGTCCGCTGTGGTGGCCCAGGGTGAGGACTGGCGGTCTTCGAAGGTAGCAGCCCTTTATAGCGCAAAGCTGAGCCCAGCTCAGCAAAACTACGCAGTACACGAGCAGGAGATGCTCGCCGGCGTCGAGGGTATGTTGCGACATCGCGACATCTTGCAAGGAGCTCGGTTCGTCTGGTTGACGGACCATAAGGGCTTGGTGCACCTTATGAACCAGCGTGATGTGTCGGGACGGCAGGCGCGATGGTTCGAGAAACTGGGGGAATTTGACTTTGAGGTCAGATATATCCCGGGAGAAGAGAACATCTTACCTGATGCTCTCTCAAGGATGTACTCGTACGACGAGCCTGGTACGGTGAGGGCCACCAGCGAGTTCACCATGTTCGATGATGTCACGGGTGAGGTGGCACGGCCGTCGTTGACCACGATAATCTCCATGCCCGTTTTAGTTGGCACGGAGGCGAAAGCAGCTTCTCCTGCGCTGCTGGTGAGGCGGAGTGCTCGTCTGGGCGCTAAGGCAGTCAGCAGTGACTGACTCTGGGGCGCCTGCTATCACCTCAGGCGCAATAAGGACTGCAAGGCGTAAGCCCACACCAGGCATGGTTAACCAACCCGGGAAGACACCTGGGATGACACCCTTGGGCGTTAACACACCTGGCAGGGTTAACCAACCCGGGACTAATCCGGGGATTGCGCCATTGCACGCGGACACACCAGGCATGGTTAACCAACCCGGGAAGACACCTGGGATGACACCCTTGGGCGTTAACACACCTGGCAGGGTTAACCAACCCGGGACTAATCCGGGGATTGCGCCATTGGACGCGGACACACCTGGCAGGGTCAACCAACAGGCCCCGGTGGGTCCAGTGAGACGCCGCAAGGAGGTGCTCCCTGCAGAAACTGGTCGTCCAGAAACAGCGACTGAGTTTGCCAGACGGGTGGCTGGTCGTTTCGTCCTGCGCGGCCCGCAGGTACGAAAGGAGGGAGGGGATCCTGGTGAAAAAAGCCAAAGCCCATCAGTATCAATCCTTCCAGAAGAGTCAGAACCTCCTGAGGAGGGGGAACATAACCCACCTAAGCCTCCACCCTGGTATCCAGAGGAAGATGAACTAATCAAAGGAATGAGGCATCATTATGCGGATGATCCTTTCTTTAAAACAATCTTGGACTCACCAACAGATTATCGCAACTTCGAAGAAGAAGCGGGTCTAGTGCGGATCAGATTGAAAGATAGAACACTCCTATGTGTCCCGGACATCAGGATGGGCGGCAGAAGCGTCAGGGAGATAATAATATCTCAAGCGCACTCATTGTTAGCTCATCTCGGGGCGCAGAAAACCCTGACTTACCTAAGGGACCACGTATGGTGGAAAACGATGGTGGCAGACGTAAACGCCTACTGCTCGACGTGCTTAACGTGCCGAAGGGTGAAACCCTCCAACCAGAAGCCCTATGGCCTGCTGCACCCATTACCGGTTCCGACCCGTCCGTGGGAGTCTATCGGAATAGACTTTGTGGGACCTCTGCCAATGTCAACAGACAGGGATGGTGAGTATGATGCCATAACCGTAATAATAGACCGACTTACATCAATGGTCCATCTGGTCCCTAGTCGGGTAAACTATACTGCCCGCGAGGTGGCTGAGCTGGTCTTCGACGAGGTGTATAAACACCATGGTCTGCCGAGATCAATAGTAAGCGATCGGGACGTGTTATTCACCAGCGCTTTTTGGACTGACCTGAACCGAATGCTGGGAGTGAACCAGCAAATGTCCAGTGCATATCATCCTGAGTCGGATGGAGCCACAGAACGGGCAAACAGAACCGTCACGCAGATGCTAAGGGCCTGCGTGACACCCAACCAAACCGATTGGGTCGCCCGACTCCCTGCAATCGAATTTGCTATCAACACCGCGAGCTCAGAGTCAACACTACTCTCACCGTTCGAGGCGAATACGGGACGCACTCCACGTGCCATGGTATGGAATAATCCAACCAAGGACGAGTATCCTAGCGTCAGAGCGTACCTGCAGAAAAGGAAGCAAGCGATGATCATGGCACACGATTCCATGCTACAGGCGCGTGTTAAACAAACACGTAACGCTAACAGGAAGCGTCAGTCTTGCCCCTTTAGGGAAAAGGACTTGGCGTACGTATCGACAAAGAACATGTCATTACCTAAGGGTCTTGCTCGCAAACTGGCGCCTAAGTTTATAGGTCCTTACCGTCTGCTGAAAGACTACGGTAATAACTCATTCCTAGTTGACTTGCCCAGCAGACTGCGACAGCGAGGCATTCATCCGGTGTTTCACTCCTCTCTTCTGCGAATCCACCTGCCCAACGACGATAGGTTGTTCCCCGGACGCCTGGAAACCCAGATGTTCGAGTTCGACGGTGAACGCGAAGCCGAATGGCAAGTGAGCAAAATTCTATCTCACTCTGGTGCCAAGGAGGACGCTGTATTTGAAGTAGAATGGCGGGCCGGGGATGTGACCTGGTTGACATATGACCAGGTATCACATTTGGACGCCCTAGGCGAGTACCTTGATTTGCTGGGACATACTAATATTTCGGAATTGACAGCTGGAAACGGAGTACCTCCCCAAGACGACCGGCGTCCATATATTGGGCTCGTTTCGCTAGGCGGGAGGGATGGAATAAATACTCCGTCTGTCTCTCGCAACCCCCAACTCAAGACTCGCCAACTCCCATCACCCAACCCTCGCGCACCACCCACGTACCTCGAAGCAGACGAGTGCTGTCTGTTCGCAATGACCATTCCCACCGACGACCAACAGCTACTATACTTCTCGGCCTACGGGCGTGAAGTGCTCGTCGGGAACCCCGAAAACGAGGACGATTCTCACCTCGTCACCCGTGATCAACTCAAGCTCTTCGTCGCCTATTCGCATGCCCTTCGCAACAAATCCGCTGACGCGCGACCTCCTAGCCCGCTTGGCTACGAGTTCTTTGCTCACGCGTTCAACAGCGAGGGCTTAACCTCCACCGCCTCCTATCTTGACGAGCTAGGTGCTGTAGTCAGCACTGGCTCGTCCATGGAGCTAACGGACATCATTGACGACGATGAGGACACGGAGATCACTCTCTCCTCCACCCGCATGGAGCAAGTGGAGAAAATGGTGTGGCACACGGCGCTGAGCGCCTCCCACCAACGCGAGAAAATGGACGCGAGACGCGCAGGACAGAGGAAGACGAAGAACTATGGGCGTAAGCAGGAACAGAAGCTCACCAAGAAAGGATTAGGGAAGATCAGGAAGGCTTCTGACCTCCCGTCCGCGCAGTCTTCAGCGGGACCGTCCAACCTGTCTCCAGTCGCTGAGGAGAGCATGAACACAGCCGCTTGACGTGGCTAGAACAGGAGTCGAGGGAGACGGAGGTCTCCCTGGAGGGAGGGATGTAACAGTGGCAATGCACCACATCGCCCCTTTAGATATTGTTTCGAAACATGACCACTTATTTGTTACCTTTCACCAGGAGTACCTTACCACCCGTTTGCTATCTCATTTATTCTAGTTCCCGAGTCTCTCCGACGTCTATCGTATTGACTACCTTAAATACCGTTCCTAGTCGTAGAGATAGGGCAGTGTGTTTTGAACCCCCGGAATTATAGACTTTGATACTGTCATTCTGGTCCGAACGCATTCTTCCCTTGTACCGTTGCCTTCGAGCTTCACACGCTAAATAGCCAACGTTACACAAGCACGCGTCCACAACGAGTCTCATGCAGGACGTGAACGACGTAAAGCGAAGCTCGAGAGCCGACGCGGGGCGCATCAATCAAGGGCGATTGCGAAGGTACAGTTCCGCAGGCCTATAATGTTGTCTCGAGTGTTCCAAGGGTGCTTGCATGCCAGAAGAGTGTATGAATGTTATAAACATTTGCATTTCAGACCTCGATCGGTCATTAACATTGCTCATACACCATCATTCTGACACCCCGGTTATTTTTGATTTTCACGGACCCCAAGACCCAGCTGTACAGCTATTTCATCCTCTGGTACTTATATCTTCCAATCGTGTAATCGTCTAAGCATCTTGCCATGCTGGTCCATTCCAAAAACCATAGGGCAGAAGCAAAGTTTAACGTTACTACTGAATGTATGCCATTATTCACTGTCTTTCTTTCTTTTCTGACCATATACCAGTCCCACATCTGGGGCTTCATTCAGCTGCTGTATCTGGCGATATCAGACTAGTTCAGTTTGCCCCCAATCATGGCCAACCTGTCAATTCTGTACTAGACGGCATTCTCCCTCTACGCGCTGCTTGTGCAGGTGGTGATGATCTCGTAGTTAATCTCCTTGTCAAACACGGAGCAGACGTTAATTCACCATGACCCACAACTCCGATCGCATGCATTCTTTCCACAGACTTCCCCGCACGTGCTCAGATCGTAGCTGTGACTCTTCAGCTCCTATTGTCAGTACTTCTGGTGCAGCCCCACTTCATTTCGCTGCTGGAAACGGTCACGCAAGTGTCGTTCGTACACTCTTCATCCATGGTGCCCATCTTAATCGTCCAGATAAGCACGCATCACCCCTGAGGTCGTCGCCCGTCAAAATGACTGGATTTAGTACGTTAATATCCTCGCAAGCGAGATTCTTGCGCGTGCACGCGTGATGATACACTTGATAGCGACGGTCATTCCTCTAGGGAGCGATCTCATGTTACTGTCGAGCACCTTGAATCTTCCTTGAGGAAGAAGCTTCATTTCAAACGCTCTATCGACCATGCTCTCACCACACTCAAAGTCTTAAGTGGGACTCACAACAACGACCAAAAACCATCCTTTGTACGCTCCGGTTCTTCTGAACAAGACGTCCTACACACTCATGACTCGCCATCGAATGGCTGTTATCATATATTTCTTCCTCACATTTATGACGAACAACCCCAGCGTCCCTCAATTCAACAGCGTCTCTCAATTCAAAAAACTTCAAGTTGCCGATCTCGCAGGCGCTGAGACTACCCCTCCCCGAAAACTAAACTCATAGCTATCAATCATCAGCTTCTTCAAGAAATCAAATATGGCCTTCCCAGTTACTGGGCATGATTTGCGCGATGAAGAAAACGACACATGATGAATAATGGGCTGAGTGGTGGAAAAAGGCGGGGAGTGGGGATAAGGAAACTGTAAATGAAGTTTAGGAGAGACGGAGAGGGGTAGTGGGTGAGGTCAACCGAATATCTAGAGGTAATGGGTAGCGCCCCACCCTATTCAATCCTGCTGTCGACAGATAAGAGCGCTTGGCCTTGCCTGGCGCCAAATTGACTTTGCCCGATTGGCACAAAGATGGAGTGACACTCGGGCGATGGAATCCTGCGGCGTTCACCTCGTCGTTCTGTACCTACGACAAATGGACATGGGAGGGTGATTAGCAAACGAGAAACACCAAAAACTAGTTGGGCCGGGGGTTAGCCGAAAAACTAATATCGCTGTAAGCAAGGCATGTGGCACTTGTGAAAATGATCACATAGGTGTTTGGATAAAACGCGCCTAGGAAGGCGGAAACTGCGTCACATCATTAGTAGCTGATTTGAGATGCGAGAAAAGATATTTGCAAGCAGCCTTACCATTCACGTTTCGCTACGAGAGATGAGGGAGGGTGACTATATTGTGAGTTCAAGAAGACCACGGTCCGATATCTCAGAAGTAGCACACAACAAACCCAGATTCTGAGACCACGCTGTGTGATGCGAGGGTTTTGGTTTATATCGAGGCTTTATCGATGATAGGACGTTTTGGAGGAGCGTCAACGCTGCTGCTAGGCCCAGCACATACCTAAGACAAATAAATTCAGTTCAGATGCTAACAACCATCATAGTCAGGTCACTTGCAACTAGCATAGATGAGTGGATGGAATTCATATGTAGCGCTCGCGAGAGGACTTCTAAGACAAGTATTTCGAATTCCAGCCTGGGATTTGGACGAACATGGAGAGAGAACAGGTCGTTATAAAAGCTGGTCAACGGAATCGTGTGCAATTCAACTGCGTATCAGTATCAGCATCCTTACTAACTTACTAAGGTCCTGTTTGTCATAACATGTAGCCAGGTGCAACCGAGTATTAACGCCAGCTATGAGCTGACATAATAAATAAGCTTCTGGAACTTCGGGAAGTTCCGTCCACTTTTGCTTTGGATATGAACAAGATTTGAACCGTCCTTTTATTTCTATCAACCGGCGGTATGGTACGATATAGTACGTACTTCCTTGGGAGCGTCGACATGATGATATAGATATTGTCATGTATGCTCCGAGTCTGCTCCATGGACCACCAGCATCGACACACGACTTCTGAATCATTTCCGAGAATAGAGGCAATCGACATCTCCCGGCAAGCTGCAATCAAGATCATTGATAATCGATGATCGTCCATGTGTAGTTCATTCAAGAGGTTAATTATCCGTCTAACTCGATAATCAGGCATTGAGACTGAATATGCCTAGCTATACGATGCTATACGGTGTTGGATACTACAGGATACTACATCATTTGCCTTTTCTCCATTTCAAATTAAACAACCTAATCTATTTTCAGTCAACATTAATCGTCCAGCGTCATGATAAGGAGGTCTACCAATGAGACAAACCAGGTTCTCAGCGCTCAGCGCTCAAATCAACATGATCTTCAATTATACTCGGGCCATTGACATATGGATGGCGGCAAACGTCAGTGATGTTGTCGCGCTACTCATGGTAGAAATGCTAAGTTCGTGGATTGTCGATGTTTTGACATGTGTGGAAGAGCAGGTGGAGAGCGGACAGCCACTTCCGACGTGGGTTGCGCAGTAAGCCCAGTCTTGTTACTGAACTGCGCTTTATCATAACGCGCAATCTGAACTGCTTTTTAATATAGATGAACTCGACAAGAGCTGTACTCGGTGCTGCACAGAGTCAATCGGATTGCCAATTCTCTAGTTATGCATCAACAATTTTAATCGCGTGTACGTATTGAGGGCATTCCACCTCAGCGTTCTGGTGAGCACATCAAACCGTTGTACTTGAAGGATACTAATTTGCTTTGCTTTCCCGTCGGATGTCATCTACAGCATGCCATGCTGCGGTACATCACCAGTCGGCTGTACTCAGTTCCTCTTCCGACGGGTGACACATTGTGTCGGCTTACATCGCTGTGTCATGCGTAACACTCCCGGGCAATTGGAACAACGTTCAATACTGCGCTGGACATCGCCGCGCGGCTGTAAAACACTATCTTTCACAGGTTGTAGACATGAGGTTTTTTTTGACACCCGCCGCTACCTTCCCTTTTCGCGGAGGTCTAATGATACCGGGTCACACTTTGGGTATATATAACCCTTGAGAGTTGCTGCCTCTTGGTATACCGCCTTTGTCGGCTAGAGCCTCCTGGGCCACACTCAAGCTTCCTGTTATACGTAGTATGCAGTCTACGAACACTTTGGTTATGGCCGCCTTCCTCATCAGCGCGGTGAGGGCAGGTAAGTTATCTGTCAATATTTGTTGAACTTGATATTCAAATACCATAGCGAGCGACAACAGCACGATCAGTGTTGACGAGCCGACAATAGTCTCTGTAGTATTTCGTCAGTCCACAAAGTATCAAGTTTAGCATTGTATCTAATCCATTCTATCCAGAATACAGCCCAAGCAAAGTCGCAGCGGCCGTTGCAGGCGGGTTGTACTTCATCGCCAGTCTTTGCCTGTTCATGCGCTTATTCATGAACAAGGCATGGTGGGGACTTTGTCTCCCTATAGCCTCAACCTGTAAGACCTCGCTTCCCCCTCGAAACACATGTTAACTGGTGGAACAGTCATGTCCGTTGGCTTTTTTATGCGCATACCCATGGCGATGTATCCAAATTCTCTCCCAATTTTTATGGTCCAACAACTGTTCACCTTGTTACCGCCCGCCGCATACCTCGCCTTTAATTACATCCTATACGGGCGTTTTATTGTGAACTGCGTAGACAGACGCTACTCTTGGATAAAGCCAGAGAAAGTCGCCAGGTACTTCGTTATCAGCGATATCACGACATTCCTCATACAGGTTCGAAATTTGTTTGTTTGTGTCTCCGTCACGAGATTGATCGCGACGTTATGTAGGGTGGAGGTGGTGGTCTGGAAGCGTCAACAAACGTGACAAGTAACAAGCTGGGCGCGAATATACTGCTTGCAGGACTGGTCATTCAGACACTCTCCTTTGTGTTCTTCATGCTCCTCATTGTGCATGCATGGCGTAGTATCCTTCGAGACGGTATTATGCCCCGTCAGGAGCCATGGGGGCCGATTCTTTGGATATTGATGTTTTCGTCAACAGCTTACTTGGTACCAGTCTTTCATCCACACTTCATCGTCCATCTTCACTGATGTTGCGTGATATAGATTCGCTGCATCTATCGTGTCATCGAGCTTGCTCAAGGTAGCGGTGGCTATCTCATCACACATGAAAGTGAGCGGAATACTAAAATTGAGGTGCTTGGTCTGACCCTCCCCTGACAAGTCTACTTCTACCTCCTCGACTCCTTGCCACTGTTGATTGGTATTTCCACATACATCATCTACTGGCCAACGAAGTATCTCGAATCTTCAGCCAAGACCGCCAATCAAATGAGTAACCGGTTTTAGAGTTCGGTCATTGCCATTTCATCTCAAGGGCACCCTCGGTGCTCGCTGTCCCCGCTGTAGAAGGACCCTGGACTATGATATCCACTTACGATGCACTAATATTCCTTTTCGAACTATGTTTGTAACATAGATCAATTACTTGACCGCACAATGTCCCTTAGCAATTGCGTCACCAAGATTCATGCTAAGCCTATTATGTTATTACACGTCATTGAGGGGATTACACTATCCCCTTAATATCGATATGTATCGTATTTTGAAGGGTCCATGCCGACAATGCCCGCAACCAGTGTAGGCGGGCTAAAATTTTAAAAGCTGAACCTCGGGCTACACTTGCAAGCGCCTTTTTCCATACCCATCCTTACGACTTCATCTACTACAGTAATCTGCCAACTCGCGCATACGAGTATTCCATTTGGATATCATCTATCATGACTCAATGCGATAGTGGAGATATGTTAGTGCTGCCGGACGGAATCGGCATACGGATGATGAGAGCATCAGATATGCCACAAGTTCGAGCACTCCATGTGAGGAAACACTTTCATTTGCCCACCAAAGCCCCAATTAGCAGGTCATTTAATTAATTCCAAAGACCAAACTCCTCCCAATCGCATACCCTACCGCATTCTTCGTGCAGCTGCTCGTGCAACCTCAACATATGTGTGTGATAGCCACGTACGACGGCAACGTCGTAGCATTTGCCTCTGCTCTCATGGAGACGCGGCATTCGACGCCAGGGGCGCTTGGTTCGTGTGGGGTTCAGGATCGACCCAGTGGAGGAGGCGCTCTGCGGGTTACCTTGTTGACACTTGGGGTATCGCCCGAGTTTCAACGACAAGGGATCGCACGCAGACTCGTACATGAAGTCGTGCAGCGCCTACGATCGTCTTGCGGAGTCCCTTCCCCTTGTCATGAAACATCTCCTGCTCCATCGCTCTCAGAGAGTGAGTCGACTGACGCAGTGATTCTACGCGCAGAGGTAGCGCGCAACAACTCGTCTGGACAGTCTTTTTACTACCACCTTGGGATGAAAAGACAAGCGGAAGCGGAAAAACAGAGCAGTTTTGGTTCGAAGGCACATACGTGCGTGGTGCTGGGGGTAATGAGAACAGTTCCTGTTTCCTGAACAATATATCTTTTCAGGTGGTTGGTGGCGTTCGCTGCAGAGATATTCATAATACTCACAAGCATTGCCAAGGACGCGCTAGCACAAGCTATACCCGTAGCAAATCTAGGTTTGCTGTAATGAGCATCTGGCATTCGCGATTGCTTCTTGCTTCCGCTGGAAGCACGAGAGGATACTAAATGACGACAGCTTGCGAACTGGGGGACTAAATTTATATATATGATATCAGCTGCAGATAGCGGTCGAGGCCTGGATGGTGAAGATCCGGGGTACACCCACCTGACTAAAATTCTTGAAGTCGCGATAACCTGCTATTTCATGGTGTTCAACCAGCTAACCAGTTGAAGAGAGGGTTTTGCCTTATCAAATTTTTTATCAAAATTAATTGAAAGAGCACCCATGGGGCACTAGAATCCAGAGCAGACCGGAAAGGGGAAAGTAGGGCGTTAACTGAGATTCCGCAATTCTGGCACTCATCAGATAAGAAGTGATGCCATCCTGCTCAAAACCTGCTATGTATGTATCTCAATCTGCTGCGTTTCGCTGCAACTCCTGCGATAGATAAATCACTTTCATCAGTAAACTTGTAAAGATCCGCGAAGAGACCTCTTTTTCGCGAACGCCACGAATATCATCTCGCTACGAAGCGAGATGATGATCAGCTGGATGATCAGAATCTGTTTCAGTCTGTGGTGCGCTGGCCGCATGCAAGTTCTGTCAAATGACCACGGGAATTCCGGGAGGTGCAAAGAGAATTCGGGCAACTCCAAACGCGAAGTTTGGCTGTAAACTCAAAAATCACGTTGGCATGTCCCAAAGTAGCTAGGGGAGTCTGAAAATCAGAGCGCCCCAGTATAAAATCCATCACCCCTTCTGTCTTCGTTATCAACCCGTTCTCTTTGAACTCTGATTGTTCAGGAAGGGTATTACTTGTCATCGCGCATCATCATGGCGGCAAAAGTTTATGTTGGGTACGTTGATGCTGCTTCGATCGTGTCTAGGAGCGATTTTACTGATGTCGGCATATCGATCAGTAATCTGAGTTGGAACACGACAGATGACTCGTTGAGACAGGTCAGTTCTCCTGCACGAGTAGTCCGATGGCGCTCTCATACTGACATCTTCCTTCTAGGCTTTCGGAGAGTTTGGATCAGTCACCGATGTGCGCGATCTATTTGAGGCGATCTACCATCGTGGTCAAAGATAGACATCGACGATGGCAGATCGCCATTGATTTTTTTTTCTCTTTGACTAAATATGTTATGTGCGCTCCTGCTCCTTGCTCGTTGGCGTTTTTTTTTAGGCCATCGTAATGAAGGACCGTGAAACTGGCCGCTCTCGTGGTTTCGGATTCGTCACCTTCAGCGGCAACGAAGATGCAGAGGCAGCCATTCAAGGGATGAACGAACAGGAGCTTGACGGTCGCCGGCTCAGGGTTAACCTGGCCAACGCTAGACCTAGTGGCGGAGGTGGTGGAGGAGGAGGAGGCTACGGCGGTGGAGGAGGCTACAGCGGCGGTGGAGGCGGATACGGCGGCGGTGGAGGCTACCAAGGCGGCGGCGGCGGCTACCAAGGTGGCGGCGGCTACGGCGGAGGCTACTGAGTGCTGAATTGTTTCGTGTTTTCAAAGATGGTTGGTATCGCAATTCTGTATGTTGTCCAAAGGTCGTGTTCATCCGCGTCAAGCCTACGATATTTCCGCATGCATTACAGTATCTGTTTGATCATAACACAACTTAAATACTTGGTCGAGATTTGTATCAAAACATGTGTTGTCCTCGATTGATTTCCAAGTGTTCCAACGAATTTGAGAAGAAAAGCTTGAAGCTTGAAGCTTTGAAGTGCGAACGTGCGTAGGTTACGCGATTCTCAGCGCCAGTAGGGAGCAGTAGGGTTGCCAACGTCACAGATGCGGCCTCGAGGCTCGATACGCCTAACTCCGGGACCGTTCAGCGCTAATGGCCAAGCGTTGCAACGTCTTGGAGGCCTATGATAGTCTAGGTTTTGGTTCTGAAAAGGCAATATACGATCGAAAACGTGTCACGAAAAACATTGAACTCTCGGTGAGGTAGCTACGCAATATTGACAAGACCCTTTACAGTGACCTTTTCAGTTGTTCCATGGCCCAAGAAAAAAGCAAAAAAGTCAAAGGGGCGTCGTGGAGGACGGAGAAATGTTAATTCGTTTCCAGGATTGGTCCCTGGACAAAGGTCGCCGCCCGGTGCCACGCCGAGCCTGGGCAAAGCTAGTGAGCTTTAAGACTTTTCCGCCGGTCTTCTCAGTTCTGGTCTTCGCTCTTACAACGCAGTGTTGAAGCAAGTCATCTGAAACCGGGGACCAGTAGACTCGAGCAGTTGGTCTTGTAGAACGCTTTGTGATCCGTGGCAGCTGTCAAGGTGGTGCCGAGCTTGCTTTGTCTCGAAGAACGTCCAAGCAACGGCCGACATGGTAAGTGGACCTAAACTGCTCTTGTATAATGCGTACCCTTCTGTCAAATCTGCGTGCTTTGGTGGTGGAAAGACCATCGAAAGTGCAGAGTGTGGGAGAAGGCTGTGCTGAACCGGTCCACAGGCCAAACAATTCCACAACAGGATGGACCCACAAGGACCTACTAAAATGGAAGCTCACTTTACTCATTTTCCCGCACTTCATCTGCTACGACGCGACCTTTCACCTTTTCCTCTTAACCACAACATCCATTCTTCGAGGAACTTTCATCCTCTGAATCTCAAGCTATACTCTTCATACTACACTCTTCACCCCTGGTCACCGTTACATACAATGACAGGCCCAATTAGATCCACTGGGAAGGCTCGCGCAACTAATGAAGTTCAGCCAGCCCAGCCACAACCACCTCGCCCACCTAACGCCTGGATCCTCTATCGCTCCGACAAGCTCAAGGTTCTGCCAGAAGCACCTGGCCAGCGCAGCAGAGCCCAGGCTGATGTCTCAAAGCTCATCTCTGAGATGTGGCGAAATGAGTCGGAAGCAGTGAAGCTCGAGTACGAGCGTCTCGCAGATGCGAAGAAGGCGGAACATCAGCGTCAATACCCTGATTATCGCTTCCAGCCCATGAAGAAGGAGGAGAAGGAACGTATCAGGGAGGAGAAGCGGCAAAAAAAGGAACAGGCTCGCGCACAGAAGAAAAGTCGCGGTCGCACCAATGCGGTTGCTGGTCCTTCCCAGGGGCCACAACAACCAGAACCAATGCCACCAATGGCATACGCGCCCCCCTACGTACTCCCTGCTGCAGTGCCTGTGCAGCCTGCTTCCTTCTACATGCCTGCTCCCCAATACGCGATGTTCAACCCCGAAATGCAGTATGGAACCGCGGGTCCATCCCCGCCTATGTCTGCTGCGTCATCGCCGCACCCGTCTGCATCTGAGTCTCCGTCGCTCTCAGATGACTATCTCTTACAGGTAGATGCACTTCTTTCCACACGCGTATGTTCAATTCCTGATGCTCAATCCCACCCTTTGCAGCCGGCCCCTCATGGTCTTCCCTCCTTCCCTCATCACGCTTACGGAATGCAGCCCATGGTTGTTCAGCAGCCCCAGGCTGCGCACGCTCAATGGCAGCATCCTCAAGAGCACGTCCTCCCTCAACCGGATGCTGCTCAACCGCAATGGAACGCTCCGCAAGAGCATCTTCTCCCACAACCACCTGCTCCGGAATGGAGTGAATATGGCACATCACAGGGCGAGTTCAAGTATCAACCTGAGGTACGCTACTTCTCATCGCTATCCTCATTGTCACTAACTTTTCACGCGTCACTCAGGATTACCTGAACTTTGAGGTGCCAGGGGCCAATGACATGGGCTCGATGGATGATCTCTCCATCGCATCTTTGCATGCAATGCTGTCGTCTACCGACCAGAACGGTGTGTTCAACATGGGGAACATCAACGCCGAGGACATCCTTGCGCAGCCCGAGGGTGAACTTGAGATCCAGCTAGCTCCCCACCCTGATGCACAGTCGCAGGAAATCGAAGACTTTTATAAAGGTTTCGATATTACTGAGGCACTTGCAGCTACAACCCAGGGGGATCAGCTTGATGCAGGGACCTCCTCGGGCACCGGGTATCCCGCAGACACGGTCACCAACACAGACGCCTCGTTGGACGACCTTACATCATTGTTCCGGGCGCCTCACAACCCTGAGCTGCAGACTTACATGGCAGCGCAACAGCGCCAGACGAGTGGGTTCACGCGCGATATGCTCGACTTCATCAACTTCGAGGCGGGCGAGGGTGGGTCGCAGAACGCTCCGGCTCCGCAGGTGCGCGCACCTCCCCCTCCGGCCCCACAATCGCCCATCTTCACACAGATGACGAATACCGCCGCTGTTCCACAGTCCGGGTATGTTCCCCCCGCGGGTGCAGCTCATTCGTCGACGCGTCGGGTTGGGGCGAGTTGGAAGCCCTCATTTGTGATCCCCGGTGACTCCATTGACCCTGCTCAGACCTGGAACGTTCCCAGTCGTCAATGAACACCCTCCTGTTCTGTTCCGTCAATCAAAAGAGAACCATCAGTGCATCCCCCGCATACAATCATGTTATCAATCTCGCTTTCCTGTGCTATAGATGCCCGACTGGATCGCTTTGTTCGTTTTTTGCTCTGTATAATTAATTCTAGGGCCTAGGCGGTTTTCATTCCTCGCGAGGGTCATCCCTTTGCTACTCCCATACCCCCGCCGACTCGTACTGTCTCACATCCACGGCGTTTGAAGTCCCCCCGAGATCTTTGTTGTCTCACTTCGCCCGCCCTTCCTCCATAACCGCCCTCACCACGTCACCGCGGCATCCTCCGCTCTATCATCCCATGTGATATCCAAATCGCATCTAATTATATCACGCATTGCAATGCCCGCGCATACCCACCCGCAAATATTTCTGGGTCCATCTATCATCATCTCATTCCTGCATCGCTGACGACTTGCATTGACTTTCTATTGCTATATCTTCATTCAGTCATATCATTCAATTAACATATACCATGTTCTCATTGTTCTCCACTGGTTTCCTTATACTCATATAGTACCGTCTCTTCTTTCATCGATATCAAATAAAAACGGCAGTATTCTTTAGCCGAAGGTGTACTTTTTCTTGCTTGTACAATGTAATCTACCGTAATGAAATTTCACGATCTTGTCATGCCGCAGCCAAGTCCATGTCCTATGATAGTCGTGGCATAAACTTTCGCGTTATTTCGCTGGCTAGTGTTCTAGACATGGTAAACTCCGCGATAAAACCCTCGTGGGATGTCTTTTTCGGGAAGACAATAGGGTTCGAAGGTATGAAAATCGACAGAATTGTACGGCATCGCACACTGAGCTATTGTTCCTCTGGCTTCGTGACTGTTGGTCCATATTTAACCCAGGGTAACATGCAGGGGCGTCACGGGAAATGGCGTGCCCCAAGTGTTTTCCTGGGGTTGTGCGTTCAAGTTTCCGTCGCTTCGAAAGGACAATGAGATATTGTTATCTCTGGGACTTGTGAGGGATAAAGAGCGGCAGAGAATTGCAGATAAGCTCGGATAGCTTGCCCTTGATTGCGATACTCCGTCAAGGTCTGCGATTGCGTGGTATTATCACGTTGGTTGCTAACATCTTTCGCTCATAGGTCGTATCTTCGGTATCTCAATCTACGCAGGTATCAAGGAAGGGCCGTTGCTAATGCGATAGGGAGAATAACGAGTTTCTCCTTGTCCCACTGCACATCATAACAATCTCCGAATCAGCGCCCCAGTATTGATCCCATCGTAACAGCCAAGACACTCACGACGTCGGTCTTATAATATATGTCCTCCTCCACGAGCTTACGCACGACATCGATGGTCTCGCCTTCGTAGATCAAGCACGACCCGAGAAACTTTTTGTCTGCTGCAGCTGCGTCGACGGAGTCGGGTGTCATGAACCCTCCGCCAAGTCCTGTTCAAATGTCAAATTCCAGATATCAACGCTCTGTGGTGTAGTGTCATGTATATGGTTCGTGCTGAACTTACGTACAACGCCTTGGCTGATGAGTGTCTTGATGTTCTCGAGGTGCGTAGGTCTTACTGCTAATCTTCGTTGGAGAGCACCCTCGTCGGCGTAGTCGGGTGCCCAGACGATGAATTTCGGTAGGGATGGCGTCGAGGACATGTTTCTCTTGTGGATGTAGTTGTAGATGCTTCGCTGTGGGATGACAAGTGGGATCTTGAGAGCTCGTGACATGTAGTGTGGTCGATGATGCCAGTTGGCAACTGCTTGATTCCTGAAACGGCCGCCTGGCGGGCCTGTTCGGACCGATCGAGGGCCAAGGCTTACTAATCAAATAAGTTCGCCAGTGCAAGTTGTCCTTCCAGGCCACCATCGCCTTCCAACGCTATTAGCCAAAAACACTGATACATCTTCTTCTCTAATTGATCCAGAGAGGATGTTTGGATAGCTGGATTGGATGATGCTATCAGAGTTTTTTGGTTACCTGCCGCTTGGCAACTTGGATATACTTATCCTTCCTCCATCATGCAGCTATCAGGTGATCCTTCGACTTGTAAACAAAGGGAGTATGCTAGTAGGTGTATCATACCGGAAATTACTTACTCGGCGCCCTGGCTCTCGTCTGCCTGGCTGACTACACTCACAACTTTAAAACCCTCACCACAACGACCATGCTTCCCCAATCCTCTCTGAGCTGCATGCGTCGTGCACGTTTACCCCCCTCAGCTAAATCGAAATGGTATTGCACTCGCTTCATATCTTCGTCATCCACAAAGATGCACCACTATATGGTGTGGGCACCAGACTACACCGACGAAGGTACCCTTGCGCGTCGCATGGCCGTCCGTCCCTAGGCGCTAACGAGCTCATCACGCAAGGAGTCATCAGTCAGTCTCCCATGCATTCACATTATCATTTCTCGTCTCACGAACATTCGAACATTCAGAAGTAGTTGGTGGTCTCTTGACGCCCGAATCCCAGCACGCAGAGCCACAGGACAGAAAGTTCGTAGGGTCCGCGCTCATCTATGAAGCAGAGAGCTTGAAGGATGTGAGGAGGATTGTGGAAGCTGATTTGTATTGGAAGGAAGGTGTTGTAAGTGATGCTTGTTTCATTTGTTTATTCGAACACGCTGATCGTCTTTTGGGAAGTGGGACAAGGCGAAATTGGTCATTCTTCCGATGGTGATGGCTACTACCCTTCAGGAGCGAGCTGGTATTACTCAACCAACGCCGAAATACGAGGACCGACGATAAATCGAGTCTTTCGGTGTAAGATATTATATTTCATCCGATAATCATGATATTTATTGAAGAGTACACGTGGCCATAAATCAAGAATGACTATTTATGAAGTGGAGGAACGTGCGGTGGTCACGGCCTACTATTTCTCCTGCAGGCGGGCACTTGTACCTTGTAAATTTAGTCTCCTCGATCCCACAACTAGGGGCCTCCCAGACATCACACCCCAACCACTACGCCGTTCTTCTCGTTCGTGCGCGTTCGCTACGCTCGCGCTACCATGACACGAGTTGTTTTATTCCGTTGAAATCTGCTAGCAATGAGACCTTCAATTTTGCATGTAGAACCTTCAGTCTCTAGCTGGATCGTGTTACATTCGCGCGACCTCGTGCTCGAAGCACTTCAAAGTGGCGTGTGCGGTAATTTCCGATGCAGTCTGACAAGCTCGCTTGGAGTCTTGGAGACTTGGACTCGGGTCACCACCATAAGAATTGTACGTTGGTTGCTAAGTATTTTCCACTCACAATATCTCAATAATAGTGGCTATCCGAGCATTTGGCACGGCTTTTACATCTGCAGTTGTTATCATTCATTTGGTTAATCACATCATCCTTTCCGCTCCCTTTGAAGGTGGGTGATTGACTTTATAGGTCTGAACTGACGATTAGTCCTCAAGACAGGCTTCAAGATGGACTCGGACACTTGCTCCTTTAGCGTGACGGTGATATGGATGGTTGGAGGTAAGCACCCATGATCTAAGACGATGTCATTCTCATTCGATCCTCGAGCTTGTTTTTAGAGCACGCTGGGGTATACTACCTGAGCATCGTTCCCGTTCTCTCAGGCTCTCAGGCTCGTGATATCCTGCTCACGTGGAGGTACTTATCTAAGCTTGAGCGCTCCTCCTGAGCGTTTCCGGCCCATCTTCAATACAATCCCAACTTGCCCTCGTGCATCTTTTGGAGTGCTGCAAGCAGCCCGGCATTTGCGAGTTGCCTGTCCACTGCATACATTACATCGCTTAGCAGAGGGAGGCGGAGAGCATCTTTCAATGGAATATACCGCGTTTTGCATCCTTCAAATTTCGAGGTGTTGCTTATCGAGTCCACTTATACTCGCCAAATCTCCATTTCCCCGGATCCAAATATCAATTCGACGAGGCGATGGCCGTCCCTACCGACTCCGGTTTCCATGGATTTGTGATACCCTAGTTCCGTTGGCAAGTTCGCGCTCGTTACTGGGATTCGGTCAACATAGCCTACGTGAAGGAATGAAGATTACTTTGCCTTTCCTAAGGAGAAACCCCACAAAGCACGTGCAAGTTTCTATTGGAAAAAACCCCAAGGCTGCACATTCCACATGAAATATCGAGTGAGCGGTTTTGACAAATCATCCGAATCCGACGGGGACGTGGAACATCGGCAACTTGTTCTTGGACACCGATACGGGATATGCAGTTGAATGCCACATAATGGTTATGTCTCCGACCTTATGGCCTCGATGGGCTGTGCCCTATGTTATAAGACGCGATTGTCTGTTATTTTGATCCAAAAACCTCTGAACTCTCTCCACATGAATTTCACATGTCCTCATGTACTAGTGGTAAGTAACCTACTTATGATAAAAGATCGCGCCTTAACTAAATTCTCCGTCTTAGGTAGGCGCTGGGCCGGCGGACCTGGTAGCGGCGTTGACACTCCTCCAGAACGGCATCCCAGTCCGCATCATCGATAAAGACCCCAACCCTCGCATTGGACAGCGTGGTCCCGGAATACAGGTTTGCCATACATCTACTTCTCTGATGCCCCGCAGTCTCATCAACGTGGGATCTAGCCACGCTCCGTCGAACTCTTCAACTTCCTGAATGTTTCAGAAGTCAACGACCTGGGGACGCGCGTCCCTATCATCCGTTCGTACAAGTCAGGGACTTTGGAAATTTTGAAGGAATCTTCCTTTACCCCATATTTGGAACCTTCGCCTGCGATACCATTCGTGCGCAGAGACGTCGTCTTCTCAAGCAGCTGTGCTGAAATGTGATTCATTTTGCTTTCTAGACTTCCCGAGTAATGGGTCAACAGCTTCTAGACACGATTCTGCGACGCCACCTAGAGAAGTTCTCTTGTTCTGTCGAGATGGGCACCGAACTGCGTTCGTTTGAGCAGTCTGAAGAGGGCGTTACCGCTGTACTAGCAAAGAATGGCACATTAGAATCTTTCGATACCAAGTGGATGGTCGGTGCCGATGGTGCTAAAGGTGAGATGTGATCGAATTAAAATACAGCAGAATGAATCTAAATTTTGGTTTGCAGGTGTTGTCCGCAAGCAGCTTGGGCTTTCATTTTTGGGCGAAACTAGAGACGATACGCGAATTATCACTGGAGATATTCGTTTGAAGGGTGTTGATAGAGCGGTGCGTCCCATTTCTACTTGCTCGATGGAAGAGCGCGCGCTCCTGATCCTGTCTCGAAAGTATTGCCACCAATTTGGAAATTTCCAAGAACGAGGGTATGCACCATTGGTATTGATTCACTGAGGCTTGGAGATGCATTGATGACCCACAGCATGTTATTGCGTCCAACAGACGAAATCGGCGAGGATGGCTGGCAATTTGTCATCTTTGATAATGACATAGATATGACAAAGGTTACTCAGAGCGAAGAGCTGATCTTCGAGATCATCGCGTCGGTGATACCTACGGAGGTTACGTTCAACAAGCTGGTTTGGGTGAGCGAGTTCCGGTGTGTTTTCCTTTTCTCTTTGTAAATCGATGCACGTTTAACGTTCATGGGTTTGCTTTAGGGCCAATATCCGTATGGTTGACAGGTTTAACGAGGGCCGAGTATTTGTTGCGGGTGGTATGTGGTTCTACTTTTGAATGATGTGCCTGTATTGATGGAAGTCGTCATAGATGCTGCTCAGTATGTATTTTTTGAGCGCGTTCTTAACAAACTACTGACATATGTCCAGCGTCCACAGTCTAACCGGTGGGCAGGTCTGTGTGCTCTCATCAAATGCCGATGCGTATTCATTTCTCTATAAACAGGGACTTAACTCAAGTGTACAAGATGCTGTGAGTCTTGGAAATGCATCGTGTATGCCACAACTGACCGGATTGTGCACTAGTTTAATCTAGGATGGAAGCTTGCGCTCGTCGAGAAAGGACTCGCCGACAAGTCTCTTCTCGAGACATACAGCGCCGAGCGTTTGCCTGTCATCTCTGAGATGCTCAATATGACCACCTCGATGCTCAACAAGGCAATCGCGTCGGGAGATATATCGATCGGACGAAGCTCCGTCCTTTTCATGCTCGGCATCAACTACCGGTTCAGCAGCATTGTCCTGGATGAATATGCGACTCCAGTTGAGGGGAGACCGATTAACGCCTACGGAGTGCTTGACGAAGGGCATCTGGAGGCTGGAGACAGGGCGCCTGATGCACCCAATATGCGTCAGGTAAAGCGCGGAGAGTCTGACATGAAGACGCTATTTAGCCTGTACAGACCGTGGTATCACACAGTGATTGTGTTCGCGCCGAGTCTCGCAGATTCTTCCCCAATCTTGGGCGCACTGGAGGCTTATGACAAAAGTGTTATGCGATCGGCAGTCGTTCTGCCTTCATCAACACAAGTAACGTCCGTTGCATCCCATGCTAACCTTGTTCTTGTTGACGAGGAGGGCTATGCTTATTCGGCTTATCTTGTGGAAGCTGGCCATACGAAGGTGTTTGTGATTCGGCCGGACGGAGTGATTGGAGCGATTGTACACGGTGCAGAAGGCGTGAAGAAATATTTCTCTGGTATATTTTTGGATGTGTGACGGTCTGTTCTTTCTACATGATTTTATATCACGACTCATTTATAAGCCCTGATCAACGTGGTTTGGGAGTGCACGAACGCAGTCGAATCTTCATCACTCGTGTTTCGCATTAATTTGAGACTATCACCGTGCGCGGGTGGGTGGATTGTTTGTTTTCACTTACGGCCGTAGTGAGTGCGAGGTGCGTGATATATGTCGGGTTGTCACCAGTGCGAGTTCAAATTTGCATTGTAGTGCGATTTATCATCCCGGTCCAGGTACTTATTTGGGCCAGAGGTAAACTGGATTCGAATCTGTGTCTGATAAATTGATTGATAATTTGCGTTCAAGGTCCCATGCTATCGTCTTCTTGAATATCAGCGAGCCTCAATCCTTTTGTGATAGAAATGTCACGGTGCAGAAGAACCAGTGCGGACTATATAACTCAATGCAGTGGCCAGATCTGGTTTTCTGCGCTAGCCGAGGCACGAGGCTTGCGCAGAATTTAGTTACGCGTGAGTAAGCAATGTGGCGCAGCGCACCTTGTTCCGTCCCAAGTCGGTAGTCGAACTTCCGTCGTTTCACGCAGTAGATCTGCATCGCTGTTTTCCTCTATCCTTTCGTATTTCGTTCGCACCCACCCACCACTCCCTCTCTCAGGGTACGGACAAACAGATTTCACTATATCCTGTTATTGTTTCACGGTAAGCTTGGCTTTGGCAAGCCAAATGGGGTCTCGCCAGTCGGCTATGTTGTTTGGCTTAAGGCACGATGGGCCTGGAAACACCTTGAACTTGACATCGTAAGAATTGAGCACGCCTATAATGTCACGCAGGTGAACGGTAGGATATTTTCCCTTCTGTCCTGCATATATATTGACGTCGGTTATGAATCATAGTGTATCCTACATCACGCCACAAACTCATGGAGCACTTCCGACACAAAAAAGGAAAAGAAAAAGATTCTTGCATGCTGCATATATAGGGAATTCCTTGCCATTTCATTAGATGAAGGAATCGAGCAAGGTCCGGGACGTCCAAGTTATAAGAGGGCACCATGAATTATCGAGTCTGTGCTAACCCAACAACCTCTGAACTCAACAACCTCTACATATGAATTTCACTCATCCTCCTGTGCTAATCGTAAGTGATCTGCTTATGATAGAAGCCAGCACCTTTACCGAATTCTCTTTCTCAGGTAGGGGCCGGGCCAGTGGGCCTGGTAGCAGCGTTGACGCTCCTCCAGAACGGTGTCCCAGTTCGCATCATCGATAAAGACACTAACCCTCGCATCGGACAGCGTGGTGCTACATACTGGGTTCGTCATATTATATATATCTTCTTTTCATATCGCCCTGTGGTCTCATTGACCGCACGGTCAGCCACGGTCACTCGAACTCTTCAACTTCCTGAATGTCCCAGAGATCAACGATCTGGGGGAATCGGTCGTTCCCGTTCAGTGGTACAAGTACGGGTCGTTAACGCCTCTGATAAATCCCCCGGCGCTCCCGACTATGGAACCTAACCCTGCGGTACCATTTGTGCGCAACACTGTCGTCTGCTCAGTGCTCAGGTCTTCATGTTCATTGTTGGGTTTTTTTTAGCATATCCTCAGGATGATGGGTCAACAACGCCTAGATGTAATTCTGAAAGGCCACCTTGAGAAGTTCTCTTGCTCTGTCGAGATGGGCACAGAACTGTGCTCATTTGAGCAGTCCGACGAGGGCATTACAACTGTTCTCGCGAAGAACGGCATATTAGAGAGGTTCAATGCAAAGTGGATGATCGGTGCTGATGGCGCTAAAGGCAAGATACGGTCAAATACAACAGGATGAGACTGAATTTGGCTCTCAGGTGTCGTTCGCAAGCAACTTGGGCTCACGTTTTTGGGTGAGACTAGACCCGATGACCAACTTCTGACCGGAGATATCCGTTTCAAGAGCGATGGTATTGATAGAATGGTGTGTCCATGCTGTACATTTTTGACAGAAAACTGTTCTGATCCAGTCTCGAAGCATGTTCACCAGTTTGGAAACTTTAGTGAACGAGGGTATGTTTCTGCTCTTGAGGCTTAGAGATGTGTATTGACGGTGCATTGACGAGCTACAGCGTGGTATTACAGCCATCGAACGAAGTTGGAGAGAACGGCTGGCAATTTTTTATCTTCGGCCCTGAACTAGACAAGACGAAGATCGCTCAGAGCGAGGATCTTGTCTTCGAGACCATCACGTCGTTAATACCAGCGGAAATCACGTTCGACAGGGTGGTTTGGATGAGCGCATTTCAGTGTGTTTCGTATTCCTGTAGGTGTCGACGCACGTTCATGAGTTTTCTTTAGAGCCAATATTCGGATGGTGAATAAGTTTAGCGAGGGTCGGGTCTTTGTTGCGGGCGGTATGTGGTTCGATTTTAAATGTGTGTAGCTGTGTTGACAGAAGTGGTGGTAGATGCTGCTCAGTATGTCTCTTTTTGAATGTCTTCCGAGGCTTTTCATAAGCTGTTTCTAACACATATTCAAGTGTCCATAGTCCAATGGGTGGCCAGGTATGGTGGTTTGATCGGTGCAAACAATCACTCATTTGTCTATGAACAGGGACTCAATTCAGGTGTGCAAGATGCTGTGAGTCAGGTAGATCCAACATATACGACACAGCTAACCGTGCTCTACACCAGTTCAATTTAGGATGGAAACTTGCGCTCGTCGAAAAAGGACTCGCCGATAAGTCTCTTCTCGAGACATACACCGCCGAGCGTTTGCCTGTCATTTCTGAGTTGCTCGAGATAACCACCTCGATTCTCAACAAGGCAATCGTAGGAGATTTGTCGCTCTTACAAAGCCCGAAGCTTTTCATGCTCGGGATCAATTACCGATTCAGCAACATCGTCCTGGATGAGTTTGTGCCTCCAGTCGAGGGCAGGCCTATCAACGCCTACGGGGAGCATGACGAGGGGCATCTGGAGGCTGGAGACAGGGCGCCTGATGCGCCCAATATCCTCCAGGTGGGGCGCGGAGAGTCCGATGTGAAGACGCTTTTTGGTCTGTACAGACCCTGGTACCATACGGTGCTTGTGTTCGCGCCCAGTCTCGCTGATGCTGCGCCGATCTTGGGAGCACTGGAGGCATGGGACAAAAGCGTCGTGCGATCGGCAGTCGTTCTGCCCTCATTTACATCAGTGACGGATGTCTCAACTCTTGCGGATCTCGTTCTTGTTGACCAGGATGGCTATGCTTATTCGGCTTACCTCATGGAAGCTGGCAAGACAAAGGTGTTTGTGATACGGCCAGACGGAGTGGTTGGGGCGATCGTTCACGGTGCAGAGGGCGTGAAGAAGTATTTCTCGAAAATATTTTTGGACGCGTAGTTATTACCTGAATATCCCCTCTTTAAAAATATTTACTCGCGGTTTCTTTACACGTACAACTCATCCAGGCCTGGTGTATCACGTTTGTAACTGGATGACAATATAGAATTACACCAATTTGTTCGAAAACAGTTCGCTGCTCGAGCGGGACTCACGCATTACACAGCCTTGTTCACTGCCGAGGCTGCCTTCATACAGCTCATTATCATGCCCTCCTTCGAACCATCGAATAGTACCTACAACTGCTTGCTGTATTGCACTTACTCATGCAATGCTCTCACCACTGGATCCTTGTCACCCTTCTGGCATGCAAGCACCCTTGGAACACTCGAGACAATATTGTAGGCCGCCTGCGTAACTGTACCTTCGCAATCGCCCTTCATTGATGAGTCCCGCGTCGGCTCTTGAGCTTCGCTCTAACGTCGTGAATCTCTAGAGGTAATGGGTAGCGTCTCACCCTATTCAAGCCTGTTGTCGACAGATAAGAGCGCCTGGCCTTGACCGGCACCAAATTGACTTTGCCCGATTGCCACAAAAGATGGAGTGACATTCGGGCGATGAAAATCTGTGGCGTTGGTCTCATCGTTCCACACCTACGCCAAATGGACATGAGGAGGGCAATTAGTGAACGAGAAACACCGAAAACTAGTTGGGCCGGGGGTTGGCCGATAAAATGAGATGAGCGACAACGCTGTAAGTAAGGCTATGACAATTTTGAAAATGATTATCACATAGGTGTTTGGATAAAACGCACCTGGGAAGGCGCAACTCCGTCGCATCATTAGTAGCTGATTTGAGACGCGAGAAAAAATGGTTGGAACTTAGCTGTATCTGATGCACATCAGATCTTGGGAGTCGACGAAATGAAGATGTGATATTGATGTAACCTTACGCATGCGTTCGAGTTAGCTACATGGTGATGCTAGAGAAACTGCTTGACACAAGAAACAACAATATGCAGCCATCTATGATAGATAACTTTCAGCCAGATTTGAGCGCCAGGACTAGTAGCAACGGCAGTATGGATGCGAGGGGGGGATGTGGAGACAGAGTCAGGCAACTAGTTTTCCAGACAATCCACCTGCAATTATGGATCATGAGATCGAGCATGGGTGGAAAGGATAAATCTACAACCAATGAGGAGATGTAGATGAATACGAGATAGATCGCTCACTGAAAGGTATCGTCACCGTGATCGAAAGGATCGACATTTCAAGCTTTCCGACGACTTCTCCACGAGATAGTGTTCGATCAAGTTCGAAGGATGCCCGGATCTCTAGTGACGATTCAGGTGACGTATATAATTATCTACAAACCGAGAATCAGGACTCAGATCATGTCCGTGAGCCTGTCAGTGTCCTGACGCGCCACAGATCTCTTGGATGATAGTACGAGGATAGCTGATTTCCAGTATATGCGCTCGGAAGGGACTCTAATATTCTTTCCGCTGATGACTGTATATAGAGCGAAAAGGTCATGAAACAGATATCAAGGTGATATGGATTGACCTGCCTTCGACCAACTTGAAGCTGGGGCATGTGAAGCGATGAAGCAAAAAATAAGGACCACAGAGAATAAACGATGATCTGAGTGGTAGCAAGGTAGGGGTGTTATTGTAGATTTGATGTCAGCCTAGGCACGGCTATGACTTGAACTCTGCAGGGGTATGATTTTTAGGGTTGACCTCGTCATCGTTGTCCCATCAGACCTTGGGAAGCACGGACATCAAGATCCAAGATGCACCACCACAACAGACGTGATTTTCCGACCTTATCATACTCTACAGGTTGAAGCGAGTCGTAAGTGGCGGTATCGCGAGATTTTTGACCTCTGGTAAATGTGGCAAACGATGAATGGACACTAGATCTAGAAGCGACTTTGGCAATTGAAGGTGTATTCTCTTGCATATACACCTTCAGGAGACAAAATAACCTTAGAACTATACTATTTGCATCCTGGATACGAACTTGTTGTCGGCACCTGGGTCAGTATGTGACGCGAATCGGTGGGTTGTGGTCAGAGTCCGAATTAGACAGCAGTGCCACCAGTGAGCGCTAATTTGAAATTTACTTTCCGACCAACCTCGGACCGACAAATCTGCACTCCGACCAAGTACCGAATATCTGCACCAGCGAGTGGCATATGCATTGTGTCCTGGAGGTATCGCAGAGCTACTGGACTCTCACATTGCACATTTGACTGTGGTTCTTCCAATGCATTGCTTACAGAACCATCACAGGTCGATCCTCTTCTACAATCGAGAGTGACCATTGAGGAGGGGCGAGATGATTCGCACGGCGACATTTTTCCAGGTAGGCCTCTTTATTGATATAAGAAGTTGAATGTCTATCTTCCTAGGTCTGGCTAGGGGAGACTAGGCAGGGCCTCGTGTTTTGTCATGCAGTATCAACGATAAGTTTTCTTTTCAGCCACCTTATCCTTCGGTAGTACCACCTTTTCCCTGGCGTCCCCACCCGTCCTCGAATCACTGCTTTTAGAGCATTATTATGTCCGCTCAAAAACTCCCGAAAGCAAACAAGTCTGCTCTATTGCTAGAGTTGCTCAACTTGCTTCCGCAGAGCAGTTGTACTCGACATCGCCGTGACAAGGACACAATAACCTGCAGAAGATGACATGACTACGGATATAGAAGTAACTTTTGTCTTGCGTTCTGGTGTATGCCACCACGTCACTCCCGTTGCGGGTGATGTGGCGCCTGATGCACTGAAACTGATCTAGATGTAACACAAAGAAACTGGTGTGAAGACGCTTTTGGGTTTGTACAGACCCTGGTGCGTGTGTTCGCTTCAAGCCTTGCAGATTCTACCCGACCTGGGGACACTGGAGGCATGGGATAAAAGTGTTGCGCGATTAGCTGTCGTTCTGCCATAGCCGACGTCAGTGACACCGAACGCATTCCTTGCTGAACTTGTTCTTGTTGATCAGGAGGGCTATGCTTACTCGGCTTATCTTGTTGAAGCTGACCAGACGAAGGTGTTTGCGATACCGCCAGGGCCCGGACAGGGTTGGGGCGATTGTTCATAGTGAAGAAGGCGTGAAGAAATGATTATCGACAATATTTTTTGGATGTGCAGTGGTTCGTTCTTTACTTACGACTTTTCAAAATCACAGCCTACCCAAAGCTCAACTGAAATTATGCAAATTTAGCGTACACAAATCACCGTTCGCTTCGGAAAACCTACCTCTGTTTGGGCAAGACCATCCCTACTGGCACAACGAGACGAATGATCGAGATGCTAACTCATGCGGCAACTATCTCGAGTAACTCGATCTGATATCCACACCATCACGTCTTTTTTATTATCCTTCACAATATTATGTATTTCAAGTTATGCTCACGATTCGGTTAGATCGAGCGTTGAAACTTGTAAACATCTAGCACTTACTTGGCTACACTCGGCGCGACAAGCTCGGACCCGTGCTCATCAAGCAGTCAAGCTTCTGAAAGCTTTGAAGGTTGATTGTAGGTCGGTCGCGTAATCCCTTGACATGTTTCAGCCTCAGTATCTCGTACTTAGGTGCGGTACTGCCGAGACCGGCAGAACTGTGCGCACCTGGGCTTGGATATGATTGGATCAAGATTCAAGATCACTGGCAGAGTAGAATCCCGATGAGCACCCAAAGAATCGACCACTGGGAGCTTTTGAGCTCTGTCGCAGTGTTCTTCCTGTACTTGTCATGGCAATTTTCATCCAGCAAGACTTTTTGCAAGCCTAAAATGCCTCTCCGTACCAGTGGTGCCGGCAGCTGTACATACTCGCTTCAAGTACGACTCCACGAGACTGGTCAGACTACGCACAAATTAGCATTGAGAAGAAATCTGCTTGGATGGACATGGGTGTAAACAAACCAATTACCGAGGCGCGTATCGCTCAATCACAGTGTCCAGGCTGGAGCATTTGAGCCCTACGACGGTGGTTTCTGGTCCCGCCCGAGTCAGATACTCCTCGGACATCGGATGGCGAGGGTGATAGATCACACAGTCGAAACGCGCCCGCGTTTCACGCCAAGGTCATATTTATCATTCACGTAATGAATTTATTCTTTACGGCTACATGCTCCAGACCACGGACTAGCCATCGGTTACAATTTTGATCTGAAAAAAAACATCGACAAAGACGGCGGAGCAGCCGGGTTGGAGCATGTGTTCATCATATAAAAAGTGGACTGCAATGCGTTTGATTCTTCAGAATCCATCTCTTCTTCAACCAGCTCTCCAGCATCAAGCATCTTCACACTCTTTCACCGTTTCTTAACCTTTCTAGTCAACACAATGATGGCTCGTTTCTTCGCTGTTGCTTTCCTTGCGGCCCTCGCTGTCGCCACTCCCCTCACTCTCCGTGATGGTCAGTGCAACACCGGTGACATCCAGTGCTGCCAGAGTTCTACCACTGTGCGTAACGAATCACTACTTGTTTTTCACTGATTCTCATGATTTGTTTAGACTTCCAATTACAACAAGGCGGCAAAGTCTCTTGGCCTTGCGGCGATAGCCGCTGATGTTGTCGGTACCATTGGCCTTAGTTGCAGCCCTATTACTGCCATTGGCACCGGCAGTGGCGCCACGTGCAACCAGCAACCCATGTGCTGCAGCAACAACAAAATGGTGAGCTGCAAGCAATGTTCTCTGTTCCACCCGTATCTGATGGGGCAATTTTAGAACGGCCTTGTTAACATTGGCTGCACTCCCATCAACCTCAACCTTTAAATCCTTTAAATTTCATTGGACTTTGGACCTTGCCTGCGTCATTACATGGTACATAGTTTCCCTTATAAGCTTTATAGCTAGTAATACCCGCATTATCTGGTTCTTATCCAACTTGATTTGACTCACACTACCAGTAGGGCCCGGATGTGCTGTAAGATCTTTGATGAGACAACACTAATAATTCGATCTTGAGTAATATTTGTGGTCTCGCAAACGAGTACCTGCGTTCTTGAGTCACGGGGCCTAGTATGCCGCCCTGGTTCAGGCCTCAGGGTCGACATGTGCATTGTGTATTTTTCTCATTGCATTTGGAGAGTGACGACGACGGTGGCATGTTTGTAATATGTATTTAGTGACTTCACCAAGCAAAACAATAATCCTCCCCGATTCAAATCCGTGGGACACCTATGCGAGGTGGGTACTGGATAATTTTCTCTCGATTAATATTTTGCACAGCCGTCGTGAACTGGCGCGTGGGCCGGCCCGTGGTTCATCCCCTCTGGCTTGTCAATTGCAAGTTATACCATTCGTCTCTTGTTTTCCCTACGATTTTAAAACTCGCCGATACTCAGGACCCGGGTCGCTTGTCATGTAAGGCAGCATAATATGTGCAGGTTGTACTTGAAGCAGTCCGTACGAACGTGCTACGAATATTAATGTCACCAAGAGGCAAACCGTTAGCGTCACAGCCTGCTACCTGTGGTGGGAATACCTCAGATGGTGATCATGCACTTCTTGAATAAGGTGAGTATTCTTTTCCGGTAGAGGTGGTGCTTCCTAGGTATGTGGATGCTTCACTACTATGAGTACATTTTTTACGGCCATGGTTACTTTGTCAACCAGGATGTCGATGTTTCTCAGTAACCTTGCCAATGCCCTGATATTCAAATTTTACAATCACCAGCAGGAAAACTGGTTCCATTATGATGGAGGAAGGAGTTAGAGACCTGTGTTTCTTGATAAACTTACCAGTGGCCTTCGAGACCGATTCAAAATGCGGGTATCCAATCTGATCTGGATGAGGCAAAATGTTTACGCTGTATTTCAAACTCGCTGACATATCCATATCTTACGCAGCCTCTCGCAATAATCTTAGTGCTGTCAAATCACGGTCCACCTCTGCCAAACCACACTAGATCAACACATTGACGCTCTATTGCCATCCTCGCGCCATTTCGATGTGGTCACAGAGGCCATATCGTCCATTGCAATGGATGCCTTCTTGTGTGGTGTTATTAATGGTTCTTTCACGACTGCTGTGGAACTGGTAGAGCAAGGCTGTACAGTATTCTGGTCCCATTTGGCACTGGCATCATATTGCCATGCATCTGCATACTACCCGCCGCCTTGGTTATCTTGAGTGCCCAAGATCCTATCCACATTCCACTTGATACCGCGCAGATCGAAGTCTCCGGGTTTCAGTCCCTCGCCGAAGAGCAATTCAAATCGATCGCACAGGTACTGATGTGGGGAAACCAATGTCCATCTTTTACAGTGTGCTGGCCCGAATCAGCTCGTAACAGCCAGTCGCACGGGCGCTGATGTAGAGGAACCTGGAATCATCTTGCACAGCGTGCACAGTCACCGACGTGCGGGCATCAAGAGCTATTATTTGAGGAGTCTCTAACAAGACTAAACCCGATCTGCATCGTGGATATAAATTTGTGAAAGGACCCCCATTCTCTCCACTATATCCACATCGCTGTTGTGGGATGGTTGCCAAGATTTTTGCCTTCCTTTCGGTATTTGCAGTCTATGTGATGGCTGCACCGCTCTATGTTGTAGGAGGTAGGTGTGGGCGACTAGCGTTTAATTGAATCTATGCTGAATAAATAATTTAGGAGGAACTTATGCCACTGTTGCAGCTTCGAAAGGAGGCATTGAGCCCTATATTCTTGGCAAGAGGCATGTAATGGATCGCTGTAAGAATTTCAGCCAATTTAGCGTCACCGCACATTGTCTAAACTTCTCTGTAGCACCGTCAAACGATCGCGAGATCTTTTCATGACTTGGCACCATAGTTAGGCTGAAGGAGTTGTGGCGACTGGTGACCCATTCAAATCCGCTACAACTTGCAAATCGCAACAGATGTTCGCGAGATATCTTATACAACACGTTTAATTTATGTTACAAGAGACATTTAAATCGGGCGTACCTGGACTTTCGCGAAATACATCGGCAGCAAGTTGGCGGTCTCGCCAATTGACAGCGACATTATCATATAGCTCGCACCAGTCTCTGCAGACGTATGTGGCACCAACGCGGTGTTGTTCGAAGTCTCGTGTGGTAGAATGTTCTCCCTCCAGTGTGAGATCTGCTTGGCAAAGTCTTAAATAATTAAGACAGTGATGTGAATACTTCAAAATATCATGGCGGCACCACAATCTTGGAAATCAGAAATCTTACCGATACTCTCCTGTAGTTGCTAGTTGAGAGGAACGGTGACTGTTTTCCTCCGCCTATGTTTTCTCCACCGCAAGCTTACCAAGTTGGCAAGGTGAATCTTAGTAGCCTTGTTGCACTACATCTTAGTATTTAGTAGTCATAGACAGACTTTAGTCGAATGAAGGAAAGTAGTAGTCGTACCTCTCTACATACTCAGAGTCAGAAGAACACGGTGCAGACTCGAAGTTCGTGACATGTGAACATTGTGACAGTTGGATGTGGCCGACTTCCGCGATGGATATTAATAGATACGGTTTCCCATTTTCCGATTGTTTCTTGCTGATCCTATATTGATGTTTCGGGGCCCGGGCAAATTCAATGGTAACTGGTAAGTATGTACTTCTCTACACTTTGATCAAGTTCTATTCAACCGTTTACTATTTATCCGTAGGAGAAGCGAGGGTATCGGCGCTTTAGCCACCTCAGGCTGATGAGTTAACTCATTCGTAGACGCCTACATACTGAGATACTAGTGCCGCCGCCGCAAGTGTTGCCACGCAGTGCCTTGATAAAGCTGCGATAACGCTAATGCCTATTTGATAGCTCTTACCATGCGCTCTCAGTCTCTCGTGGCAGCTCTGGGCATAGGGTCAGCAGCTCTAGCATTACACGTCCAATTTCCTGCCAACACTGCTGGAGAAACTTGCGTTCGACCATCGGATATCATCAACTTGAATACACCTTCATATAGCCTCAGTTCAAACACTGAGCAATGGAGGTTCGACGAAGGTCCTCCCGAGAACGCGACAGGGAACTTGATCTTCGACACTGTCCATTCATTCCTGCAACACTGGCCAAATACTCGGTATCGTAATGGTAAGTTTTAGCCACTTGCTCACGCTTGAAAAACAGCCCACCTTTGTTGTAGGACATAATATAGTACCAGGAGTGATTCCGATGGGTACTCTGCTGTATCACGGCGGGAACAGCGACGCAATCCCCAGTGGGCCCGAGTGGATCGCTACGGACCCGGAGCATTCTATCATTTTCGCTCGTGGAAGGGATGGAGGTGGCTGGCACCTTACGCTAGCAGCAACGCGACCTCTTAAAGTCTTGTACTTTGATGGAAGTAGTGCGGCTAAGATATCCGAAGGTACGATGGATACGCAGGATATTTTAGCCTGGGGAGAAGTGCAACCCGAGCGATTCTTTGATGAAAGACAACGAATAAGAGATCTCTGTACGTGGGGCAAGGAGTTTGGAATCGACGGTTTCGCGAGGTTAGTGGTGACTCATCTTGCCATGGTATTTAACTGATTCTCAGATTTCTAGGATGGAAATGGACTTGTGCGTAGCCTTTCGATTCTGAGTTGCGCTTCCGACTGACGAACATCTAGTGAAGTTATGATGTGTGATTTTACGGCTGGTGTTGAAGTAGTATCTTTCCTGCATGTCCGAGTCTTACCACAGGACGGAAACCCATACTTTCCTCACCTTCTTTCCCCCCCTGCGTTTGATTCTGATGCCGGTCAGTTATTTCTTCACATGTTCCAATACGACTGACGACATATGTCCTGAGTGTAGGGACGCGCCAATTTGAAGTCATGCACTCCGGCTCATGGCACAATCGCTACCCAGGAGATTCTCGCATTGTGCTCGACCTCACTGGTCTTATCTCACTGTATGATGCTGCACTTGCGCCTTCTCTCATCTCGGTTCGCGCGGGTATTGAACGGTGGGACCACCGCGTGTTCGGAATATCATCAGACGACATATCGCAGGTCATGAGAAAGCTCACCGAAGCTGTCAGTCGACCAGAGCCTGTGGGCAGCGGCATTGACTGGAAGACCCTTATCCACGTCATCGTCGATCGATATGCGGATCGACTCGAGTTGATGCAGCACCTCCTCAATTTCACGTCATCAGACTCGCAAGAACTCTTTCAGCGAGTGAAGCTCGCACAAACACAGCTCAGTGTCATGCTTACGCCGTATCTATTAGATTCCACCATTGTCCCCAGCGCAGGCACTCCAGGCGTAGATGCATCGCAGTGGGCGTCCCCAATCTTCAGGCTATGCGCCACAACACATACTTCGAAGATGATAGATCATACTTCTTCAATGACGCCTTCGGAACGCCTACTGCTGAAAGCCGTCGAGGAGACAACGAGAGAGATCTGCCGTGTCACTACGAAAATGTGGGCTCATGGTGTCATGAGCGGGCTCGACAGTCTTTTCCCCGTTAATGCGGAACCTGATACAACTCAAATAATGAATTATTGGAGACACGACATCCAGAAGCTGATGTCTTGGTTAGACTGGAGTGTGTGGGTCAAATGCCGACCTGCCTGCGGCCCAGAGGTGGGATATAAAGGACTTCTTTCCGATCTAACCGGGCTGAGCATGATCTACTTCCAGGAAATGTGCTATCTCCCTACTTGGCCTGTCAATGCGCCCAGGCCAAGGCATCCACGTCCACCTCCGCGGGACCCATGGAACGCCACGGATGCACCAGAACCAGATCATCTTGCTGATCGAGTTGGACCCCCACCCGAAGGTCCGACGACGCCGACGGAGGAATGGAGGAAGCCTCAACCGAAGTGCATTAGGCGCGTCCAGCCATACACATTTTGATCATGATGGCCCTTCTCCTTGCATTCGTGAGTCATCTGGACGTGTATTGCTCTGGAGTGCAATGACTGGTATATATGTATGTCAAGTGATACTACGCATAATAGGGGATATATATTACAGCTCTACCGTGAGGAATGAACTGTAGGTAAAGCATGCTTGCACTGCAGGTTTCTTGCCACTTGATTTCAAAGGGTCTGCCGAATATGTCGGGCGTAACAAGGGAAAAGGGAACACAACAGACTCGATGCATACCTTATCTGGTTTTTTAACAAACGAAACCTCTCACTGCGTTCTGGGTGAAAGGAAGCCACGTGGCAAGATGGCTATAGATAAACTTTGCTGTCCTCAAAACCCGCTTTTCGACTTCTGTCCCAAGATGGCATCGAGGCACATCTCGATGCTTGGTGTTCATGCCAAGCTACCCCTAGCAAGCGCTCATCCATACAAGACGGTGAGGCATGGAAGACATTACGAGCCGCAGATGGGAGTTTGTTTTTGACCTACTCATTGCAACTTCAAGAAGGCACGTGCAAGGTTATTCGGTTGCTCAGAACCAAAACCATACCACGCTTCAAGTTTGCTTGTCAGATAGACAAACGTCTAGCGGCACGGAAACCGACGGCAGTACGTCTAAGCGGGCCGTCCACGAAGCATCATGACGGTTCTGGTGAGAGCTTTGACGAATCATTATCAGATGATGTGATGTCACCTTGATAGGTTACTTGCCGATACGCAGTCGAACGGCAACAGATGCCATCATTACATGCCCGTCTGATCGGCTTCGCCCCTATGTTATAACGACCCGATTTCCCTCTATGCTGATCCAAATCCTCTGGAATTCCAACCAACTAATCCTCCTGCCAGTGTGAGCGCTACATATGAATCCTGTTCATCCTCCCGTGCTAGTCGTAAGTAACCTGCCTGTGATACATGATTGGACCTCATCTGAATTTCATCATAGGTAGGCGCTGGGCCAGTGGGTCTGGTAGCAGCATTGACACTCCGCCAAAACGGTATCCCAGTTCGTATCATCGACAAAGACCCTAGCCCCCGCTTCGGACAGCGTGGTCCTGGAATATGGGTGAGTTATCATACATCTACTTGTCATATCCGAGTCACCCCGTGGTCTTATTGAACGCATGATCTAGCCACGCTCCCTCGAACTCTTCAACTTCCTGAACGTTCCAGAAGTTAATGATATGGGGAAACCAGCCCCTCCCATCCGTTCATACAAGCCCGGGACGTTTGAAATTCTGAAAGACTCTTTGATAGCCCCGCATATGGAACCTACCCCAGCCATACCATTCGTGCGCAGCACCGTGGTCTGGTCAAACATTCATGCTGATTGGTTTGTTTTTTTAGCATTGCTACAAAATGATAGGTCAACAGCTCCTAGATGTGGTTTTGAGAGGTCACCTAGAGAAGTTCTCTTGCTCTGTCGAGATGGGCACCGAACTGTGCTCGTTCGCGCAGTTTGATGAGGGCGTTATCGCGGTTGTAGTAAAGAACGGCATATCAGAGACTTTTGATACCAAATGGATCATCGGCGCTGATGGTGCTAAAGGTGAGACGCAGTTAAATGCACCGGATGAACGAGACTCATAAGGTGGTTCCGCAGGTGTCGTGCGCAAGCAACTTGGGCTCACGTTTTTGGGGGAGACTAGAGACGATAACTGCATTGTGACAGGGGATATCCGCCTAAAGGGCGCTGGTCTCGATAGAATGGTGCGTTCGTTTTCTACATTTTCGATTGGAAAGTTGTCTTGATCCTGTCTCGAAGCATTGGCACAACTTTGGAAACTTCAATGGACGAGGGTATGTCCAGTGTCTGCTTTGAGGCTTGTAGATGTGTATTGACGATGCCCAGCCTCTCATTGCGTCCAACAGACGAAATTGGCGAGGACGGCTGGCAGTTTTTCATCTTCGGCCGCGAACTAGACCTAACGAAGATCGCTGAGAACGAGGAGCTTGTCTTCGAGACCATCGTATCGTTATTACCAACAGAGATTATGTTCTACAAACTGGTTTGGATGACCTACTTCAGGTGCGTTCTGTATTTCTGTACATGTCGACGCGCGTTCATAGGTTTGCATTAGGGCCAATACCCGAATGGTAAATAAGTTTAGCGAGGGTCGAGTGTTTGTTGCGGGCGGTATGTGTGACATAATGTGTCCTAATTTAGACGTGTGTAGCTGTGCTGATGGAAGTTGTCGTAGATGCTGCTCAGTATGTCTATTTTTGAATGCCTTCTTCTTAAACTGCTGCTAACACTTTTTTTCCAAGTGTCCACAGTCCATCGGGTGGTCAGGTATGGCTAGTCCAATCGGTGCTAATAATTACTCATTTCTCTGTGAACAGGGACTCAATTCAGGTGTACAAGATTCTGTGAGTACGTAGATCCAATATGTACGACACAGCTGACCGCGCCCTCACCAGTTCAATCTAGGATGGAAACTTGCGCTCGTCGAAAAAGGACTCGCCGACAAGTCTCTTCTCGAGACATACAGCACCGAGCGTTTGCCTGTTGTCTTTGAGATGCTCGATGTGACCACCTTGATTTTCAACAAGGTAATCACGTCGGGAGACGTGTCGATCGGACGAAGCCCCATCCTTTTCATGCTCGGCATCAACTGCCGCTTCAGTAATATCGTCCTGGATGAATTTGTGCCTCCAGTCGAGGGGAAGCCTATCAACGCCTACGGGGTGCTTGACGAGGGACATCTGGAGGCAGGAGATAGGGCGCCTGATGCTCCCAATATGCTCCTTGTGGGGCGCGGAGAGTCTGACGTGAAGACACTTTTCGGTCTGTACAGGCCCTGGTACCACACAATACTTGTGTTCGCGCCGAGTCTCGCTGATGCTAGCCCGATCATGGAAGCACTGGAGGAATGGGACAAAAGTGTCGTGCGATTAGCAGTCGTTCTGCCTTCATCGGCTCCAGTGACGCCCGCCGCATCTCCTGCTGACCTCGTTCTTGTTGATCAGGAGGGTCATGCTTATTCGGCTTACCTCATGGAAGTTGGCCAGACAAAAGTGTTTGTGATACGGCCGGATGGAGTGGTTGGGGCGATTGTTCATGGTGCGGAGGGCGTGAAGAAGTATTTCTCGAATATATTTTTGGATGCGTAGTGATCGAATATTCATTCTTTACTTACGTTTATTTACAAGGACAACTCAGCCCTGTATATCTCAATCAACCTGGTGTATAACGTTTGTAACTAAAATAAAATATAGAGCCACACACCAGTGGAGGCCGCCTTCATACAGTCCATTATTAATTTATCATGCCCTCTTTCAATCCCCTTGAACACAGAAGTTTCGACGTCGTCGTCGGACACCTACAGCGTGCCAATGACGCTCTTGAACCCGAAAAACTGCAGCGCGGCTGCGAGGTGGACGTCTTCTCATCGCCGACAGCGGTATAGTATGACATGCTGATAAACATGAAATTGGCCCGGGGCTTGCACCATGACATCGAGAAGCGTGAGAAAATTATATCTCATGGCGGAATGTGAATATTTAAGAGCCAGTTCGTCTACCAGATGTTGACGAACATTTGGCAAAACAACCTGCGCAAATTGTCGGCTTGGGCCGACGGAGATTCGGAACTTGAATATGCTATCTAGCCGCATCGTAGGTACAATGTATGCCCTTGACAATGGATGCTCTACCAGCCGTCCCTGCTCCCATGGATCTTCGATTGGATGTCCCGCTATTCATGCCCCATCGTCCTGAAGTCCAGCAACGTCTCATACGATCCACGATCCTTTTGATCAGCATCTTGATTAGTGCTACCACTAGTATATTACATTCAATCTATCCAAAAGATCCTGAGCCATACCACACGTCTGCTCTATCGGGAGAAGAGTGGGTCATAGAACTATTAACTGGTCACCCCGCGCGAATACGATGCGAGCTTGGCGTGCATGCGCATGTCTTCGGGGAGCTCATATCGGAGATGCGTACCCTTGGGCACACGGACTCCAAGTTCGTCTCGCTAGAGGAACAGCTAGCAATTTTCCTCTACACGGTAGTCACGGGCTTGCCCATCAGACACACTGGTGAAAGATTTCAACGCTCCAACGAGACTATATCTCGGTGAGGGTGATATTTTTAATTGTGCGCTATATCTCATTGTACATAGTTATTTTCGTAGGATGCTCAATATATTTTCGTCCCCCCCCTTCTATTCAAAATACGTTCACTTGCCGGATGCATCTATCCCACGCAAAATTCGCCAGAACCCCAAGTTCTGGCCGTTTTTCAAGGATACTGTTGGGGCTATTGACGGAAGCCATATTCACGCATCGCCTCGTGCGTTTGAACGCGGGCCTTATCGTAATCGCAAGGGGTTTGTATCTCAAAACTGTCTTTTTGCTTGTGACTTCGAGATGAACTTTACATACGCACTTACTGGCTGGGAAGGGTCGGCCACGGATGCCCGCATCTATGAGGATGCCCGTGCTCATGACCTTCACTTACCTGCAGGAAAATATTTTCTTGCAGATGCTGGCTTTCCTCTACGGCCGGAGTTACTCGTACCATATTGTGGTGTCCGCTACCACCTTGCGGAATGGGGCCGCGCGAGCGTAAGGTGAGTTTACAAACATTTATTTTTTCAGCCACCAGAGTGTACTAATTTTTGCCTACAGACCAGCTAACAAAAAGGAACTATTCAACTTGCGTCATGCGTCAGCGCGCAATGTCATCGAACGAATCTTTGGCATCTTGAAAAGGCGCTTCCGCATTCTCCTTCTATCGCCGTCGTATTCAATGGCGGTTCAGGCACAGATCCCCGCTGCTTTGTGCAGCATACACAACTTTATCCGTTTCCATGACCCTACCGAGGGCGCCATCCCTGTTGATGCAGACAACGACGCTGGTGATTTGCACACCGGAAACTGGGAGCAACCGGCAGTAGCAGATGACCATCAACTTGCTGATGCAGATGTTCACACATCTCGCGATCGCATCGCAGAACATATGTGGTTAGATTATCAGCGGGTTTTGCGAGAAAGAAGTGTTCTCAAAGGTGATTCAGACAGTGATCTATCAGACCAGGCTTTATCAGAGGACGAGGATGGGCTGGGGCGGTTCTAGTCTTAGAATAGGTGACATTGAGCACATGTAACTGGCACTTGCACGAAAACGATTACATTGATATGAGAGCAGGAGTGGTATGAGAACAGTACATGATATAGTAACTACATGTTAGTATGAGTATGAGGCAAGTTACAACACAACACGAGTGGTACATGATACCTATACCTTCGCCATGAGCAAAGTGATATATAACGAACGTGTCTCAAAGTCCCCGTCGAGCGAAATGTAAGCGGCAAGAGAATTCTCATTTCCCTGACGGCTGAAGATCTGCATCAACTTTGCTCTCTCCATGACCGACAGATGTCCATCTTGGATACGCATAATCTCCAAGGCGCGGGTCATGCTGTTCGTGCTGGAGTTCAAGGTAAGCGACGGCGCAGAAGGTGTAGATGGGGAAGCCGTCAATGACTTCTCCAGAACGTCAGTCAAGCGGTTGATTGCACCCTGCATACCCACAACAGCGACTGCAGGGGTGATCTTTGCTGCCCTGGCGGCACTGCTCATGAGTTCCTGAGCAGTCTGCTTGGTCACACGGGCCTTCTTTATGGCTGGCTGCGCAGACGACACCAGAGTCGCAGAAAGTGGGAGGGATGCCGGCGGCGGCGGGAGGGATGACGGCGGTGGCGGGAGGGATGACAGCGGGAGGGATGACAGCAGGGGGCTGTCATCATAGAAAGTAGTTGGTGGAGCACCCGTGGAGGTGTAAGATGTCACTTCAGCGGAATCGAGTAGAAGAGTGTCGGTGCGCAGGCGCTTGTTGCCAGAGGACTGAGAGGTTGTGGTAACACCGGTAAGAGGAGGTACACGGACTACTTGCGGGGTGATTTGCAGGGTGGTGCTGATGTTCCCCATAGGATCCATGCTGGCAGCTGTCGGAATAATAGGCCCTTCGGCCTCAAGATCTTCGTCCTCAAGTTCTTCGGCCTCGGGTGCATTGGCTGATGAGGTGGGGGGTGGACCCGCGGAGGTAGGGTGGAAGGCATAACTTCCACGAGCACTGCTGTTCGTCCCCAAGATCTCCAGCATCTTGTCGTAGAATACCCAGCCCTTGTTCCGGAAGGGACGCATTGACGAATGAGACTAATATCATCAGTCTGTATACAAGACACATACGAGCATGATAGCGTACCTGTGGCTCAACATAGGCCTTCCACACAACTCCCGCGTCTGTACCTTCGATCGATGCTCCTGTGTCCTTGTCCCAGTGACAACCTGATTGGTTGCGGTATGTCTCAATGCCACTGAATGATTTTTTGAGCTAAAAACAAACATCAGTTCATGATAGATTAAGATCAAGATAACATATTACCGAGGTCCACTTAGTCTTGACCTTCTTCCCAGTCTTCAGTGCCCCCACTGATTCGAGTGTTTCATCGGCATTCAGGAGAACTGCCGCTTTGTTGTAAGTTTCCTGTGGAAAGTTTCCTCCGTCGCCACCCTGTGCACGATTAAGGACGAGGTAGTCAAGTAGTGCGTGAATCTCGAGGTCATTCCAATGGGCCTTGTCGGCAAACTGAACTGGTTGGGCCATGAGAACACTGGTATAATGGGCACAGATGGCAGTAATAGTGACCACCCAAGCACAGATCTGTGTACGACGTTGATTGTCAAAGGAATACGAATTCATGATGATGTACAGGTGCAAGGTGAAGCAAGGTTCAAATTTCGGACTCCGACTCTCGGGACGGCCCAAGCCGACAATTTGCGCAGGTTGTTTTGCCAAATGTTCGTCAACATCTGGTAGACGAACTGGCTCTAAATGGTCACCCGGTCACCGGGGGGTCATGTTTGCCACAATGCGCCCAGGTGCTGACAGTCAGGAAGGTGACAAAGAGAAAGATAAGGATAATTCCCAATCCCTCTTCTGTCAATGGAAACTTGCGCTCTTCGAAAAAAGACTCATCGACAAATCTCTTCTCGCGGCATACAATTCTGAGCGTCTGCCTGTCATCTCTGGGATGCTTGAGATGGCCACCTCAATGCTGAACCAGACAATAACAACAGGAGACGTGCCGATCCGATGAAACTCCATCCTTTTCATGATTGGCATCAACTGCAAGTTCAACAGCATCGTTCTCGATGGGTTTGCGAGTCCAGGGAAACCGATCAATGCGTACGGGATGATTGATGAAGGGCATCTGGAGGCTGGGGACAGGACGCCTGATGCGCCCAATATGCTCCGGGTGGGAGGTGGAGAGTCTGTCGTGAAGACCATTTTGGTCTATACAGACCGTGGTATCACACCGTGCTTGTACTCGCGCCGATGCAACCCTGACCGTGGACGCACTGGGGGCATGCGACAGAAGTGTTGTGCGCACAACTGTCGTTCTGCCGTCATCGGCGCCAGTGACTCGCCGTTGTATCCCCTGCTGACCTTGTTCTTATTGATCAAGAGGGCTATGCTTATTCGGCTTACGTCCTGGAAATTAACAAGACGAAGGTGTACAAGACGAAGGTGTTTGTAATTCAGTTGGACAAAGTAATTGGGGCTAATGTCCGTGGCGCAGAAGGCGTGAACAAATATCTTTCGATGATATTTTTGGGCGTGTAGAGATTTGGTGCGTCATGACAAAGGTTTTTCAGTATCGACTCATGCGTGCCTCAAATACATACCGTATATAACCAACGCTACGCACGTATACGTAGTCATCGACATTTGTAACGTATCCAATTACGTTGGTTAGGTTTTCAACTCGTTTGGGCGAGAACGCCTTCGGCCCATGAGGAGTGGGTCTAAGAGAAGAGGTTGGTTGTGATTCCCAATTATTAGCCCAGCGTACGTCCAATACCTAGGAGGCGGACTGCCTCGGGGAAGAGCCCCAGAGATCGGACACTGGTATCAGTTTCGCGGGTTGTCCGGGGAGGTGGTGCGAAAGTGGGAGTGTGTAGGCCAGCCTGCATATCATGAATGCCGGCGTCCGTGTGAGCATAAGTGCGGGAATCCATGTGAGGAGGCTGTGGGGGTCAACCGAAAATACAATAGCTTGAAACGGAGTCATCGTATTGCGTGCTCGGTTGCGTCGAACGGAGGGACACCTGCATAACTTCCGGGAAAAGAGCAGTGTTTGGGTGAGAGATTCTGGAGTTGAGATGGTGCTGCAGAAGAAGAAATGCGAGAGCTAGCGGTGTAGCTACGCGACGGCGGTCGTGGCACAAAAACAAGTGGTAACGTGTGTGCACCGCTGCTGTTCGCTCGACGACCTTGTGACTCTATGTCAAGAGTGTCAGATTCTTTACTGACTGAAGTACAAGCAGTTTAAGACTCACATATATACCGTAATCAAAGTAGCGTGGAATTAGACGTTGGGGATAGCTCGGAACGCGGGCGTCTCCTCTGTCGTAATAAACATGTCCAAGTCGGATTTCCTGTGGCTACATGGCCGTGCTATCGACGTGGCGTAAATTTTCGTACATGACGCCTCCCGTGAGCTCAGTTTGCGATCGATGCAATCATCGTTGGTGATCGTAGTATGTTGCGAACAAGAGCAGTAAACTTCTGAAACATCTTTAGAGCGGCAGCCTAAGTCCCACATTTCCATGAAAGGACATTACGTTTGATGGAAAAACGACGACATCTGATCTGGCATCGGATTACGAATGATATGGGAGATGGCTGTAGCCAGTATTGCTGTACATGTAGAGTGGAGGCATGCCCCAGATATTAGCTCCGATACAAATGTGAAGCTTGCAGGTTGTGGGTATTAGATGCTTTGTCAGCGATTTTGGATGGGTAATTGAAGATACCGGGCCTGCGCGCTGACCTGCCTTTGTTTAAGATCATCACCAGCGACACCGCACCTCTGTATAGTAGTACAGCCATTCCACCCCATGGTACTTTTATCTTTCAATCGTGTAATCGCCTAGGCACCTTGTCATGCTGGCCCCTTCCAGAAACCACAGAGCAGAAGCAAAGTTTAACGTTGCCACTGAATGTATGCCATGTTTCATTGACTTTCTTTCTTTTCTGACCATATACTAGTCCCACATCTAGGGCTTCATTCAGCTGCTGTATCAGGCGATATCGGACTAGTTCAGTTTGCTCTCAATCATGGTCAACCCGTCAATTCTGTACTAGACGGCGTTCTCCCTCTACACGCTGCTTGTGCAGGTGGTAATGATCTCGTAGTCAATCTTCTCATAAAACACGGAGCAGACGTCAATGCATCAAGGTCAGTTTTCATCATAACCCATAACTCCGATCACGTATGAATTCTTTCCACAGACTTCCCCGCAGGTATTCAGATCGCAGCCGTGATTGTGCCGCCGCTCCTATTGTCGGTCCTTCTGGTGCAACCCCACTTCATTTCGCTGCTGCAAACGGTCACGCAAGCGTCGTTCGCACACTTCTTATCCATGGCGCCCATCCTAATCGTCCAGATAAGCACGGCATCACCCCTGAGGTCGTCGCCCGTCAAAATGGCTGGATTGAGTGCGCTGATATCCTCGCAAGCGAGATTCTTGCACGTGCACGCGGTGATAATACACCCGATAGCGACGGTCATTCCTCTAGGGAGCGGTCCCATGCTCCTGTCGAGCACCTTGAATCTTCCCTAAGAAAGAAGCTCCACTTCAAGCGCTCTATCGACCACGCTCTTACCGCACTCAAAGTCGCAAGTGGCGCTCCTGATATCGACCAACAACCACCCTTTGTGCGCTCTGGATCCTCTGAACAAGATGACATACAACCTCAAGACTCGCCATCGTCTGGTCGTCGCCCATCTCTTCACGACGAACAACCTCACCGTCCCTCACTCCCAAAAATTTCACGTCGTCCGAGATCGGCAGGCACAGGCGCCGAGGCTACCCCTCCCAGAAAACTAAATTCTAAGCTGTCACTCCTCAGCTTGTTCAAGAAATCAAATGTCGATGCTTCTTCGTCTAGCGTTACCTCCGTCTCAGAGCTCCCGATCAATTCCCCCCCTTCTTCTTCATCACCAGTTCCTGTCCCTGGGACAGCATCGCCCGCATCAACTGCGGCAATAATATCTTCCCCACGCCTCTTCCCCGCACCTCTCTCATCATCTCCGCACGAGACACCCGCGCATGAACTTCACCGCCGCAGGCTTGAAACCAATCCTGCACGCGCTTCCCCCGACCCAAATCCATGGCATCGTTCTACCAGTTCCTCGTCCACACCTGGCGAGGAAATACCGGAGCCAACAGCCCCTGTGAGACCAGGCATATTGCGCATGCACGCTCGCTCATCTTCAGGCCAAGCCTCCCAGCAACTCCCCACATCCCGTATTATCCGCTTTGACAACTCTACCTCCAGTTCCTCCTCCCTCGCCGCACGCGCGCGTAGCCCACCATCACGTGGGAGCGTTCCACACGACAGCCGCCTGCGTACCCTTAGCATGGGAGCAGGCGCCTCGGACGTCGATCGTATACCAGATACAATCGAAGAATCCCCTCGCATACCGCAGTCTCCTCCCCCGATCCTAGTCAACGCCATCGACCTCGATGACCTCGAAGACGAAGAAGAAGAATACGGCGTACCCATTTTCCACTCCGCATCCACGCCCAACATCATGCTCACCCCCGACCGCGCAGTCCCAGTGTCCGCTCAATTCCCATTCAGCATCAACGTGCCTCCTCCTGACGACAGTATTATGTCTTCTGAAAGTCGTCTGCGTGGAGACTCTGTGAGCAGCGCAGGCACGACGGGTACTGCGAGCACGTACACGCAATCTAGCTCGAGCGACGCAGCATGGCCTCCAACGCCCTCCTTCTCCGGCGCCAGTCCCCTAATTGCGTCCCGCTCCATGGACACGGACACCAGCATAGGTATAGACGGACTCCCCATGTCCCCCCGCGTTCGCCGAACGCCTTCAGGTCTCGACATTTCCTCCATATCCTCACGAGCGGCGGTAGAAGCGCTCGTTCAGCGGGCGCAGCAATCTGTCCTTGACATGGCTGTTGATTTGGAGGAGAATTCGAAGAGAGATAAAGGGACTGGACGGACGCCTTTGAGCTTGAGGTTGGCGATGTTTGGGGAGAGTTTGGCTATTGAGAGGATGATGAAGGAGGAGGAGGAGGCTGTCGAAAAGGGACTGCTAGTTGTTGATGCGGGGACGACACCTCCTGCCAGCGGTTTGGGTGTGGGCGAGAGGTCCTTGTTGTCGAGCAGTAGGCCTCGCGCTGTGGATATGACTTTTTCGAGGAGTAGTAGCGGGAGTGGTTCGTGGTCTTTCCTTCTTCACTGTTTTACGTGCTAACGCATGATATAGGTGCATCTAGTGAGGACGCGTCGCTCCAGCATCGCACACGGATAGCATCAGACGAAATTAGGCGGACGGCCTCTGCTGATTTCAGGCGGACGATGTCAGATTCGCCCTTTGACGGCATCACGCGAACCTCGGATAACACCCGACGCACGCGCAGTCCCCCTGTCGCATCGCGACACCTCCCACTCCCACTCCCCCACCAGGACTCACAGCATCCACATCCCCTGCCACTCCCCAGCCCACGCACGCAGAAATCGTATGAGGCGTTCGCGTATACGCCACCGCGGTCGCGTACGCCTGACCCATACGATACAGACCCAGATGAAGATGCAGAACTGCCGGGTTTGGGTATCGGTTTGGGTATGGGCATGGGTATACCTCTCTCGCGCATCTCAACAGCCCCTACGCACGTTGGGCGCATATCCACGGCGCGGAATGACGTCTCAACAATGCGTAGGCTATCACCACCAGCACGTAATATCTCATTGACGGCTGCACGGAACATCCCAACGAAGTCATCAGCACGTAATGCATCGCCTGCAGCACGGACTCTATCATCGTCAGGACCACGTGACATCTCAGCGACGCCGGCTGCACGAAGTGTGAATAAATTATCTCGGATGGGGTTCTCGACGCTGGAGGGGTGGCAGCCGGCACCGATAACGGCGTGTTCTCCGCCTGCGAAGCAGAGATTTGGGGGGATACGGACAATCGTGAGGGGGTTTCAGGGGAAGTAGGTGTGTCCTTAGTGACTTGATTTGCGTTTTTGGTGTAGGGGTGGACTTGTGTGATGCGCACGCTGGTGTGTCTTCGTTTTTTATGCATATGCCCGTCAGGCTTTCGTTCATGGCCAGGGCTTACTTATTAGACGCTGTGTTGTGTGTTGTTGTGTTTCTTGCATTTTTGACTGTATTCTCTATCGTTGTTGTCGTTGTCGTTTTTATTGCTGTTGTTGTTGTTGTTGTATGGTGCTTGCGATAACTTACTTGTGTTTCGATCGACATTGTAACATATGCATTTTTTGATACTCGTTTGTAATTTTATTGAGTAACAAGTCGTTTCAGCTTTAAGGGTGTAGTCTGGGCTCAGAGCCTCAATCAAGGGCTCGGTGGCTGAGTGCAGTGACCAACGCTGTGACTGGTCTTTAGTCCTGAGAAGGGAGAACTGATGGTGTCGGGTAAAGCCTTGCTATTCTACAACACCACGCGTTCGGAGATTCCAGACGAGACAAAGAGAAGAAAAAATAGTGAAGTGATGACCACAAGTGACCGCGGGACAAAGATGTTTTCTGTACACCTCACCGTCTCACTAGGACGTCACAAAATTGTCTTCCGTATATCACGACCGATGGCTAATCATACAAACATTCTCAGACAAACAAGTTACAGCAACAGGAACTAGGTCTCCTTCCATTCCGAAACAGCTCATAACGGAACCCTCACAAACATCCAGTACTTCTTTTCGTGGTCTCTTACGCTCGGGGGAGGAGCTGGAGCAGTAGTGATCTGGAGTGACGTCGGTCATAAAGCCAGAAAAGGACAAAAAACAAACAAACCGGGGTGAAGTCTTCGTCTCTATTGAGGACCCACACTTGGTTGACGTCCATGATATGGATTCTGCAGATAGGGGAGACGAATGAGATCTCGTCACCAGCAACCAGTATGAGAACCAAAGACCACACTCACGTATATTTTCCGTCACCCTCGGTGGAAAACTGGAGCACCTGGGGCTCGTTGCTGCCTACGACATCACATGTCTATTATTTCACGCTGTTAGCAGTCTCGTATCTGTCAACAACAAATAGACCAACCTCTTCGTTGATAACAATATACTTGTCCCTCAATCTATCCAAGAGAGTAGCAAGACCCAGAGTTGCGTTCGTGACAGAGAGCTCGACCTATAGGCATTGATGAGCAGAGGATGTACGTTAATGGTTCACGCGTACAATATCAGCCTCCTCAAAGCCCACGACCATGCCGTCAGCTTTCATGTGGACAAATCTGGTGTTGTGCAAAAAATTCTGCATCTTGTAATCGCCGGAGTGTAGCATTGTGAGGTGTGTTGATAGTCTGAGGACTGAGTAAGAGAGGGTGATTGATCAATGGCAGGATATGCTGCGACCTTTATACCTGCCTGAAAAGTCCATTAGGTTCCAGATGCCGAAGTCAGTCTTGGTCTTGGGCCACACTCATTTGGCTTCGGCACAACATAAGCCGGATCCCACCTTTCGGTTATGATTATCTTACACTCTAAGATCTCCCCAAATGCTATCAAGTGGCTCGAACTTGACCGGCGCTACGCCATCCCCATTTCAAACATAGGGAATTAATTGGCAATCGCAGAAGTAGCCTATCAGGTGTGATGGCACTTTCAGACTGTCATTGACCAAAGATCCAATCACGCAACTTGGACAATTGCTCGAGATTTGAAAATGGGTCCTGTCCGCATCACCTTTGTGCCAGCATCGGGAGGTCGCGACAGGGGCAACATCACGGTTTGAACAATTGTTCTCTCGTGGGCCTTTAGGTCTGTCTGCATGGAAGGTGCCAGGGATGACCGACTGCCTTTCGTCTTCTTCAAAACTGAGCCTCTGTCTAGGGGAGACTACCAGAACCGTCAGAGTACTCAGTCAATCAGTCAATCATGTGGCGAACGAAGTACATTACCCCCTCTTTTCCACCATCCCCCTTCCAGAGTTCCGTTGAGTTGGTCCCATACGTAGCGTTAGGGGTGTAGTGGCCTATCTTTGATTTTGAATGGGTACCTTGGTAGATATTAATCCCGCGATGTCGCGTGTTCGCATGTCGACTAGCACATGCATTTCCGCGATTCTCGTGCTACCGCTGAGTGATTTTGAAATGCTCCAAGATATTAGAACGTTTCACGGAGAGATGGCACATGATCTACCCGACCTCCTGTATGGAGTTGGTTTGACTTCACGGGGGTTCTGTCAGTGGGTCTAACCAAGTGCAGCCGTTGTTAGTGTTGCGGCAGCCTGGAGCTGGTTAGTGTTTGCTTGGGCCTGATTCGCGTGCAAAGCACAAACCGAACCAGTGGTTGTCCGAAGTTGTGGTAGCCGATAGTACAGCGGGGTTGTCAACGACTCAACGCAGCAATAACACGCGACAGCTGCAAGAATTGACTTGCCAATTACACGGGTTGCTAACCGAGTAGATGAATAGAACTTGAGATAAGGTCAACCTTCCATGGAGATCCTATCTATGCGTGCAACCAGATGTGCTAGAATCGCAGTAATATGGTTAGCCTGCAAGGTGTTGTAAAACTTGAAGGAGATTATATTCGGTTCAAGTCCTCGATCACGTAATGAGGCTGCATACTGTTTGGATCCAAAGCTTTTGCCAAACAATCTCACGTTCACCCGCGCTTCACTTGTCCGAGACTTCACTGCAAGTACAGTGCTAGGTGCCGCAACGTAACATACCTCTATGCCTCCATGCACTCTGCATTTTGCGTCCACAAGTTCGTCGTTGGTGTGGGATCTACAGACTCCACAGCGTAGCGACACAGTCATACTAGTATCTCATGCATGGATGCATACACAAGTAATGGATATTAAGTATCAGGTGCGTTATGGCAGATTGATATCGGGAAAACCAAATAGGTCAAGTGATAATTCCCTTGCGCTGTGGAGCTGGAAAACTCATAATCGCCGTGGCGGCGTCTGATCTCGACCTGTCACCTCCATCAGGCTGTACGGTGATTCGGACATGGCGGCATGCTGCGCAGGGACTTTGCCTGACAGCCGAACGAGGAAAGATGCTATTCCAGCTGCGAGTGACGGGTTTGTTGATGGGTTTGTCCACTGAACGTCAGAAATATCACTGCTTCCACTCCGCCAAAAATGAATACATGGTGGTATGGCCTAAGTTTTGGTCTGCAGGTGTGTTGAAGCAAGTCGAGCTTGACAGTGGACATTCCAACCAGAAATTGTGATGGAAGACCGGACACACGTACAGCCGTTCATGGGCCTCCTCAGATCCGTCAGTTGACACGATTGCTTTCCGACCCTCACGAATACTAGCGGGACATGACTTCAAGGCAAATGACTGTCAGTTTCTCGTTACAGATCATCTAGATTCGGTATGGTGACTGCAAGTCTCTGCAAAGGCGGTGTTTGTGGTGATGCAGGTGTAGTGTTGGAGGCGATGTGCGTCGACGAGTCTGCGACTGTCAGGCTACGTGTGCTGCGATGCAGGTACCGTACTACTAGCAACAGTTCGGATCCTGCTGTTGATGGCGGAGCGTAGAAACAATTCACAGTCAATGTCATTAATAGCATAACAGAGCCTTCAAATTCTCTAGTTCTTGTGATCGCTGAAGTCCTTGCTCTCGTAGTTGAAACGAAGACGATAATTGGGGGGGAAGTATCGTTGCAGTCCAACATTGCACCGACGTTTTAGCTGACATGACCAGCTGGGTGATGACGTTCTGAGCAATAAGATTTCGGCGCAAGTCCCCCAGTAGCTCTCGGATACAATTGACCCACAGGTCTCCCAAAACCAATGATGTATCATTCATAAATGTCCCAAGGCAACGGCCCATCATACACCATCCTCGCATCATCAGGACACCACTCCAACAACCCCCTCAATTCCGGCGCCGACGTATGATACGAATGAAATCGCAAAAACGGGTTCCGCGCGAGTCGCTTGGCAAGTAGAAAATCATGGCAGCCATACAAATCAAGCTTATACGGTGCGTATCCGTTCTTAACCTATATTTCTAGTTTAATACGGCATAAAATCGCAGGAGAAGATGAAAGTGCTTACTTCGCCGATACGAGCGGCCTCCTCGCTGGCAGTGGGCTCGATGCCAACGTATTCGAACTGATGAGCGGGGAATCGAACGGCTGTGCGGTGAAGCTCTTCGAAACGACGGCGCTTCATTTCGTAGCCTACGATGGTGACCTGTAGGGGGTACCGGCCTGTTATTTCGTGAAAACGAGCCAGCGAGAATAAAAAGTTTTGGTATGAATCGAGAGCGTAGGTCTCTGTTGTTGCACGAAGGAAATAGGGCTCGCGGTGCGTTTGTTCTGAGTCGGGGTGGAAGAGACCTAGACTTTTTGCTAGACGCATGTAAGATTCTGCTTCTGTTGTGGTCGACTGCAGTCTAGTTTGACCTCTGAAAAAGAGGGTTAGCGAGACTGACTTGTGTTCCTGGGTTGAGTACCTGCCCGCTGAAAATGAGTAGGGACGTATCGTCCTGTAGCGTTATTTCTACTCTAAAGTTTATCAGTTGCGTGATTTCGTGGTAGAATTTTGGGTCGGAAGACATACCCTCGTCTGATGTGTTCTACGAACGCAGAAATCCTATAACTACCTCCCCCTCGCTGGTATTCCTCCAACGTCCACCGGTCCTCGTCCAGCACCTGGTCAGGCTGTGTCCCAGTCCAAATTGCGTGGCCTGGAACGATGACAAGGTGAGATAAGTTTTCCAGAGTTGAATTACGAGCAATGATTGAGAGGATGCTCTGAGGGGGCGTGTAAGCTACCAGTGAAGGTGAAGAAGAGGAGAATATGAAAGCGAGGTTGTATAAGAATGAAACACAGAAGCATCCTCCGAGAATAATGATGCTTAGGTTTGTGAACCTTGATCGTGCGCGTAGGAGGCTGAGAGCACGTTTGAGGTCGGACGAGGAGAATGTGCGAAGGTGCTGGGAGGTTCCTCGTCGGTTGGATGAGACTGGTGAGGGAAGCATGGAGCTGCGATCATACGAAACACGTCCGCTGGTAATCCAGTTAGTTGTTCGTTGGCCTTCGTCAATGTATGTGGTGAGTTCAATGAAGCCGGCGCGGTACACGTTCCCGTCCTCTTAGACTGTCAGTCACGTGATTCAAAGATTAACAGAATCCACGCCCTCCACCAGTTGTTCACCGCGCTGACTTGCACTAAGTCACTGACCAGGCTAGTTTCACAAACTGCACCACAGCTGAGCCGCTGCTTACTCTTACCGCTCACGATTTTTCAGGCCGCGGCATGTTAGTTCCTCGACACATCATTGCTCAAAAATATGGCCACAGGGCGACGGTCAAGCAAATTGCACGTTACTTGACTGGTGAGCTGGCAGCGGCTGCCAAAATTGTCAATTGAGAATTCGGTCCAACGGTTTACGCGTTTTGAAATAGGACCGGGAAACGTAATTAAGCCTCGCTCGCAGCTGGCATTTGCATTTGACATTGTATGGTTTGGACATGATGTTATGATATTGTTCAAGAACTTACTGCATCTTGTACTCTTCCCAGGATGGTGTTCTCATTCGTGGAAAGAACCCTCTGCCTGCTGCTAGAGAGGCGTTGTCCATCCTTGATGGCAACAATAAATTCGGTCTGTACGTGTTTTTCCTGCTGTTTATCATCCAGCTACTGACTCGCTGAAAGCAAGATACCCTTTATTCTGGTAAATGATTGCATGTCCTTCCGTGATGTAAGCATTCAATTGTTTCAGCTTACCAACGGCGGCGGCGTAAGCGAAGAGGAACGATGTCGCAAATTGAGCTCGCAGCTTGACGCACAGGTGTTGCTTCCAAGTTGCCCTGATTCCTGAGTTTTACTGACGAGTTTGGACAGATTCATCCCGACCAATTTATACAGGCTCACACTGTTCTGAAATCTGTTGTACACAACTACGCTGACGTACCGGTCTTGGTCCTTGGAGGCAAGGGCGATACCCTTCGAAGGGTCGCGGAAGGGTACATAATTCTTGTAGCTTGCATTTGAATCCTGCTGATAGAATCTCAATTCAACGTAGATACGGCTTCCAGAAAGTCTATACTACCCTCGATATTCTCGCTTGGAACCCATCGTAAGTTATTAGCTCCTCTCATAGTTTTGACTCGATTTTGTTATTTTCTCAGGATATGGCCTTTCCACGATCTCACACAAGAAGAAAGAGCATCTGCCAGGGTTAGATTTTTCACTCGCTCAAGCGAACGGCTTACACAAACATGATCACTTAGCCTACCGACTTCTCAAGGACCCAATTTGGCGCCATCTTCGTCTTCCATGATCCTAGAAATTGGGCTCTCGACATCCAAATCATGTGCGATGTGATCCAGGGTATTATTGGGGGTTCTCATGAATCCAATCATACACGAAAGCCTGTCGACCTAGTATTTTGCAATCCCGATTTAATATGGCAGTCAGATTTTGAGGCTCCCCGTATGGGCCAAGGAGCATTCAGAGTTGCCTTCCAGGCTGTTTTTGAGGCGAGTCTGTCATTCACCGCCAAATCCCATCGAGAACAATCTGATACGCCTGTTTCGCAGTCATTGACAGGGTCCACTTATCCTTATGTCCAATTTGGCAAACCAACTGAGGCAACGTACAAGTTCGCCGAGATGATGCTGAAGCATCGCTTACAGGGTGCACCCAAACCTTCACTGTGCGTACAATCTGGTGCTTATTCCCTCACGATTAGCTAACGACCGCATAATCCCTCCACAGGTATATGGTTGGAGGTACATATTTCAGTGTGCCTGCTCTCGATCGTACCCTCACTTTTATTGTCCCCGTAGACAACCCAGAATCTGATATAGCAGGTGCCAATGCTGCAGGTTGGAAATCAATTTTAGTTCACACAGGTGTATATGATCCCCGTCGTGGACCTCCAAATCATCAACCAACTCACCAAGCAGAGGATGTTGCGGAGGCAGTTCGCTGGGCGTTAGAACAAGAACTCTGCTCGTAGATGATCGATCTGGGTATTCGCATGATTTGCACAACGCGGTAGATGTGATATTCCTTGCACATCAGCGTCGACACCAAGACGGTGTTACGTGCAGCGTTCTGTAGGGCCAGTGAGTAGTGGCAATGATCCCATACATGACTTAGACTAGAGACGTTCTAGGATGGTCTAGAAAACCCCTGCAATTATGTCTGATCTGCTATGCTGTAAGCATGCTGCTTACGCTCATACGATTAACGCGTCATACGTGTGATCCGTGTTGATTGCGTCATACGCGTGATCCGTGTTGATTGGACACCGCGTTGTGATTATATGTGTTTGGCTATTAACATTGATCCGGTATATATATCTTACTTATAGGGTCAAAACAGAAATAGGTTTCAAACTTGTAAAAAAATATCTTTTGGTGGGCTGGTACATATCATGGAGGGTACCTCTGGGATGGATATGAGCCAACAATTAAGAAAAACGGCGGTTCGGTTGTGGAGATATGTCCAAAATACTGATATTTATAGGGTCAAAACAGAAATAGGTTTCAAACTTGTAAAAAAATATCTTTTGGTGGGCTGGTACATATCATGGAGGGTACTTCTGGGATGGATACGAGCCAACAATTAAGAAAATCGGCGGTTCGGTTGTGGAGATATGTCCAAAATACTGATATTTGAGCCTACCTCCCATATCACATGAATGCCGACCTCCGGAAGGTCTGGGACCATTCCCAATCGATTCAGAGGCCTCGAATACCCTAGGAGAGATGTTTTCAGTATCGGTATTGATGCGGAATACCGGGATAGTGACATATAGGAGGTCAGGAGGAGGGGGAGGACCCTGTATATCTCAAGAACACGATTTTTCCAGGCAATTCTGGCATGACCATCGTGTTCAGAGGGCTCAATAACCCCCAGGAAAAATGCTTCTGAAGGACAGGCTAGTCATATGAAGTCTAGAAAAATCGATCTTTGGGTGGGGGAGCATGGCCTTGGTGGCCAACTTTGGAACATGATTTTTAGAGCAAAATCCGGCTCGACCAGCGTCTTCAGATGGTCAAATAACCTCAAGAACGAGTCCTAGCTAAAGCCAAGCAAGCCATATGAAGGCTGAAAAAATCGATCTTTGGGTGGGGGGAGGATGACAGGGGCAGCCAACTTTGGAACATGATTTTTAGAGGGAAATCTGGCTCGACCAACGTGTTTGTATGGTCAAATAACCTCAAGAACGAGTCCTAGCTAAAGCCAAGCAAGCCATATGGAGGCTGAAAAAATCAATCTTTGGGTGGGGGAGCATGGCCTTGGTGGTCAACTTCGGAATTTGATTTTCTCATGCAAATCTGGCTCGACCATCCTTTTCAGAGTGTTCAATAACCTCGGAAACAAGTCCTACATCAACCCTTGCGAGTCATATGAAGGCTGTAAAAATCAATATGTGGGGGAGGCCTGCATGCCCTAGGGGGTCAACTCCAGCATTTGATTTCTTCGTGCAATTCTGGCTCGACCATCCTTTTCGGAGTGTTCAGTAACCTCGGAATCAAGTCCTACATGATGCCAGGCAAGTCACATGAAGGCTGTAAAAATCGATGTGTCGGGGGGCCAGCATGGCCTAGGGGGTCAACTTCAGCATTTGATTTCTTTGTGCAATTCTGGCTCGACAATCCTTTTCGTAGTGTTCAATAACCTCGAAATCAAGTCCTACATGATGCCAGGCAAGTCACATGAAGGCTGTAAAAATCGATGTGTGGGGGGGCCAGCATGGCCTAGGGGGTCAACTTTGGAATTTGATTTTATTGTGCAATTATGGCTTCACAAATGTATTCAGATGGTCCAATAACCTCTAGAAAGAGTCCTAGATACAGCCAAGCAAGCCGTATGAAGGCTGAAAAAATCAATCTTTGGGTGGGGGGGAGGGGCATGACAGGGGTTGTAGTCAAATTTGGAATATGATTTTAAGAGGGAAATCTGGCATGACCAACATGTTGTATGGTCCAATAACCTCTAAAATGAGTCATGCCTGAAGTCAAGCAGGTCATATCAAGGCTGTTAAAATCGATGTGTGGGGGGCCAGCATGACCTGGGTGGTCAACTTTGAGAATTGATTTCTTCGTGCAAATCTGGCATGACCATGGTCTTTGTATTGCTCAATAACCTCGAAATCAAGTCCTACCTTATCCTACCCAAGTCATATGAAGGCTGTAAAAATCGATCTTAGGAGAGTGTGGTGCTGCTGCTGCTTACATAAGCAAGAATGCGGTCCTCTCAGAGGGGGCCTGCTCACCACTCAATGCCACTGTGATGCACCAGCAAATAAATCTTGCTGATTTGTTTCCGAGGTTCAGAGTGTTAGATCCTGCCTGTATCTGCCTTATGAAACGCCAAAATTGTGAATTGCAGAGGTGTTATGCAGAAATGCACAGCAGGGACCAAGCTGTTCACCTCTGATAGAGGTGGCCATCTTGTACATGTATATTTTCGCTTTTTTACGATCTTCTTGGCTTTGGTGGATTTCACACAAACAAGACTTGTCCAAGTCCTGAGATTTGACTGACTTTTGCTTCTTGTCTGGTATTGACTTGCATGACAGGGGCAGCCAACTTTTGAACTTTATTTTAGAGGGAAATCTGGCAGAGTCCTTAGATTTGACCGATGTTCGCTTCTTGGCTGGCTTTGGCTTCATAAATGTCTCTCTTCATAACTCCATGAAAGCGAAAATATAAGTAGAAGTTGGCCACCTCTATCAGAGATGAATCCCCCATGAAGGGGAGGAGTCCTCAGATTTGACTGACTTTCACTTCTTGGCTGGCAAAACCTGGACCTTGCCACTCAAATAGCCCTCAGAGCGAAAATCCTGGTCACCTCTATCAGAGATGAATCCCGCATGAAGGAGGAAAACCAGAGCCTTGCCACTCAAATTGTCCCCAGAGCCAACAAGAAAGTTAAAAGTTAAAAGAAGCGAAAATAAAAAGTGTTGGCCACCTCTATCAAAGGTGAATCCTGCATGAAGGGAAGGAGCACTTAGATTTGACCAACTTTCACTTCTTGGCTGGCAAGGCCATGTGGGCCAACATGTGGCTGACTGTCATATGAATAAGTTGCCCTTGGGCAATGGATGATACAGTGGAATTTGACTGCATCTCTGATGGAACCGCAGGAAGAAAGTTAATGTTCAAGGATATCCAATTCACTGGTTAGTTTGTAAAGCGGTGTCCGGAGCTTCTTCTAACACTCTAGCTACAATCAGTGCCCATGAAGGGGAAAAACCCTTAGATTTGACCGACTTTCACTTCTTGGCTTGCAAAACCTGGACATGGCCACCCAAATAGCCCTCAGAGCGAAAATCATGGTCACCTCTATCAGAGATGAATCCCACATGAAGGGGGGAAACCAGGACCTTGCTACCCAAATTGCCCCCAGAGCCAACAAGAAAGTGAAAAGGTAAAAAAAGCGAAATTCCTGGCCATCTCTATCAGAGCTGTTTCCCACATGAAAGGAGGGACCAAGATCTTGCTACCCAAATACCCCTCAGAGCGAAAATCATGGTCACCTCTATCAGGGATGAATCCCACATGAAGGGGGTAAACCAGGACCTTGCTACCCAAATTGCCCCCAGAGCCAACAAGAAAGTGAAAAGGTAACAAAAGCGAAATTCCTGGCCACCTCTATCAGAGCTGTTTCCCCCATGAAAGGAGGGACCAAGATCTTGCTACCCAAATACCCCTCAGAGCGAAAATCTTGGCCACCTCTATCAGAGCCCATGAATGGGAAAAGCCCTCAGATTTGACTGACTTTCGCTTCTTGGCTGGCAAAACCTGGACCTTGCCACCCAAATAGCCCTCAGAGCGAACTTGGGGCGAGGAAATAGGAATGTGAACTCTGGGGGGTCACAAGGATATATACCTCGAGAGGCGTGCTAGTAGTATCATCCTTGAGGGATGCTACTGAGGCAAATCTCTTCAATTATGAGGAGGATCAGGGACTAGCTAGACACCGAATATATGCGAAGACGTGCAAAAATTGTGATGGGGTCATGAAGAAGGAGGTTCAAGAAGTCAAAGCCAGAAAAGGAGGATCACAACATTCTTCCGAGTCGTTTGGGTGAAGGGATGGTAGATGAACGCTTGAAAAAGGGTCGTACTCACCAGGTTAGGTGTGTATCAATTCGTCCCATGCCTCACTTTCTATCATTAAGATTTTGCTAAGCCTTGGGGAAGAATCACCGGACCAAGAAGAACAGACGATGTACAGTCATTACTGGGATTTGGACTATCCTGCAACTATCTTCATTTTCAAATATACTTCGTTGGGTAGGTCATGGTATTTTCTATGTGTCCCCACTCATGCCAACTCCCGACCCCGCCTGATACAACCCTCAACCCAAGCGACTTTTTCTTGACCTTGCTTGCATCATTGCAACAACATCAATGACATTGTAATTACATTATGGCAAGGGACACTTACAAAGGCAAAGCCAGCCAAGAAGCCAAAGTCAGTCAAATCTAAGACTCGGACAACCTTTCTGTGTGCAATGGCAAGATAAGTGTACCTACTTTTATCATGGGCCAACACATAGCCGACTGTCATGTGGATGAGTTGTTCTTGAGAAATTGATGGATAGACTGCATGAACCTGACAATAAATCAGACACTGATATGCCATAATGCTCTGATGATCTGTACCCTATGCCAACCAACAGCCACATTGCTCCACAGAACACCAATATCATCACCATTACTGACCATCAGCCCGCAGCTACATGCAGCCCTCAGCCCATGGAAACCCTTTGCCAAATTCAATCTCCATCCAATCATGCCCTGGGCCCAATACAACCTCAAACCAGGCGGCTAAGCATCAGTTACTAACCCAATGCGAAAACCTCAGCCCAATCCAACCCTCAGCCCTGCAAAGCCCTCTACCCAATCCGACCCTCTGCCCAGTGTAACCCTCTGCCCAATCCAACCCTCAACCCAGGCAACTATTTATTGACCTTGTTTGCATCATTCCAACAACATCGGTCAAATCCTGATGGGATTATGAATAGGTTCACTTACAAGGGCAAAGTGATCCAAGAAGCGAAAGTCAGTCAGGTCTAAGACTCAGATGACCTTTGTTCACACACAAAGGTTGTCCCAGTCTTAGATTTGACTGACTTTTGCTTCTTGGCTGGCTTTGCCTTCGTAAATGTGCCTCGTTGTAATGTCATTATGATTTGACCGAGAAACTCCAACACAGTCTACATTAGCAATCAACCAATGAATGATGATGTAAATGTATCCAATATGTTATTGGTGACATTCACATCTTCGTTGAGTTGGCAGCGGTTGTTGATGTAGACTACAAGAGAAGCGACTCCAGGAATGATTGCCTGTCCATAAGTTAAATGCTGTCCCTAGGTAGCTACGCTTGACAGAACTGTGTTCTATCATCATGAAACATATGTTTGATCTGCTACTAGCAAGTCAAAAGACCTATTGGTAGAGGAATGTAATGATAAGAATTGTGGGGTACATCTGATGTGGTCAACCAACCTCAGCTCGCATTGAGTTTCAGATCAAGGTGGCTGACCAGGTATTTACAGTTGTGGAGGTATGGACTAGAGAAGATCTCATAATGACATCATGGAGTTTGTTCACAATATACAGTGGTTGAACTCGTAAAAGAGTATGTGGATGCTGCATTTGCATAAAAAAACCTCGCGCGTGCGACTATGTCTTGCACTGTGGCAATATCACATCTTTTGTACCTCATAGTCCTTTGTAATGTGTCTCACAAATGTGAATAAATGCCTGATGTCAGATGATAAATTAAATCCTAGTCTTCCCGTTGCCCGCATTACATTATACATCAAGCCAAAGAATGAAGGCATTAGCTGCCATTGAGGTTCATCTGGTATATGAGCACTTGCATGGCAGTTTTGCGTTCCCAAGTTCATGCAATGGTGGCGCCAAGGTGCTATTCACAAAATTGATTAATACAGTACATCTACATCCATCGCTCATTCCACAATATCTTCTAGTTGGGTCATGGGAAATGGTCTCCGTGGACGTGTGGGAGGGGGGACTCTCTTGTTTTTCCTGGCCATGGTCATTTTCTTCTGAAGTTCCCGCCGCTTCTGTCTCTCTGTCTTTCTCCGCAGATTGCCATCAGTGTCGAAGGGTTGTGAGTCCATGAGGTCGGCTGCAAATATGCGTTTACCCTTGATCAGCTTCATCGTTCGACGTGCTTTTGGGGCCCTCTTCTGACTCTCTCCTCCCCTTCCAATACAATCGATCTTGTAGAATATTGGATTGGTCGTGAACACAATTGATTCGTTCTTTTGCGTCCACACTCTTGCTCCGCTAGCAGGAAGGCAGTGAAGTTCCGAAAATACCTCACGTAATCCCTGTTTCAGCAACTGTTGCTGATCCTCATCCATCGCCTTCATCGTCCTGTGAAATTCTGCAATGTATCCATCGCCCTCCCAAAGCCCAGACCACTGAGTATTGTCCTTATGGGCGGCATCAGGGTCGGGAAAGAACAGAGTGCACCTGTCAAGGAAGGGCCTCGACTTCGGACCCATGCGACCAGGAGTGACGCCCGTACTATCATTCAGCCCGGCATTGCATGCTTCAAATGCGACTGCAGCGAGAGTGTCATCGATGCTGGTGATTGTCCAGCACTTCATGGCCTCTTGAAGCGAGTTTGGGTGAGGTCTGATGCCCTTGAAGATTTCGGGTGTGAGCATCAGCCACATGTGCCTAGTGAACATGACCACCGAACGTCCGACGGAGAGTTGAGTGTTGGACAATCTGGGTGACCACACCCAGGGTCTCATGATCATTGCAGGCGAGTTTGACATGGCTGCCTTGAGTCGAGTCCATGTTGGTGTGCGACCAAGAGGATAGTCCTCCAGTTCAGACTCGGTGCTTTGCCATACATTAGTTCTGCTCACTGCCCGGTCCCTTTGAGCCTTTGCATTGACTCCCATGAGGGCCAGTACATGCACGTCATCGATTTGCTGCACCTCAGTCAGGCAGGTGTCGCTATTGATGTCGAAGTCGTGTAAGAAAAACATTCCTGCAGTTTCGAGGATGTTTCTGTACTCGAGTAGGGCAAGAGATTCACGGATGTGAGAGTCGTAGATGATAGGAGTTGATGTTGTAGAGCGAAGCATGTGGTTGAGCACTCCAGTGAGAACGCCAAGATTCGGTGGATTCTTTCTGACAATGGATATCTGGGTCCTCTGAATCTCCCGCACCCGTCTCCTCAGAAGCTCGAACCAGATCTTGGATGGAATCCACAGGACTGGATCTGATTTCAGGTATTCTCTGGCCTGCATGACGAGAATCGCCCAAGTCATTCTATAGTCGACGATGATTGGAGCGTGTGTCACTGACCTTTTCTTCCACATTTTCCAGGATGATTCTGGCTGCATGTCCGCTCACCCTATACTCATCCCTGACACCATATGTTTTCTCCTTGCAACCCTCGACGACCTTGGCGATTTCGGTGCATTCAGCCATATATGATGGGGACAGCTTATAGGCGTCGCTGTCGGATGCGAAATTCGCTTGGTTGCTGTTTGTTCGAATCGACTCATAGTACAGGTTGTAGGTGCTCCTGAATGCGATGTGCGTCTGCTGAGATCTCTCCTGTTGCATCTCGGCCTGCAGCGCCCCATATCTAGACAGCGTGTTGTGATGATGTATCTCCCCTCTTTTGTAGCCTCCCGCTCCAAATGATGCTTCCAGTGCATCTAAGCGCCACACCCCTACGAGTGGGACATTTGGAGAGTGGGGCGTGAATGAGACACCCACATCTACCAGCAGTTCGCCATGCCTCCTGTTCATCATATATTGCCAGTCAAGGTCAGGCAGGTTGCGACGCAGGGCCTCTTCTGGTCCTGAGAAACGCCCCCTCTGGCCATCCTTCGTGAGCAGCTTGATTCCCTTTCCTTCCAGAATAAAGAAAGACGACCCATACATGCTGAGCTCAGGGTCCTCCATCACGTATGCGAGCTTCCATGCGTTTCTGCACGTCACAAAAGTCATCGTCTGAGAGGGGGATGGTTTTAGGAGGTCCCCATCCGCCCCTTCTCCGTCCGCACCTCTGGCCTTTGTAACGTGCTTCCTCCAATGTGTGTTTCAGGTAGGGCTCCCAGCTGACGTCGGTGCACTGTCCAATCGATGGAAGCAGTACCCTATCCCAGAATATGTCCAAGACCTCCTTTGGCATCAGAGTGATTCTCCGACCGTTCGTTGGGTGCTGATGAATCATCCTTGGGAACGCGATGTATAGATTGAGTGTCGATGATGCTGATGATATGCGGCCCATACAGACATGAGGGATGGCAGACATGGGAAATCGTTTGGAGAGCCATTCAGTCCTCCCACCGGGTGAATTTGCATCCTCTTCCGACTGCGGTATGGTGATCTCTACATAGGTGTGATTGTGCTTGTATATGCCTGGTTTCGTTGGAAAGGCGGAACGATGTAGACACCAACAGACCCTTTGCATCGGAACACCTTTGTTGTCCATATGATGCTGGTCTATGTCCACTGAGATCTCTATCTCGTCTTCTGAGAGTGAACAGCATCTCGTTCCGAGATCAACATATAAGGCAGGACCATCGCCATACCGATGACTGGTGCAGCCCCGCACAAAGGCATTGTGTCCGAACCTGCATTCATCCTGCAGTGGGGGATCATATTGGGCGGATTCGACGAGCTCAGATGCGGAGAGTATTTCTACATCAGTGATGTATGTGCACTGTTCGTCGTGATCAGTTCCCCGTCGCTTCAGGCTATATGCACCTGTCACACGATCAGGAACTTGGTCCGAAGGATCATGGGAGTCTGTTGTGCCGATAGGCATGATGTGGGTCCATGGTTGCTGTGGGGTCGCATTGATAGAAAATGTGGAATGAACTTGGTGTGATTCGATAGCCGCAATCGACCCAGTCTAACCAAGCGGTGGAGATCGGCATCCCCCCCAGCAGGGAATGTCATCGTCGTATGGATATCCCTAGGAGTCAGCATCCTCTCAATGGTAGGTCCGCCCTCATATTCATCGAATCCATGGTCGTCTGGCAGCCATCTCCTACCTCCGTATGCAGCCAATGGAATTGGTGCGGTTGGGACGTGGAAATCGTCTGTTGCTTCCAAGATACCAGTTTTTCAATCGCCTCCGAGATGTTGTGGCAGGCTAGCCAGTGCGTTGAGAGTCCTCGGTATCATGGACGACCGATGGGTAATTCTGGCTCTGAGTTGAAGGTGTGTTCCAATGGCACGAGGGACTATTGAATTGCGATTCCGAGATCCAGCGAGGGTGTTTGTTTGCTTTGAACAGCTTGTCAAGGTGCGCCTTGCCAATTGCATGTACCATATTCGTGGCGTCATCATCCTCACTTGATCCTGCATCTGGACCATCTTGCTCAGCATTGGGTGCTATCTCCATTCTTCACCACTGTACGAGGCAATGCTCTCCATCTTGATGGACGATGGGGCGTTGACACATGGAGCAGGTGGCGCTCACAACAGTCAGCCTCCGCAGGACCTTCAGGCAATCAGCCTGGTATCGCCCATTCTGGATCGAATTGATGATGTCCTCGTCGGGTGGTAGCTCGTCGTTTTTCCAATCATCTCGTGGGCTGTCTAGGAGCATCAGGGAGTTGCTGCAACAGAGCTTGACATGCGCAGCAATAGCGCGCAGCATGTGAACCCGCAGTTTGTGACCGCATTGGATCTCAAAGTCGGGTAAGTTGCCCTGCTCATCCAAACCCAGCTTCAGACATTGCGCCAGCACGGAGCAAGCGATGGGACCACAGTCGACCCCATTTTGCTCCCAGTCCATTGGGTTGATGGACACGTCTGAGACATCTCCTGTGCTCCATCCATGAAGGGCTCCGATTTTCCTCCAATATTCCGGACCTCTCCAATCGTTCCAGTCATGTGGATCCTCTCCGTCTACATCCATTGAATCCGCAGAAATATGGCGACCCAAGACGTGCGCCATGCGTCGCTCATAGTCGAATATGACCACGAAGAAATGGTTGGAATGATGCACTATGAATCCGACAGGGGCCATGGCACATTGCCGTCATGGGGCACAAAATGGTTCCGCCGGAAGTGCTCCAGTTCTTCATCCTCGATTTTTTGCCCTCACTGCATTCCAGTCCACATATCTCATGTGTGTTCTGCCCAGCATCTCATACCACACATGGACAAGTAAAAATTGCGACTGCTGCTTCGAGCCACTCGTTTAATCCAAGGGTCGTCCAGCTATGCAGCACAGACAGCCAGACACCCGGCTGCGCCATTGCACGAGCTGTTAGTTGGTAGCATGAGTGACTCCAGGTCTATCATTTTATACTCTGAACTCCACTCACAGGCGATTTCCTGCTCAGTAAGTGCAGCCAATGTAGGTGCAGGCGCTTCAGGCGAGTGTGTCCTGAACTCGTGTTGCGGGGGGGCGTGGGTCTATAGTCATGATCAAGCGTTCCTCCGATCGACTGTGATCTCCCTGATATACAAATAAATGGTTCAGCCTGCTCACACAACCATGGTACCTTGACGGTCAATGCTTACATCTCACTTTCTTATTGTGTGCATCATCCTCATTTTGTAGTTGGATGATGTTTGAAGAAACTTCGTGGATTACATGTGTCCTGGGCGCTGGAAATAGAATATATTATAACATCTTCGACAGAGACTTTGAGATCGACCAACCATTGACTTCTGTATGTCTAACACCTTTTTTAGGACGTCCGCGAGCACGTCGAGTTGATGGCTGTTCCCTGACTTCCCTGCTCCCATCTCCGCCCCATTGAAATTGAGACTCGGGAATTCGGCTTCTGCTGGTTGGTTGTCCACATTGCATGTATCGACAGGGACTACAGTGCTGATACCACCGTGACCCCCATCAATAGTTTCCTGCTGGCATGGATTACTTGTCGCCCGGATGATATGTCTGACACTTCTATCATGATTGAAAGTTAATGTCTTGTGCGTGCTGCCTGTGGTCAAGTATCATTTCAATGAAAA